GCCCCCCCCCCCCCCCGCCCCCCCCCCCCCCCCCCCCCCCCCCCCCCCCCCCCCCCCCCCCCTCTCGTGACGCCGATCCATTCTAAGGTGCTAGTAATAGTTATATAATGCGGTAAGTGGTTGGTGATGGCAACGAATGGTGTCGGCGATGGGTAAGTCTCGACAACGGTAAAGGTGGGTGGACGACAATATGCGTAGACAAGGAGTGTCACCTACACCTACCCGTGGCGATTGGGAGATACCTATTTCGTGGGTAGGTAGGCATTTGGAAAAGCAGTTGACATTGTTAAAAATGGCCTAGACAGAGTTATATTGGTTGGCATTGGTATATTGATATGAACAGCATAAAGCATACAAGAAACACACCGTTTCGATATTAAGTCAAGAGTGCCTCAGGACTAGTATGCCGAATTTTCATGTAGGATATATCCGCATCTCAAACCGCAGATTACGAGCCGCATGGATTAGCACGCAGTTGAAGAAAGGGGCACCAAAGCTCTTTGACCAATACGCTGCTGGATTCGGGAGTGCTAAACAGGACCTGGAGGCTATTATATCATGCGCGTACGCCTATAGACCAAGGTATATATTAGATACCTATCTAGCGTGTTTGGTTATACTCGCCCTTGTATTATTTACCTTTATTAGCCAAACGATACTAGGTAATCCCTATCTACCTCTACCTTAGGTAGAAATGGCGAATATCGGCCCAGGCGACTCGGTATCGAGGATGGTGGCGGAACTTGAACGACACTTCTTCTCTAGAGACCGTCGATTCGTATCGAAAGCCCTACTCGCGACGGGAACCTACCGGCTTCACGATCCGCGTCGAGGCCAGGGATTCGAACGCACTGGGACTGCGAAATATCCTAGTTAAGAGAGCTAGGGAAAATGCGGACGCCAGATCCAATCTGAGGGTCTAGAGACAATTTCTCGAGGTTCGCACACGCCCAAGAAACGAAAATCGAATCGGTGTTGTCTACCTGTTATGAGGTAGAGATACCTGCATATTACAACACAAGAACTAATAATTGGCGCGAAATATACTAGAGGCTACAAGGTAACCCGCATATAGAAAAGATCATTAACCTCCCAGATAACTCCTTGGGTGGTAACTTGGACAGGAGGGACTGGATAATACTGGAATGGGCGGAAGGAAAATGGAGAGCTTCGGTCGTTTATCACGAAGGCCCGAGTGGTGTTGGTTGGGGAGAGGACAAAGGCTGCCGAACCGTCTTCTTTGGAGGCTGTTCTGATGCCGTAAGTTTTCTATAAAACTGTCTAGTAGGCATCCCACCATACATATCTAGCTGATCGAACGTGTAGTGATAAGATGCTGTATATATAGCAATGGCTGTATGTTACATCTACGAATTACCTATACCCTGACCCCAGACGACCTTACCTGCGTACAGCGTCTACCTACGAGGTATTCAGTGCTGATTTCTGTCTTCTTCCGGGGTTCAGTGGCCCAACACTAGGGAAGAACCGCCGCAACGCAATGCGGATATGCCAGGAATAGTACACGGTGACCTCCATCAAGGAAACGGTACCTATGTACCTACTTTAATTACCCAGACCAGGTGTGCGGTGGTAATAGTATAGCTAACATATGTATGTCATAGTCCTTATTGGAGAGCCTCCTAACGACGAAGAGCATAGTATCGCTCCAATACTAAAAGCTTATCGACTTCGGCGGCACAGAGCAATATCCACCGGATTGAGGAGGGAGATCTTCGAAATGTCTATGACATCGGGCAAGCACGTACATTATCTTTTTTTTCCCTTCTTTTTTCTTCTTCTTTTGTTGTTTTACCTATCACGGGGCTGAAGAGCTCAATTCTTAAAAGACAATGCTGGGCTTCGTGAACCTCAACCGCGTTGCGGGACCGGGCGGTGCGAAACCCGGTGTACACGTGGAACGGGAGGCAATACCGGACGGACGGCTGGATGGCTACCGCCGCCCCCTCGGCGACCGAAAGTTCGGCTGGAGGGTCTTCCAGGTGGTCGAGCACTGCGTCGAACATAACCCTTGTTACAGCGGTACCCAAAACCCCCTCGACAAGGGGTAGTGGTGTTGGTGGCAGCAGCGGTAGGGGCAGCGGTAGTAGTTCCATCAAAGCACCGGGTAGGAGGGGGATAACGCTAGTAAAGAACGCCCGTGGAGCGCGGCGGTATTAAAAGGCCAATGGGGGAAATCGACAGGAACAAGGTAATATACCCCGAAGGCAGAGTGAGTGGTGGCCCTCACAACACCGGCAGGCAAATGAATACGGACTCTTAAAGCCCTAACGCCAACGCGACTCCCGAAATCCTCATCTCGGGAGGAGGAAGAGCGACAGCGCCGTTTATCGGTAGATTCCGGCGGGATACGCTGGGAATAGGGGATAGGTGGCTATGTAGTCGATAGTGAATAAGGAATGGGAGATAGGGGATGGAGGATGGAGGATAGAGAGGGTGGAAATCCTGTTAGCATAGATTCATTCTTGTCAATACAATTATAAACAGACGGATTTGAAATCTTTCGGTTTTCTTTAAATATATAAATACAGGCAGGGACCTAATTATGTGCGCTTCCTTTGAAAAGAGGTTGGTCCTTACAGCCAGCCTGTTGTTGTAACCTTCGCATGTGGCATAGGGGGTTGTCATTGTCCAGATCTGCTTACGTAACTGACCACAAGTGTCAAGTAGCAGCCACAGAGAAGCCCGGCCTCTGATTGGGTAGCCACACAATCAACAGAGTTATGTAGTGAAAGACAGGGCGGTTCTAGAGATATGATTGGTTGCCAAATATGTGGCGGTGCGAATGAAATACCATGTATAGCAGACTTCATACATCTATCAGAGATGTCAACAGTCAGATGTTATAATATACATTAGGTTAAGTAGGTTAGGTACATACGAATAGGGAGACAATCGTAGGGCGAAATACACTAACCTTAGGTACTAGATCTATAGCGTACTGTCACGTTGTAGGCGTGGGGCTTTAGGTAAGGAAAGGCAAACAACTTCGTTGTTCCGCAAGGAATTCTAACTGGGATAGGTAGCTTTGAAGCCAAATCTATATACATACAAACATCGTCCTTGTCCTTAAACAGTCTCGAGTGAGACTCCTAACACGTACAATCAACCATGATTTACTTATCTACAAGACGTCACCAAACCCAAAGTTTCACTTGTGGCTAGTTAAAGCTTTTTTTTTTTTTTTTACGAATAATCACTCACCACTCAAGAAGAGAGAGCATGGGAGCCACGCCCGTAGCTCATGGGCGGCACACTCACACATCACTATCGCATCCTATACGTATGTAAGAGACAAATGTTTTATTCTCCCTTATATATCTGATAAGCTTCAAATCTCCTCCTCCCCCTTTAATCAAACTCATGTAAACTTCGCACAACCAAGCCACCGAGATAAACGGGTATCCAGTTTCAACCGCATAGACGATATAGGCAAACGCTAAAATCCAAATCCCCAAAATAAAACAAAATAAAACAAAAAAATAAATAAATCCATAATTGGGTATCCCCGCCGACGTAAAGCACTAATGGGTATTGGTATAAGTGCTCCGAACCCCGAGATGCGCCGCAAAAGCCGTCCAAAATGCCAAAATCCAGTCTCTTGTTCTCCTTCTTTTTTTTTTCATCGCCTAGTTAGGTAGTTAGTTAGTTTAGTTAGCCATTAATCAACCAGATAAAGTCCTCGAGACCCCCCCAAGTGAGATAGATAGATGACGATGCTTGCTTACCTCTTACCCCTTTTTTTTTCTTGAGCGGGACGCGTGTGGAAACGCGCTGCGCTCAGAGGTCCCTAATGGGAATGGGAAGACCCCGAGGTAAGCCACGTGTCGGCGAACTGGTACACGAAGCCCATGGCGCCGAACAGGTCCGCCTGCTCGTGGGCCTGCGCCACCGCGGGGTCTTCCTGGGGCGCCTCCTGCTGCTGCCGAACCGCGGGCTTGGGATTCGGCTTCTTCTTCGTCTTGTCCTTCGCCGGCTTCTTCGGCTTTGTCCCGGCCGCTTTGGGCGGGGTCAGGAGCCCGGTGTCCTCACCGTTCGCGTTCGCGTTGGTTTTGGACTTGGTGCTGGACTTGCGGCCCTTAGCCTTAGCCTTGGTAGCCGCAGGCTTCTTGGCGTCCGCCACCGCTGCCCCCGCCCCCACCCCGTGGGACTCCGCCTGCTGCTTGTCGGCTGAATCGTCCTTGTCCAATTCAGCCTCCATCATCGCGAGGATGTCATCAGAATCCTCGTCCCGGGCAGCCGCGTGTCCCATAGCAGCCATCTCCTCGGCGAAGAAGCCCTCCGGGGTACCCGCGTTTCCGTCAGCGCCCGCCCCCGTCTCCTTGTCGAGCGCGCTTTCCATCGCCGCCAACTCCGCGTCCGCATCATCATCATCCTGGGCTGGCGCCTTTTCGGCTTGCGCCATTCCTCCGTCGCTGACCCTACGGGCCGCGCCGGCGCCAGCCACGGACCCCTCGCCAGTCCACTCCGCGAAACCCGCGTCCGTAAGAGTGGGGCTAGCGAGTTGGCCGTTCCGCCGGGCGTATTGGCGGTTTATCTGGTGGTATGAGGTTTCCCCCACCGCCACCGCCACCTCCGGCGCGGGCGCCGGTGCTGGCATTGATGCCGATGCCGATGCCGCTGGCGCTGATGATGATGATGTGGATGGAGTAGGTGGAGTATTGGTGGTAGAGGCCTCAGGCTTGTTAACTTGGGGGATAACTCCGCCAGTCATCTGAATGCAGGGGAAAAGGGGGAAAAAAGAAAAAACTAGTTAGCAACAACTACCTATCTTACGTGATCCTCGCTGAGACAGATTACATGATATAGATGTTGCTACAATAGTACTTAATTTTTTTGGGGGGGGGGGAACAAGGGGGGAAAGGGGGGGATTGAAAAGAAAGCGAGGCTTACTGGGTCTATCCACCCATACGTTCTTCTTTTCCCCAGCTTGTGGATTTGGAACTGCGTGTTGATGGAAACGTTGGTGTTCCTCACGGTCTGATCCGAACTGAATTTGGATTGCAGACCGCGGATGCGTTTCCTGCGGTCGTCTTCTCCGTCACCGGGGGATGATTGTGGTCGCTTCCCAACCATCGTGTCAGCCTGTTTAAATACCTGAGATATTTTCTTGTTAGCTTGTTGTGGTGTGGTGTGGAAAGCAATGATAGGTAGAAATACGGCGACGATGAGTAGGCCGTAGATCAGTTGTTTGTACCTTGGTAGGTGCCTAAGGTAGATAGATAGATTGACGAAAAAATAAAGTGTTTAGATGATTTGTTATCAAGTTTTGTTTTTCCTGATTCCAAAATCTTGTGCAGGGAGGCTTGGGGATAATAGAGGTGGTTGGATGTGTGAAGAGAGACTGGATTTTGAAAAGTCAGGAAAGGAGATTGAGAAAGGGTAAGGAAAGAAGATTGAGAAAAAATGAGGAAAGAAGACTGGGGAGTGTAGGGAAATTTATATACAAGTGTTCGGTCCAAGAGAAATCCGCTCGAGATTCGGACTTGTCAGTCTAAGGTTTTTTTCTAGTCTTGAGGCACGTCACTTCGGTGGTGCGACGCGCACGTAGACTCTAGAAACCGCTGATAGAGAGAGGTTGAATGCTGCGTGGCGATTTCAGTGAATGTTAAAGTACCTAATGTGTGATGGGCAGTGAGTCAACCGCGAGGCACCAGCTGTAACTTTTTTCCAGCGAGCGTTATTTCAGGGGCCAAAAAAAAAACCTACCTGGGTAGCCTCTCGCAAAGTAGAGGAGGTATAGGTACATCGAGGCTCTTGGACGGGACGGTCCAAGCGAGATAGATAGGTGTAGCTTCAGTCACAGCACGAAATTATAGAAAGCGGTCACTTGTTCAGAGATGCGGACGGGGCGTGTAAGGCCCAAAGAGCTATGGCTGTGATTTATTATATTTCAAATTTTACTATTTCAGCAGTCGGCATCGTCAGGAGGCCTACATTAAATATCCTCAAGATATCGGGTCTAGAAAGGGGGTACAATGATAGTGAACGTGGCCATTGTACAACGATACAATACATTGTTGCTCACACCCAAACCTCGTGAAAGAGATCGTCTCCTTTGTCCACGTACCTAACCTTTTGAGTTTTGAATACAAAGTGGCCTGTCAGAGAGATTCTGTATTAGCTTTACCTAGGTGACGACAGACTCTAAAGTAAAAACACACGAGCCAACGAGTATACTAAAAAAACGCCGGCTGAACTATCTTTAACTCTACTAGGTACCTAACCTACCTACCTATCCAACCACCGCAGGACTTACGCAGTCGCAGATCCGGGAGTCAATGTGCGTTTAAGTAAAAAACGAAGGTTGTCTTAGGTAGACACCCGCGTATTGTGAGATCTCAGACAAAGCGTCTGGATAATCTAAAAAAGAACTTGTTTCGCTAGCACATAGCTGTTCGATTCGGGCTTCGAGAATGACCTAACACTATGGTCAATGCCCCCTAGTTAATTATACCGATATTTGCAACTTGTACATGAAAATCCATAGAGGAAGTACTGTCAGGGACACGAGAGATATGTGAATACAACAGGGCTCTATTGTCTATATGAAGGGTGGCCAACTGCCTGGAGGGAGGTTAGAAGGCCACGCGTCACTAGATCTCTACAATCGGCCGCATGCTATGTTCTCGCCACTCGCCCTGTCGGCGTACGACATCCATCACGGACATACCCTAATAGATAGATACCCTAACAGATACAGAGCTATAGCATGTGACTATATATTATATAATATAATATAAGAAATAGAGACGTTTCGACCGTGATTCAATATGGAACGCCTGGGCCTGAAGTTTAAAGTGATATAGCGCCATGAAAGCCTCGTTCTATTACATATCACACTACCTTTATTATTTTTTTTAAAAGCGTAGAGTAAGGGTATTATTACCCCAACAAATTAACAAATGCGATGTACCCTTCCACCCTACTGAGACAAAGGAAATATAACCGGTCCATACCTAATACACACACACCTAAGAGACTTCCTCTACCATCTTTCCACTGCCAAGACCACCTGGGACAAAAACTCTGCCCGATGGACCGGAGAGCATCTCTTCGGGGACGGCGACTCGGCTACCGTCCTTGTTGCTGACCCACCGGACAAATATCGGATTGGGTTTTCGAGATTCGACATCAGGAGTCTGCTCTCCGGCAAGTTGTGACTTACGATTAGTTTTAGGGGCCTGCTTTTTGAGTAGTTTGTTTATAGTCTCCATCTAAAATCCGAGTTATTAGCCATCATACTTTCTTGGTTATATTGGTCAATTTTCTAAAACGGCGCCGGCTTACTTTAACTTCCTCATTGCGCTTTTCACTCAAGTTTCGTCGTCGGCGTGCCATCTCGGCACGACGCATAGAAAGTTCCTCGGCTGTAAAATGCTTTTTAGCTTGTACCTCTGTAAATTTGTTAGTAGCAACTCTAGCAATTGGGGGGGGGGGTTGTGGTAGGGGTAATGAGCTGTTTACCGTCGGAGAGTTTCATAAGTGAATCCCCGTTTTCCTCGAAGCGGGCACGCTGTCGTTTGGTCATTCGGGTGAGATCAGGGGTTTCGGCGCCGCCGTCGCTATCAGCGTCGTCGTCTTCGTCATCTTCGGCGATATTGGTCGCCTCGATTTCCTCGTCTTCCCCTTCAGCATCTTCTTCGCCGCCGCCTCCTACCTTAACAGTGTCCTGAATCTCATCGGCTTCGCTCTCAAGCTCGCTGAGCTCTTCGTCATCGTCGCTGTCCCTCGCCTGAGAGGTGGCAGCCTTCGAGTTAGATTTAGCAGAAGCCTTTGACTTGCCGGTGAGGGCCCTCTTAGCTTTTGGCTTTGAGACTTTGATTACAGGTGCCGGAGGAGGGATTTGATCAACATCCATGTCGTCATCTTCACCCTCGGTGTCCTCATCGTCGTCTCCTTCGGCGTCGATATCCATAGTATCGTCGACAACAATTTCACCTTCGGCATCCTCGTCTGCCATGTCGTCATCTTCTCCCTCAGCATCTTCTTCTTCTTCGTCGTCATCATCCTCGTCATCATCCTCTTCAACTTGAACTTCGTCCTCTGCCTCGTCTTCTTCCTCATCGCTAGTGTCTACGACATAACTCTTCTTCTGAGATCGATTCCGCTTTCCATCCCCAGTTCCGGGGATCGAAGGTTGCTGACGGGCGGATTGTCCGGAACGGCTAGAAGTGGCCTGGCGAAGCTTGCTTGCTGGAAGCTTAACTGTAAAATGGATATGCTGGTTAGAATCTGAGGGCTCGGAAGGAGGACCGCGCAAGTCAGATGCCGCGGCACTCTTACCCTCAGACCGGCGAGAAGTCCTAGAGGACATGGTTCTGCCCGTACGACTATTGATATGGTTGTCGCTATCGACCATGTCAGTTATGGCTGTGTTTGCCCTCTGGGCAGCTGCACGACGTGGACGGGAAGACATTTTCGGGGTAAGTGGTAAGTAATCGTCAGAGCTGATAAGTGGTAAGGTAAGGGAGTAGATGAATATTACGTTAGATGGGGGGAGGGGAGAATGAATGGAGTGTAAGTGAAGTTGGGTAATTGAATGACAAATGACGAAATTTGGTGTTTGCAAAGAAAGAATAAGTTGAATGAGGACAAATTAAACAAGTTAATATGTCAGGTCCGACGTGAGGTAGAAGGTAGCTTTTTATTTTTATTTTTTATTTTTTTTGGAGGGTGGCGCGCAAACCGAAAGGGGTCGGTCGTTCTTATATTTATTTTATCTTTTTTTTGTCGTAGTTGAAATAAGCCTGGGACGTCATATGCCGTGACACAGTGATGTTTGATAAGTTTTGATATCAGTTGAGTTTTATGTGTGTGGCATGCGCCATGCGGTGTATGCGGTACTATATTGGTTGGTTGCCTTTGGAGGTGTGTTGATCTGATGGCTTTGCCTTTTGGTTGCCCTTTTTGGTGCCCTTTTTGGTTCATACGGTGCGCAAACAAGGTACCGGGTCGGATGTAAGAGAAGAAGAACAAGAAGAAGCAGGTTGCCGAATGTTTGGATGCTTTGGATGCTTTAGATCGGGGAATATGTGATCGCGATTGGTCATTGGCCATTTTCCATCGAAGCTGAACCAGTTGAATTTGTTCAACAACATATTTGAGGCAACACAGCAACACAGCAACACACCCTGACCCCTTTCAAAAGATTTCCCTTTTATACCTCGTACCACCGTACGCACACACACGCTTCAGGGCAAACAAGCATTGACCTGCGCTATGCATCGCATCGCATCGGATCGGCATCGAGTTGCATCATCCCTCAATCCTCAATCCTCATTCTCATTCCTCTCCTATCTCATCTCCCCTTTATCAATTCCCCCCCTCTCCTATCATTATCGCATATTCATTCACTTGATTCACTTGAACATCATCCATACACCACTCCTCAGCATATGGATAATTTCATGATATGTTTCTTCCCAATATCTCCCCCTTTTTTGCTTTTGAAGGTATTGGTACATATACTGATCTGATGAATTTGGGACAGGGGAAAGATGGCGTATGCTGACGAGAGAAAGAACGGGGGGCTGGCTCATCATCAAGAGTTACAGCTAAGACTTACATGATGGTTGGATTGAGAATCCCAAATACCCTCGTAATATTTCCAGCTGTGGCTGACGGGCTGGGCTAAACGATAGGTAGGTGACTTCCTTTCAATTGGGGAATGTCGTTTTGGCTTTTTTCCAGCTGAGTTACCTCGTCAGACCTCGTCAAACCTTAGCGACTTGGACGATTGGCCTGTAGTGGTCTGTCCTTCTAAGTTTCTAAGTAACCGAGCTTTCCAAGTGTAACAACAGAATCGAACAACAAATAGAGAAGATCCTTCTTCTTGATCGTCGGTAGTGATGCAGGTGGGTACAAAATGTTTTCGACTTGTGATAATGAGAATGAGATGTGAGAAGAGGCACGTCTCAGGATATTAGATATGTATATACGACCCCAGATCTCGATAAAAAGGGTAGGAATATGAGAGAAAACAGGGAGAAATTCTTAGAAACAAGAGAAATATGAAAATGCCTTCTGGACTGAAATGATTATTGCTATTAAATATTTCTTAGGTACTTCTAACCTTTCTTGAACCAAGAGAGAAACGTACCTTTGACGATGAAATGATTCGAGTTCAAGGGCGCGACTGATGGATTGTGTCACGTGTAGAACCCGCGTATACGCATAGGTAAGATATATACACGTGAGGAATGTTGTGCATTAAATTACCTTATGCAAGTTATGAATCGTTAGATAATCCCACCAAGTTTGTTAGCGTTCCCTATCTTCCCTTATCAATTACTGTATGTACAATGCAGGCCGCATGTCCAGCCATTGCTAGGTTCCAATTTAGAACGTACCGAGGTTGATTACGACATGTACCTCGCGTTGCCGTGTGTTTATTGAACTTGCTACCAAAACCTACCTAAATCAACTACCTATTGATAATTCAATTCCGTTCATTCCCCATTCCCAACACACTCTTCAATAGCTAGAAACGGCCCTGCTACGATTAAATCAATTCCCCCTCCTCGCCGTCGCCAACCATGGCCGATCCAAAACAAAAGATCCCGTCGTGGCAGCACGCCCAATACGAGGCGACAAAAGAGGCCCCCGAAACCAGCGAATCTCAAGAGGACGTCACAGTCGCAGCCGATAAGACGGATGCCGTCACCTTGGACCAAGTCCGAAAGTTCCTCAAGGACGACACTGTCCGGAACTCGAGCGTAGAGAAGAAGCGGGAGTTCCTCAAGGGCAAGGGGCTCGACGACGCCCAGATCCAGCAGCTGCTGGATGAGATCGACGAGCAAGATGCTGCGCAGTCTACTTCTTCTTTGTCTTCTCCGATCAACACACCTACGAGTAGCATGTCCTCCCTCAACGACGACAATGAGCAAACAAGCGAGAAGGAAGTCGTGGAAGAAAGCACAGATAGATATATCGAGAGAGCTGTCCAACCAACTTCGTCCTCAGCAGCAAACAACAATAATAACAACAACAATAACAGCAACGTAGCCCCCATCATAACATACCCCGAATTCCTCACCGCCCCGCCCAAGCCCGAACCCCTCATCACCCCCTCGCGCCTGGGCAACATCCTCGCCGTCACGGGGGGCATATGGACGCTTCTCTACGGCGTCTCGCGCTTCGGCGTGAACCCGATGGTAAACGCGCTCAACGACTCGCGCGCCGACTACTTCGCGCACGTCGGCTCGCGGCTCTCGCGGCTCGTCGAGAAGCTCGAGGACACCGTCAGCGAGGTCCCTTACCATAACAACAACGGCAAGCCCTTGCTGTCGTCTCGGTTGAGAGGAAACGACGGAAAGGAGCGGGGAGAGGAAGGAGACGACGATGACGAGAGCACGTTCAGCGACCCCACCGAGATGTTCCACAGGGACGTCGGCACCCAGACCTCCCCCGTCATGCAGACCGCCGAGTTCGGCTCCAGCACGAGCAGCCTCGCGGACCGGCCGATCGACGCGCAGGCGCGGCGACTAACGGCCCTGCGCGCGTCCCTGCGCGAGATGAGCGACATGCACGTGCGGCACGCCGAGGGCGCCGCGGACCTGAACGCCCTGCTGCGGGAGGTCCGCGACGAGGTGGACAAGCTGGGGGTCCCGCCCATGCTGGACTTCTCGGCCGTGTACGGCGGGTTCGGGTACGGCCGTAACAGCGGCAGCGGGGAGGTCAACGACGAGGTGAAGAAGACCAAGGACGCGATCCGCAGCGTCAAGGGCATGTTCCTGAGCTCGCGGAGCTTCCCTACCACGACGGCGCGCTAGGAGACGAGTCCCGTGCGCGTAGGTGAACGGAACAAGGACGGTGAGAGGTCTGTGGTCACTAAGAGGAGAAAGGTGACGGTGAAGGAGAAGAAGGAAGAGAGGAGGGAGAGGACGAAGGAGAAGGCGAAGGGGAAGGCGAAGGGGAAGGAAGAGATGGAGTGTAAGGAACTTCCACTTCCCACGCACCACTGTCCGCGGTCTGACTCCGTGTTATTACAGGATATGTCACCACAGGACGATGCTAAGACCAAGGCTATCCCAGAAATTGGTCATCCCCCCGGAGCCCGCCCGCGCGGCATCCGTATCTGAACCGCGGCTCACCACGCCGTCGCGAAGAGAATACTAGGTGTGGTGAGGGCTTCCCGCGGATGCTTAAGATGCGAGGTCGACGACCGGCGTCTCACCAGCTCGTTATGACAAAAAAAAAGACATTCAGGTAGAGGTTTTTCTTTAAGACATCAAACCGTACGAGCTAGGATTATGATACAAGGTACCTACCTAGGACACATGGGTTACCTAGGTTACGAAGCGAAATAAACTTTACATTGATTATGTACCTAAGGTACCTACATGAACGGAGTTATGGCTGTGGTGGATTTCGCTAGGTCACATAGCTGGGACTGAAATACATATATATATATAATTCATAATGAAGAGAAAATGGACTTAGGTGCTACATGTATGATGCCGAATTTACCTAGATGAGTGCTTGGTATTGGGGTAGCTACCTCTAACCTACCTATGTACTTTGGCGTGTATATACCATGAGTACCTAAAACAGCGTATAACCTCTGTTTAAGGAGATGTGCAATGAATGACTTACTGATACGATTCTCGTGCTGCCTACCTCAACACTCTGTCTCGAGTATCTAACACAAGTTCCCGGGCAGTGTATTCATGAACTAAGGAGCTACATACGTTCTGTACTCCGGTAATATTCTCAATGGTCTTCAATCTCATTAACACGTACACATCAATCTCGATACGAAAGAAGCAAGGATAGAAGTTATTTAAGAATATTCCTTTTTGAGTCGCTATCGCTCAACTAATATACAGGGCAACTACCTATTATCCCTGATTATCACACAGCCAAACCAAGCCAAGTCACCTTCTGTCCAGACCGTTGAATCCATCCCCCCTCGTGCAAACGCCGCAGATGCAATGTCCAACGACCAATCTCCATTAGTAGTAGTAAACCATATGTCCACTCCAGGGACGCGCAATGCAGACGAAAAAAAGGAAAAGAAGACTGAGTCGTAATTACGTTGGTGGCTTGGGCCGAGATACCGGATCTCTCTTTCTCTTTCCCCTCTTGATTTTTTTTCTTCTCTTCTCTTCGCCTAATGAGTATGACAGATGAATGAGTGAACGAATGAATGCCTGTCGCTAATGCAATACCATACCATGCCGTACCGTACCGTACCAATGCCGATGCAAGAATAATGTCTCATCTATCCATCCACCTCGCGGCTGAGTACCCTAGAGATATCCGCAGAAGGAAACGCAAGGTATGCTCTGATATTAGTGAAAGGAAGAATGCCTGTTCGATTATATGTATGCATGTACGCTGTAATAATAATAACAATCGCCAATGAATGAAAGACAAGAAAACGAAAAAGGGACTGCGCTGACTGCGCATAGTCACCCTAAGTAATAAAAGAGATCTAATGATGATCAACCGTGCTTCGGGTCTCGAAAGGGGTCCACGATCAGCGCTCGTCCACCGTTATAGTTAGGCGGCAACGGGTCGTGGTCCGCGCGCTTCGTGTCGCCGTATTGGACGTAGGTACTGTGGCGCGTGTACGGGGGTGCCTCCTCGGTCGTGACAGGCCCGCCGTGCACAGTTCCGCGACTGAAGGCGTCGTCCCGGGAAAATGGCGAGGTTTGGTGATCAGGGTGAGCACTGGCGTCGCCTGCGCCGCCGAACTGCGGCATCTGCATAGGCGGGTTGCCTCCAGATGGTTGATAGGGGTCGAAGTTATCTATTCGCCTCTTGCGAGCATCTCCTGCGGCGTCACTATGGCCGACTAGGGTACGGAGGACACCTATCAGGACAATTATCACGTAAACTAAGAGGAGGCCAGTAGCAACCAACGCATCCTGGATGATACCGCTGCGCAACCAATCTGTGACATGAGTGACAGAGCTTGTTATCTCGTCAGTGGTGACACTGCTTGGAGAGGCCAGGAAAGATGTCATGTCCGAATCGCCAGAGATAGACTTAGCGGCACCGACAGAGAAGACGTCATTAGGGAACATAGGAAAGTTGATATGAGCATGGTCATGTACCCAGGTGAGACCCTTCTGGACTGATTCGACCTTCAGCCCAATCAAGCATCGAACCGTGTTTGCGGCAAGATCCTTGAACATTGTATGGCCAAAGACCGTGGTAAGGCCCTTATCAATCTCTGACATGAAGGTGTTCAGGGTGTTGTTGATGGCGGCAGTGCCATTCGTCACCTTTCCAAGGATATCGTCGTTAATCTCAGTGCTGAAGGATCTAATGACACCATTTGCATCGTCGGCCCATTTCTGTGAGACGTTGTCTAGGGTGCCTACAACCTGGTTGGCAAAATCTCCCACTTGGTTAGAAAGCTCTGGGATCTCCTTCTGGATAGTGTTCAATAGCATCCACCGGCAGAAACAGGAGAAAAAGCCGGCTAACGCGAGGGAAAGGACGAAGAGAGCGGGGAGTGACGTGGCGTAAGAGATACACCATCGTACCAGAACCCTTCGCTTCTCGCCAAACTTCGAAGCAATCCAGTAACCAACTCGAGCCGTTGTCGGGCGTGAAGCCATGTATACGAGATCCATGTCGTCATAAGCATCTGAAGCGCTGATCTGAGCACGGCGCCATCGGCGCATCTCCATGTAGGCCATCGGGAGACAGGCGGCGATCGCAAGGAGAATCAACACCACGATGGCCACAATCTTGGCGGTATGGGCGATTTCGTACAATCCATCGAAGAAGTCGTTGATGGCAGTATTATCAGAACAGAAGGAGAGTGCCTCCTTCTTGGCTACGGGGAATATGCTATCGTTAAACTCCCAGTTGCCGTAAGCCTTGGTGAGTTCCTCTCGGATAAGGCTGAACGGGAACGATACAGCCATGGCAGTGAGGTTCTTAATATCGTCGAAATCAGGGAGCTCTTGGTTGAGGGCGTCCAAATCCGACACGAAACCGGTGGTATTGATATTGACGTTCGAGAGCTTGGCAGCAATCGCTTTGATATCGCCAGCGATCTGCGGCTTAGGCGGAATATCAAGACGTTTGAAAACCGTACCAGTAATCTCTGGCGGGGGTGGTGCATCATCACGCTTGTTGAAGATATCACCGATGCCACTGATAGCAGTCTCGATGGCCCCACCAACTGCCGCCGTTGCGGTGTTGATAGCTCCTCCAACGGCGCTGGTAGCTTGTTCGCCTGCGTTGACTGCGCCGTTGATGATCGAGTACATGGTGTCCACAGGTTTCTGGAGGTCGTCGGCTGTGCCGTTGATTGCCTGAGCAACGCCATCAATGGCATGGTTCATAGCTTCAGTGGTTTCGGTAATGACGAGCGAAGATGCATTCAGGGCTCCATGAACCACCATGGTAATCAGGCAGACGTAGGTGTCTGTCATCATACCGATAACGAAAAGAATGAGCTGCTCGATGCCGGTAAGGATCATGTCGAGAATGGTCATCAAAGCGTGTACAGATTCGGTGATGCCAGATGCAGTGAGGCGGTTGACTCCGACGGACAGGTAATGAGGCATCGAAGCCATGGCACTACCAACGTCTTCGACCTTCGTACATGCCGCCAGAGCCTTCACCTTAGCATCGTCGAGGTTTCCGTTCAGAGATCCTATGGTCAAAAGGAAGTTGGCCAATACCAGGAGTAGTAGAATAGTCCATCGGTTGAACCAGATCTGCGAGAGTCGCGAGCCGAGTCCTAGGTAGGGAGTAGGACCTTTGGCGGAACTCTGAGATAGAAGCTCGCGGGTCTTCATGCTTCGTACATCCTTGGTTTCGTAGGCATCGTGTTTTAGTGAAGGAGGCACTTGAGGAAAGCCCTCCTGTTCGCGGAAGATAGCCATAGGCTTGGGTTTCTCGAGTTTATCCAAATGTTTTGGATGTTCTTATTGTCGTAAAAGGGAAAAAAAAATACAAAATTGAAGAAAAAAACGCGGGTATAACTGAAATGTCGAAGAAGAGAAAATGAGGGAAACGAAGCAGGATTGGATTTCCTGATAGATTGTCTCGTCTTCTTAAAAGCAATGCCAGATGTACTTCTTGGGGGACTTTTGTGCCGCTCCTGTACGATGTAGTGTTGTTAAGATGGAACAAAAGGGTATCGCCAAAGGAATTATAAATAGAGGGAAAATGCGGCCGAAAAGTAAGAAAAGGGAAAAAAAAAATTGTGATTCATTCAACGATGTATCGTATGTACCGTAACTGCATTAACGTCACAGTAGGTGACAGAGAAATAAAAAAGAAAATTGTTGTAATTGGCAAGTAAAAAAAAGTGATTGTAGTGGGACAATGAACATGATGGAGGGGAGGGGAGAGGTGTTGAATGATAAAGAAGTCGTTGTAATATCAAATCTCAACCCACCTCGCGGCCGCAACGAACAGACCTGGCAACCTGACAACCTGCCGACTTGTCGACCTGTCAAGGGCAGCTCAAGGGCAGCTCCAGGACCGAATGACCAGGACGGGTCTTGTTTCAAAATAGAATGTATAGATGCCTTTGTTTCGCTTATCCACCGTACTTAATTAGAAGGTTCTTTGTCGGATCGGTTTGTTCGTGAAGGTTACGCGCGGTGTAGAGACGTAGCTTAAGCGCCAGCGATCATTCTCAGCCAGTCGATTCCCTTGTCTCCGCGCCCTCACCATCCGATTTCCTTGGCTCATCTACCTGGCCAGGATACCGATTTAAAGGTCAAATCCGGATCAGATATCATTTAATTATGGGCTTCGTTGCTTCTTACTGAGCAAGTTTTATATCGTGGATCTCGCATCCAGCTGTGCGTCTTTTCCACCACACCGAGGTCGAAATGTGTGTACACTCTACGCACTTATGCTAAGTGAATACGTGGGCACCTACTAATGCGACCATACTCAATTATCTGACGGTGGTCTACCGTCCTTCTACTCCTCCGTATCCTAAATAGTGTAAATGCATATTTGTATAATTGATTGGTAGTCCGTTAATCGTCACGATTTTGCTATGACGTTTGTGCGGTTGAGCTACGTAATCCGAAGCTGAGGTTTAGATTCAAACTAGTACCTAGGGATGCTAGATTAGGTGACATTAAAATGGGTAGATTGCATATAACAACATTTTGAATCCCGTTCGTCCCTTTGCAGGGTTGCATACGGAATACGCCTCTCGTATGCAGGAAGGGTTCCTGCCGAAGACTTGCATCATGAGGCCCACGAAGAGGCCAGAACAGCGAATATGTGTCTCCTCGTAGATTATATAGAGAATACAGATTTCGAGAAATAATATTTAAGAGTCATGTTCTTAGAAGGGCTGTTTGATTCACAAGAGTATACAATGACTGTATGTTTTAATGGTCGATGGTTGATGGTTACAGACACTTCTAACAAAAAAAGGAGAAAATGGGTTGGACAAAGGTACGTATTGTACAAGATATCTGTTACAGATATGATAAGTAAGATCTTTCAACCAATCAAAACGTGTTATTCAGCTGCCCCCAAGCCTATTGGTCCCTGAATGGGGAACCTGGAAACTTTATTGTGCCTTCAGATCTGCAACAAAGATCAGGACAATGAAAATTCTCCCATACGAAAGATGATTAATGATTTAGGTACCTACCTAACCTATATCTTTCTATTTCTCATATAATACCTCTTATCTATTCACCGAGCCAACTTCAAGTTTAGATATCTTCTCAGCTATCGGGGGACAGGTATTTATGATCTACAACATGCGAAATAAACCATCATAAATCGATATGACAATTCAGAAACGTGTAAAAAGGGTATTTGCGTACAGACTTCTAAAAGCTGTCGTAGAAATCCGCAGTACCGTAGGTACCTCTCTCTTGCCGCCACCCGCCATAAGGTCCAAACGCAAATCTCAGACGAGCGGCAGCTGTGTAAGACGATTGGCCGAAAACTCGCCGGCGGCTGCGTCGCACCGAAACCCCCTGTAGTACAATACAATACAATACCTCATACGCCTGAAGCTTCATACAAACTACCTCCTAGGCTGTGCCGCCCAAATACGTATTGTACAGCGGGAAGGAATACCTTAGGTACGGTCAGGACTGACTATCTATCTTACCTCGGGTGAAAATTAGGATTACCGAATCTTTTACCTACATCTTAACCCCGTAAGTTGTCCGTCCCCCTTGTATAATAGGTATAAATACCCGACAGCAAACAAGATTCTGGAGATATAATAGCGGGCCGACGTTAAGCGCCGGCCACCACCAGCCAATAGAGCGCTCAGCGCCAATACCACCCCAGACGCCCCTCGGACAGAATTACGTAGAGAGCGGCTTCTTAAATAGACCTCTGAAAAAAAAAACCCTTTTCTGGAGGTCTCCTATCAGCATTCCGGATCCGTATCATAATAGACAGCAGTCTGTACAAAATCTGCCACGATGATTGTTCACTAGGTAGGTTAGGTGTCTCGCATGTACCTGAGGTCAGGTTATACGGCCCGCAGCCCGAGAAGAAGGTATAAAAATGTTCCGTGTGGATTAATTTCCTACGTAATGAGCCATGGCCCTATCGCCAGACTCCTGTCCCTTACTCTATACATACATACATACGTGAAGTAAACTACCTAAGTAGAAGTAATTTACCTACGCGGACGACCATCACGCAGTCACGCATCCCTTCCAGGTCCTCTTCCTCTGGAGAAGACCGTTCAAGGAACGCGGCGGCGTGTGGCACGTCCACAGGTCAGTCCTGCCGATGAAGACGGCCCAGTTCCACCTCAGCATCGTGCGCATCACGTCGCACCTCAGCCAGAAAGTGGCCGTGTGGGTATCGTGTACGTAGTCGACCGTGGTCACGACGTTCATCCCGTCTTCCCTCATCTCCTGCATGAAGGCCGACGCATTAAGCGCCCGCTCCTCGTCGTCCAGCAGGACCGCGGACAGATCGCTCGGCGGCAGCGGGTACTTCAAGCCGTTCCAGAAGACCAGCACGAACTCGGGGCAGTCGAGGTACGGCGCCCAGCTGTGCGGGATGTTGACCGTGTACTCGGCGATGTCCTCCGGGGGAAGTAGGGTTTCGCTCGGCACCACCACCGTGTAGGGGAGAAGGCTTCGCCATTGAGCGACGAGCGTAGTGAATTCCGCCAAGGCTTAACGCAGATAGCGCGAGACGGGTGTACCTTATCCACGGCAGCGGTATCGAGCCGCTTGCTCCTGGTTGCTCTAGCCGTGGTGGTGATTGTACCCTGGCTAAGAGACTTGATGATTTGTGACAGCCAGTGGCTGGGGTAGCCCAGCTCGCCCATCCGAACAAGCAGTCTCAAAAACGCCGTGAGGTTGAGAGGCGCCTGGAAGCAGCATTCGTTCGGAGGGCGACGAAACGGTGTGCATATCTTGAGGTAGTGAGCGAACATCCACTTGAAAAAGCTCTCTCGCGACATTAGCTTCCCCAAAGGCTGAGGTCCGTCCTCGCTCTTCTCCCAGCGGTAGTATCGAAATATGACCGTGTCATGTTTGGGAGGCTCCTTGCTTTGCTTGACTTGGAAATGCTTCTCGATCATCTTTCTGTCGTACATCAATAAGGTCTCCGCGTTGAAATGGTTGATGCCATCCCAGAATGTTAGGGAACACGAGCTAAAGCCTGTGCCAACCCCTTTCTTTAGTACAGGGGGTCCATAAAGGAAGCTCGTCAACGATCCTCCGGTATAATCCCTAGTACTTGTATTAGCCTTCCCGCAAGCATTGTTAGTTACCTGATGAAGGATCGACTTACGGAATGTCGTTCAGATGGATCTGATGGTATTGTAGCGGCCAGTCGATGGTGGTTGTCGAGCCAGGATCTCCTGCTCCCCCCTTTTGGTCCGGGCGATCCAAGATATCGTAGCGCATTCTCTCCAATACTTCGGCCACATCTCCGGTATTCATTTCCAAGATCAGCCTACCACGTAGCTGGACCAAATGCTGGCTAACCTTTTCGAAGAAGTCCTTCAAATGCTTTAAGCAATGCGATGCTCCACCGCGGAGCCTTATTCCGTGCAGGACCTTCAGTGTTGTTATGACAACACTGCACGGGTGTACTTCCATTACATCCAAAGCCAGCTCTTCGAGTCTTTTATGCACTACCGGGTCGAGAAGTGTAAAATTTACTTTCCAATGCTTGTTCAAGTAGTCAGAGAGGCGCTGTCGACCTCCCTGCTTTCCCGCCTGGTAATCTCCAAAGAGGGTGGATACGCCTGGCTCGAGGCTCGGCAGCATATCTTGCGGGGGGAATATGACAGAGAAGTCTTCAAAGGTTCGTCTGTCTATCGAAAACTTGGATAGAGTCTCCGCCGCCCTCGGATGTGCCTTGGCGCCGTGTTCGACCAGATGGCGGTGTATTTCCAAGGTTATATACAGCGTCGTAAGGTTGCCCTGCCAGCTCTTCAAGATGGCCACCACGCTGTCCATCTGTTTGTTCGGCAGATAACCCATTTCAATGGGTTGCTGCGTCTTCTCGAGCCTATCTAGTAGCTTGGTGACGGTCTCTTGCAATTTGTCCCATGCAAATTGTGGGATAATTTGGGCACAGTACGCGTAACTCAGACTGAGTAAAGCCACGTCTTTTGACTCCTTGTTACCAGCTGCCTCGAGAAGCAAGCTGAAAAAGACCAGATCTCGAGCCACAACAATCGGTTTGTGGTCTACCATGGTTAGGTGCAGCTTCTGAGACCCCTTCTTCTTTAGAGAGTACTCCAAGATAGTGTGAAAAACGTGGCGAGCGTCTGAGACACCACCGAACATCATGGACAAGACTGGATCATTCTCAGCAGACTTCTCGAGCTCAGCTGTGTATAGAGATTCAGCAATATCGTTACCGAAACCGAAGTACTCCGGTTCGTCATTGCTTTGAGATGTCAGTCCATAACCAAATTATGAATCTCTTCGATGCAACTTACATGCTTGGCTTTCAACGCGGGAGTTGCACCACCATCTCACGCAGCAATTCTTGGCGCGGAGGAGAGTTGTCGATTTCTCTGAGTTCTTCAATCGTGTCCTCAAGATCAGCGGCTTCCTCGCCAGGCACCAACTGATTCAAGACGTTTTCAGCATCGTCCAGGCTTGACTGATGAAGATGAGCCTTCACTTGTCTGAATAGCAATTTCTGCTTGAGAGTGTTGTTTTCCGGGCCAGTTTGAAGGATGCTCAGGGCTTTTGTCGAGAAGTCAATGCATTCTGTGTATTTGCAAGTTTCGAAGCTGACGGCTGAAAGGTTCGACAACGGAGAAGGATCCGAAGGAGCCAGAGTAGCAGCCTTCTGATATTCTTTGAATGCTAAATCATAATTGTCAGTAGGTAGACATTTTGGATAGCGAACATAGTGAATGCTCACCTTCGTCGAACCGGCCTTTCCGTAGAAGCCTGGATGCTCTTGGTAGCCATCGTCGATGATATCGACGGGTATTTGTTCTTCTGTGCTTAAAAATTTCGTGGAGTGAAATTAGGACGGAAAAGATGGATTAAGTAGACATCAAGGATTAAGTAGACATCAAGGATTAAGTAGACATCAAGGTTATTTGGCCAATTTTTTTCTGATGTCCCGTTTGCAAATGTACAACAAACGTAGGGAGAAAAATTTCAAGGCAGCTGCCAACTAATATGCCTATGCCTCCTGTTGCCTTAGGGAATAATTCTTTGTTGTTAAAAAATTGCAGCTGTCACCAGGTATGGCGGCTTCTGCGGAATCTTAGGCCCCTTAGGAATCGCCAACTGTCACTCCAGAAACGACACTTTTTAGGCTAACTTGATGTGTTCCATGCAGAGCGCTGGCTTTCCGTTGGTATTTTTTTTTCTTTTTCTTTTCTTTTCTTTTCTTTTTTTTTAAAAAAAAAAGAAGAAGAAGAAAGGCTCACTGTGGACTCACCACTTGGGTATAATGAGTATTAAGGCGTTTATCTACTACATAAAACAATACATACTTACAATTCTATCTCACCTAAAGTGACCAGTCAATACAATTTAGATATGTAACTTGTGCAAACAGACGAGTTTATTAATTGAATCCTATGGCAACCTACATTCTGCGAGTTGAAAAAAAATTATTTGATAGGCAAAGCACGGTTACCATGCACCGTCCCGAGGCAGCCGTATTGGAAGGCATACATATACCTACCTCCTACCTAGGTAGGTTCCTAATAGGACCATACAACACATCATTCCATTCTCATGCCAAATCCGAGAGTTGTTGATTCCGATGTAGGTACTAAGCCTCGGGGCTAGAGTAAAACCAACAATTTCGTACCGATTCTCAGGGTCGAACGCAAAAATGAATTGATACGTAAAAGGATGGGAACGGAATGAAGCGTCAAAGCTTAGAAAAGACACGTTTATCAAATGAATTGGGATATCTATATGGGATGCCGAGCTATGCTACGGAACAGAACATATTACCAGGTGCTTCACCAAGAACAATGCAATTTACATAGCCCTCCCCCCTTTCCAAGCAAACCACATATACCCTTAATTTCTCTGGCTTACTACCTAGAGACCATATGGTGACGATCTAAAAAAGCAACCGGCGGTATCCGCAAGATAGAAGAGAACTATTACAACCTGAATCCTGGTAGAAACTCGGATCACGGCAATGTGCTTGTGCAACTTGCCGGTGGGTCCACAATCCAAATACGATATTCCTAATCAAAGAGGAAGAAGGACATAGCCAATCCTGACATAGGCTTTCTAATAAGCCGTGGAGTTTCCGCGACGAGAAGCGGGCTTGGTCGTGGGCTTGGATTTGGATTTGGACTCGGACTCGAGGCGATCAAGAAGCTCGGCATTTTTCTGAGTAATCAACGCGAGCTCCTTGCGCAGTTCGTTAGCCACGTTGACCTCGTGCTCGAGAAGTTCGTAGCAGAACTCGATGATGCTCTCGATGTAAGGCTTCTCCTCAGGGGGGGCCGTGCGCTGGGGCCGACTGGGGATCTGTAGCGCATGACGGATTTCGAGGCGCTTCTTCTGTTTCTCCCTTTCTTCCATAGCCTGCAGAAGCTGGGTGCCGCCTGGGAGTTTAGAGATGTTCTGTTTGATTGATGCCTCGAGGCCTGCGTATTTCTCCTTCATGCCCGACAGTTCTCCCTTGAGCTCTTCAAACTGGACATGGAGTTCGGCATTGCGCTGTCCGACGAATTCTATAGCGCGTCTCAGAGCGTCAACCTCGCTAGCGATGGTCTTCGGAGAGTGAGAACGTTGAGTCTATATAACCAAGTTAGGAGAATTTACATTTTTATCAACATGGCTCTGGAGGTCGGGGCTTACCTCGTTGGGGGCTTCGCTGGGGGAATGACAGGATTGGGAACTTTGCTGTTCGGGCAGCTTCTGTTCGGGTAGTTCTTGTTTGGGCTGTTCTTGTTTGGGCTGTTGTCGATCGGGCTGTTGCTGATGGGGTGGCTGCTGAGCTGGTTCACGAACGGGCGCGCGAAATGGCTGATAGTCCGGTAGGGGATTCCGCTTATGACGCTGCTGATGACTCTTATGGCCCTGTTGATCGCCTTGTTGATCGCCTTGCGGATTACCTTGCTTATAGTCTTGGTGCGAGAAATCCTGTTGTTTTCGCCAAGATCCAGATGTGTGATGCCGGCCGCGACGACCATCGCGTTTCTGAGATCCTTTACCATCCATCTTGATGTAGAGACGAAAGTGGTTATTCTTTTGCGCTCATGGGTTAATCAGCCTTACTTGATGATGAGACTCAAGGAATGATGAAATGGAAGTTAATTGGAAAGATTAAATAAAAGCACAAGTAGGTTGTAGCGGCCTGATCTGCTTTACTGAGTGTGAGTGATTACCTAAAGTGCTGGTTCTGAATGTTGTTGTTATGGACAACAGCATGACAAATGCAGCAGCGCTATGGAAACACGGAACTTGTTAGACCTGTTAGACTTGTTAACAGCAGGCACCTGTGTTTTTTTCACCTGTGTTTGCACCTTACCTTAGGTATTTCCAAGGTACGACCACATGTAGATTTAATATTGAGGCAGTAAGTAATAAGTGCTCTTTCCTCATTTATTATGCCTTAGGTACCTTACCTACCTGGCAGGTCTCCGCACACGTTCTTTCCATCCGAATGTTTTTTTCTTTTCCCCCCCTCTTCTCCGTACCTTCTCTTATTCACTATACCTAAGGTATATGCTCTTCCACTTTTAGCTCCTCCGATATCTGAACCACTCCTTCTTTATAGAAGAGCCTTTGGTAGGTAGTTTAGATAGCCATCCCCGTAGCCCCTTTTATACTTGTTTTGACCTGAATGAGAAGTAAACGCTAAGCGCCACTCAGCTTGGAGATGGCTTTGGAGAAGGCGAATAATGAACGATCGGATTGGACTGGCGTTGACAATACCCAGGTTCTGATACGAGGTGACCAGAACAGCATGATTCTCGAGATTAACTTCTAAGAAGACTTCTAAGAAGATCCGAGTGCCTCATCGTGATTAAAAATCTCCATATTCCAGACTATATATCGTTAGATACTGTGTTCCTAGTAAGGTATCAGTATCCCCAGAGTGCGAGCAGCACTCGAGAAGTGAGTGAGATATTAGAACTAAAATGCTAAGGCATCTTAAACAAAATGGGCTATAGCTAATGTAGACGATACTGTACCCAGACTCGATAAACGGGATAAGATGCTGTTATATACAGTTCTGGAACATCAAGTATCATGAGATCCCGGCTACGATGATTCTCGGGGTCTTCTCACCGAATTTCCGGGACTGTTAGGCGTAAAAAAAAAAGGTTATCAGAGTCAGAGTAGCTAGAAGAGACCCAAAGGCACTCGACCAGAAGTAGATCATTGTTATTACAGACAAAAACGACGCCTTCAAGGCTTTTGCACGGTGGTATGGATAGCCACGGGCATCATACTTTCCCCCTTTTTTTAAGTACCAAGAGTGAATGTCTCCTCCCTGTGTAAGTTCATATGACCTTCGCTATTGCCAACAAATGCAGCAGACTATCAGGTACTATAGTAGATAAACTTTGGCAATCACCAATGAGATGCGTGGCATGTGCGGTATGGTACATCTAGGTACATACATGTGATCATTAGGTACCTATGTACATAGTATAATTGGCGTAGGTTGACCGTTGAATGACTACTATGTAAGGTAGGTGGACCCGGCTCGAGCCAGTAAAAGAAACAATAAGCCGGGGAACAAACAGCTGTCTTGGAACCTCCGAAAAAGGTTAGCACCTGCACCTTCCTCAGGAAAAGGTTTGCATTAGGTACGCTACATGGTACGCGTGCGGTGTACCTAGTACCATATCTAACGTATTGTACCTATTATACCATGCCTTAAGGATTTCGTTAGATAGGTACCTTATACATGCATCACTAGTCCCTTGAAACAAACCATTTCTTTAAGCCCCGTCCACTTCCCTTCGACATTTAAACATTTGTTCATGTTCTCTTCCCGGAAAAAAATAAAATAAAAAAATCATCGTCCCCCCCCCCCCCAACAACAAACAAGACCTTTCACTTTCCTCCCAAAATATTTCTTTCTTCTTTTAATTGATTTTGTCTAGTGAATCGGTAAGGAAGACGCACTTGGCCATTCAAGATAGGGAAGCATTCCAACACTATATATTCACGCGCAACGGTGAATTATTCCGGATCACCGTTCAGTCTCCTTCAATCATCCTCAATTCTACCCTTCGTCACTCAAGTTTTCAGCCCCCTTACCTGCACACCTCGACAGTACTTCCCCTACTGTATCACACCTAGGTCAGAGGCAGATTGACAGACAAAAAGAAAAACAAGAACAAGAATTTCAACTATTGATTCGGGCTGCTTTTGATCGACTTTGCATCTCTTCACCATCAACTTAATTGATCTGACCAAGCCAACTCCTAGTCAACCTCTAGTCAACTTCTAGTCGAGGGATCATCTGACGCATTTATTGATTGATTGACTAAACGTATAACATTGAACACTTGTCCATCACAAAAAGTGCATTTGCGTGCCTTGCAACTTTGCGACTCTGCGACTTCATCTTTTGGGACCAAGGATTTGCCGCCGATCTTGATACATAGACTTCTGCTCTCTGATCTTGCTACAACAAACTTGTCATCCAAGGAGTTTTGCCTACAAGGTTAGATTATCGACAAGTGAAATCGCCAACTGGTCTGTATTGTTGGCGCAATGGCAGAAGCACAGCCGAACGTTCAGGCGATCCTCGCCGCTTTAGCAGGTATGAAATTCTAACCGTGTTGTTTTTCTTTTCTTTCCTTTTTCTTGTTCTCTTTGCGATCGCGCAGCCTTTCCAATAAGCCTCATGAATTGAATCTGACCATGATATTTGTACTATAGCGGCACAGAATGGAGGTGTTACTCCATCATCTCAAGCTCAAACGCCCTATGCCATCCAAAGTTATCAACAAGGCCCGCCACCTAATGCATACGCGACATTACCCGCCACTACGCAAGCATCTCCATATGCAACCGGAGGTTATCCCCCCGTACAGCAGTCCTCAACACCTGGAGGTTTTGATTTAAGTGCCATTAGACCTATTACGTCTGGTACTGTCAATATTGGTGAGGCTATTGCCCAAGCCAAGACGTATGCAACTGAAAAGGGCTTGACTCCATATGAGCGACCTCCTGTTGGCTCGTACCAGACGCATGATGCTCGTGCTATGGATTCAAGAATTTATAGATCGAGGTCAAGATCGCCTACGCGCCGTGACAATTTTCGTGACAACGTCAATCCGTACCGGGATGAACGACGTAATGATCGTGGTGCCTCTGCTCGTGACTACGGTCGTGGTCGTGATCGTTCTATGTCGCCCGGCCTTAGTCGTGGCCGCCCTGCTCCAGGAGTATATTCGCCTAGAGATGATGATGATTCTGAAGTAATCAGCATTGAGTCAAGCTTAGTTGGCTTGATTATTGGAAGGCAAGGAGAGAATCTCCGACGCGTCGAGTCAGAAACCTCATGCCGTGTGCAATTTCTGTCCCCAACTGGCGAGCCTGGCCCGTACCGCCAGTGTAAGATCACTGGCCTTCGTGCAAGACGTGCTGAAGCCAAGGCGGCAATCAATAGAATTATTGAAGACAGTGGTATGGGTGCCCTTGCACGAGCTGGCCTTGATAAGCCTCAACATCCTCGTCGCGAGAACAATACCCCCGTCCCAGCTACACTGCGGGAGGGGGAGGATTGCATGCAGATTATGGTTCCTGATCGTACAGTTGGTCTCATTATTGGCCGTGGAGGTGAAACTATCAGGGACTTGCAAGAACGAAGTGGTTGCCACATTAACATCGTTGGCGAGGACCAGAGCGTAGATGGCTTGCGCCCCGTCAACTTAATCGGCCCACCGAATGCCGCCAGCCAAGCCAAGGAGTTAATCCTTGAGATCGTTGCAAGTGATAGCCGAAATGTCAATAATGGCACTAGCAACGACGCCACCAAGACACGCGTCCAAAGACCCGAGCAAGTTCGTGATAATAGCCAAGGTGCTGGTGACAAGATCAACGACTCTATCTTCGTGCCTGGTGATGCTGTTGGTATGATTATAGGTAGGGGTGGTGAGACCATCCGAGAGATGCAAAACACCACCGGGTGCAAGATCAATGTTACCGCATCTGTTCCTGGTCAATCTGAACGTGAGATTGGCTTGATTGGATCTCGTGATGCCATCAACCGAGCCAAACGGGCTATTGAAGACAAAGTTGAGGCAGTAGTAAGTTATTCTCCCTTTTATGATGTTTGATCTATATAAGTTAGCTGACATTTTCCCAGCGCCAGAAGAATAATGGTGGCAACCAAGGTCGCCCTCGCAACCAGCATCGCCGAGATTGGGATAACCCTAATTCCAATCCCAGCCCGACCCCGAACTATGGTCAGCAACAGCAGAGCAACCAGGCGGCAGAGCCCACAGCTGCTAACCCTGCAAACGATCCCTACGCTGCTTGTAAGTTTAAAGCATTCTTCTCTTCGTCTTGCGCATATTACTAACAAGAATGTAGATGGGGGTTACCAACAATACCTGGCTCTCTGGTATCAGGCCTATGCCCAACAACAGCCCGGTAGCCAACCCCAGGGTGAAGCACCTCCCCCTCCGGGAGCTTAAACTTGGATCATCTTCTCGACCTTCATTGCGGGGGTTTACTTGTTGCTCAGAGAGCTCACCGCGTTTGAAGGACCAACTGTTCGGACGGATTAATACGGACTTTTCCTCCATCATGGCATCTCCAGCTTTTTAATCCCGCCACTCACTATCAGCAGAAGTATGTTAAGTGTCCTGGACTGGAAAAGACTCGAGTTGTTCAACTTTCTCAGCGAGCTCTTTGGAGCAGACCTCGTTGGTCGGGGGGTTATCTATGGGATTCTCACCCATTCCCATTTGGCCTTTCCACGCGAATAGCCCGCTTTCGAGCTCTTCCTGGTTTACGAAATTTCCCATACATTTTTCGAATGAACTCGTGTCTTCGTTCGCATGTGTTGACGTCTTTCTTCTTCTCTTCATTTTTCTATTATACGACCCAAGTCCCCTCCCTCCTGGAAAACAACCGGCCCATCCCAGAGACTCCACGAACAAGAAGGAGGGTTTAGAGCGAGTGGGTTGCCTGTGTTCATAGAGAGTATTGGGCAGAGATATAAAGTTGGAAGGGCAACGCAACGCTTTTAGCTGATATAGCTACCGACGGCTACTACGGACTAAAAGGATTTACAGCAAGCGTCTCTTGGGCAAGGAAGGGCAACCGATAATAAGACTTATACACACAGGAAGACACCCACACTCTAATTGCAATACTACACGACTGGATGGCGGTTAAATGAGGATAGAGAAGGGGAGGGAGGGAAGGGTAGGGAAGGGAAAGGAAAGGGAAGGGAGGCTGGGGTTTGCAACTTCAAACGAACAAAGTTTCTGTACAAATAAGACTTTCCTCTGGGGTTATACGGGGTTTCTTTTCTAATTTTTCTCTTTTCTTGCCCCAGTTAGATAGGCCACGTCCAATATACTGGCATACGCAATGTTGTGTTTTCCTTTACGGGAGTATAGTCGCCGGCTGAGTGTTGTCATAGCATCGTGTGACGTCGTGATTGGCGTGCATGGCGTGAATGATGTTTTTTTTGGGATGTGCTGAATTAACTAACCTACCTACCTGACAGATTTATATTTTGTGTTTGTTATCTACTGGCGATGATATAGTAGGGACGATGTACCGGCGATGATGTGTTTAGTTGATATGTGGAAGATGTGAGAGGGCTAGGAGGTATTTATCTTTATATGTTGTACATAGGTACTTGATGGTGATATTGATGTCAATGTAACATGGAGCATAGATAGGATAGGATGAATATAATAACAGTTAACAAAAGGGGGTGGGGGAGAGGAGGAGACAATTTTCTCATGGTAGTATTGCTACAGTTTTATTATCTTTCCTGTACCACAGCCAGTGTAGGCTTTGTGTTTGTACTATGCTATCACACTACACGCGGCACCCGCTCAACGCCAACGCATCTGCTTTCCTTTGCAGTGTGAAAATGCTAATCTCAACTGGGTTTGCTTTTGCTGCCTCGCGGCCCACGCCTATGAGGTACCTACCGACAAGGTTGAAAGCACGAAATCTTTGATTGTAATCTGGGCCCGTCATAAATACCCAGTTATTTGTTACCGTAACAAGGTAACAAGGTAACAAAACCCTCCTGTTATAAGTCCCCATCTTTTTAGATGGATAAGTCGTCTCCCCAGACTTCCTTCGCGATCTCCACTTCCAGCCTAACCTTAGCCCATTGTTCTTCTTCAGTGAGATCGTTACCCTCAGAGGTCGAGCTGAAGCCACACTGGTGGCTGAGACAGAGTTGCTTCAGGCCCTTGGGGCAGAACGAAGCGGCCTCGTTGAGGCGCTTGATAACCTCGGCCTTCTCTTCAAGATCCGGCTTCTTGCTGGTCATAACGCCAAGAACAACGATCTTGTGCTCGGGTAGGTGGCGGAGCGGCGAGAAGTCTCCCGATCGCGCGTCGTCGTACTCGAGGAAGTAAGCGTCCACGTTTAGGTCCTTGAATAGAACTTCAGCTACAGGTTCATACCCGCCCTGCGCAAACCATTGCGAGCGGTGGTTACCACGGCACAGATGGATTCCAATGGCCATATCAGCAGGCCGCTTCGAGATTGCCGCATTAATGAGTGCGGCATATTGGCGAGCAAGGGTGTTGGCATCGCCATGTCGCTGTTCAGCCTCAGCACGCATCTTGGGATCACAGAGATAGGCCAAGTTAGTGTCATCGAGCTGTACAAACCGAGCACCGGCCTTATAGAGGTCATCTAACTCCTCCTGATATACGCGCGCTAGATCCTCGAAAAAGGGCTCGAGCGTCGGATAGGCCTTCTCGTCAATAGTCTCACGAGTGTTGCGGAAGTGAATCATGGTCGGTGACGGGATGCAGACCTTCGGCGTGGCCTTAGCACCAGCGGCCGCGATTCGAGACTCGAGATACTTGAAGTCGTCGACTTGGATTGGCTTAGGATGACCAATCTTGTCAACGACGACGAGTCTTGGAGGCATAGTACCTCCTACGCTAATATTGGTAGATTGCAGAGCACCACGGAGCTCTACTCCGCTCAGATTTCGCAGGAAATCAACGTGGAACCACTGCCGTCTAAACTCCCCATCTGTGATAGCCCGTAGTCCAGCAGAGAGCTGCTTGTCTACAACATCAGCGACATACTTGTCCTCTAGCTCTCTCAGTTGTTCGGCCTTTAGCTTGCCTTCAGCGGCCTGCTCGCGGGCCTCGAGCAGCGGTTTTGGTCGGAGAAAAGAGCCGACCTGATCGGCACGGTATACGCCATTAGGGAGAGACATGATGTCGTGGAACGCGGGGTTCAGTAGACTGGTATCGAATAGTTGAGCTAGGTGAAATAGATAAGGTGGTGTTGTGTTGTAATGATGAGACCTGGTTTCGACAACCTAATAACTAGTCGAACCTAGACAAAGGTAACAATGGGTAGAAGATAAAAAAAGACTTGCTTGAAGTCTGAAACAACATAATATACACGAGAAAAAAAAACTTTTAGCTAAGGTTTAAGAATAAACTGCAAAGATGATTATCAAGCTTTGTATCAGTGAGGGGCAAACCATTACTATTTCGACTGGTGTCAGAATAGAACCCTTGAAATGATATAGTAGCGCAGCTGGTAACGAGTAACCCCACAGAATTCACTTGCCGGTTATGTTGCCAAGCGGCGTAGGGATGCGGGCAGCTCGGGGCAAAGTTATCTCATCCCAGCAACAAGTCCGTAACCACCTAAACCAAATAGGAGAAGGTAGTAGGGCTCCGGTGGGTAGGTTGTACCATTCTCGGAAATCATTCATACCTTAAGGTAGGAAAAATGACATAAAAATCCTACCTCAACTCCTCATAGCAAACATTCCCAACACCCCTAGCTCTTTGGTTTCGAAGGTTCCCAAAAGATACCCTTCAACGTGGAACCGACCCATCTTGGACCCCACGATGGTGGACGGCTCGGGGGGCCTTTAGTCGCTAGATGCGAGACATATAAGCTAACCGCATAAGCAATATAACTTTTCGGTCAGCACTTCGGTAGTTGTGAAGAGGCTCTTCTAACTATGATTGTGAGGTCAGCATAAAGATCGGCCGATAGATACTCAAATACCTCAAATCCTCAGATAAAAGGAATAAGTTAAGGAGGAGATAGATAAGCTCGGCAAAGGAGTGTAAATCAAAACCAGGCTAGGACTAATAACATTTCCCCTAGTCCGCGGTGTGATTCGTCACCAGCAGTCCGTAGCCGGTCGCGTCAAGTAGTGTTATTACATTAGGTATGAAAGGAGGTATATATATATCACTCTAGTTCAGTGTGTATATAATTTGAGCTAACTGGGAGGTTTGTTTATACTGATGCCGACCGGGGAAGCATTACATAGTATAGTAATGGAGGTCATAGTTGAAGGATGTTAAAGGAAAAAGAGAGGATCAGAAGCAGGAAATGAGAAAAGAGTGACTATGATTAGATAAGGCTTTACATAAGGCTTAAGGAGTTGAAACGAGATGCGGAGAAAGACACATAATAACTGACATACCTAGAACTCCAATTATGCAAGTATGCAATGTATGCATAATGTATGTAATAAAATAAACCTTATTCCGCATCTCGCATCTGCGCAAAATTACAGGTTCAGGTTTGACCGCTAGGATTGGTTCCAGATTACTGTATTACATACTACCTACATAGATAGTACTCGGTGTACTACCACGGTAAACTATTATTAGCTATTCACCTTTTACAAGTTACAACTTCCAGCTGTCGAGAACCACTCAAACGGACAATTTGGCCTCAGATACCAAATCAATCTCTTGTTTTTCTTTTTCCTTTTCCTTTTTTCGCCGCTTATTCCGCATCCCCCGGTTGGTTGGCTTGTTGGTTCTATTCTGTTACGCTACACCACCCTACATTATTTCCCTCCGTCTCATTCCAGATTCCAGAATCCTAGGCACCAGTCTGACAACCGACGGGTCGCCATGTCGAATCCAAATCAACTATACCTCCTAGCCGATCATATCAAGCTCTCCCTGCTAGAGCGGCAGCGAGCGCAAAGCCTTAATCTAGATGGCGATTCAAAAGACGGGCACATATCTAGATCTCTAGACCAGTTCAAGGATGGATTAGAAGCGCTAGAGAAGGAACAGAAGAGATTAGAAGAAGCCGGCGACGAAGAGTACGTGATAGCATCAGAGGCGATAGTAATAATATTATTATTATCATCTATCCCCGAGAGCCATCATCATCTTCGATATACCCCTTATTTTACTAACATGTCTACAGTGGTTCCCTTACTATCGCCGATATCCTCCCCGGCCTACAGAAGCAATATAATGACCTAACCTCCCAATTCCACGGGTTCTCTTCCCCTTTCACCGAATCTACCCTCACGCATCCGAACGACCCGTCCCTAAACCCAGACTTCGAACACGCGACCACATCCCCTCGAAACAGCACTTCCAACGCGCCCCAACCCACCACCATCACCACCACCACCACCTCCTCCTCCTCCTCCTCCAACCTCCGGCCCAAAGGCGCCCGCACGGCATCCAAGACAGTACGCTTCACCGACAACCCCATGAGTCCGTCGGCGACGGACCCGGACCTCGAAGCGCAGCTGTTCGGCGGGAGCCGGTACCAGGACAACCCGGGGGACGGCGACGGGATGGGGTACCGGGACGCGGCGGCGGGGATGACGAACACGCAGATCCACGCGTACCACCAGCGGATCCTGGACCAGCAGGACGAGCAGCTGGACGCGCTGGGGGCGAGCATCGCGCGCCAGCGCGAGCTCAGCATGCAGATCGGCGACGAGCTCGACGAGCACGTCGCCATGCTGGACGACGTTGACGTCGCCGTCGACCGGCACCAGGGGCGGCTCGACCGCGCTAGGCGCCAGGTCGGGAAGATGTCGCGGGCCGCCGGGGATAGCAAGCAGATGATTGCCATCATCATATTGATCATCATCTTGGTGCTGCTCATCGCGATTTTGAAGTAAAAGGCGGACGGAGAGGAAAAAGGAAAGAAAAGAAAAGGGGGGGAAGGTATGAAGGCCTGTTGGGTGGGATATATATGGGAGAGAGGGAAAGAGGGAGGCTGGGAGGCTGGGAAGGTAATTATTACGCTGGACTGGACCGAATCGGACTGGTTGACGTACTTTTGAGTCCTCTCGTTGCATTTTTGCATGGCGTCGGCATGGCGTTTATTTAATAAGGGGAGGGATTGGCTTTACATTGATTATATTATCGTTTATATACACCATACACGTACGCGGGCGAACGATACCTGGGGATTTCACGCCGCGCGGGTTCTCTTTGGGTATTTGTACTTGTTATAAATCGATTTTGCGGGCTATGCCTGCTTACCTTAGGTAGTCCTGTCTGTATCTTTACAGCGACGTCTGAGTTTGCTTGGAGCGTGACAGTTCCAAAGACAGCAGTGCTAATAGTTCAGTTCTAGAGGATCTTGTGGGTATTTACGAACTACGCACTAGCCAGACCAGACACGATGATCGAGAGAAGGGCATGTTTACCCGGTAGACAATCTAGTATTGGTTGTTGGATTTGAAAAGTCCATCCGCGTTTCTTTCTTGTTCGTATAATGATGTGAGTGAGCCCAAATTATAAAAAAATAGTAAAAAAATTAGCCGTCTACCATAACGGCCAAGTACCTATGCCCATCCATCCATCCATCCATCCATCCATTTATCATCCCCTATCTCCATATTCATATTTGTCTCCTTCGTCGTTCCATTCTCACTTCAGCGGTCCAACGCCATCCTTATCCATTAAATCGAGCCTAACTAGAAGCGATCAGCCTCGACCCCAAAAATCGGCATAAAACAATCTTCTTCTTCTTTTCTTCTCTTCTCTCTATCTCTCTCTCTGTCTTTCTCTTTCCGTCTTTCTCTCTCTCTTATCTTCATTCTCCTCTTAAAAACAAAATTTGGGGAAAATTGTCAACTTTGTCGGGCTCAGACCTTACAACCCGTCCCGCATGCTGGTGCCAGCTTTGCTAGTCTCCTCCGCGGCGCGCTTGGTGCGCTCCTGCAGGGTGGCGATGTCCTCGTGGCCGCCGCCGTGGCGGTCCGCCTTGACGGCCTCCTCGCTGTCCGACGCCAGCTCCGGCTTCCAGTGGCCCTTGCCCAGCTTCTGCTTCTCGAGCAGGTCCTGCTTGTGCTTCTCCGGGTCGTACGATTCGGTACCCTCTGTTGAGACGGGGACGGGACGTTAGCCAATTTGATGCTTGCTTGCTTGTTTGTTTCTTTCTTACTTACGGAAGCTCTCCTTGTAAGCTAGGCTTGCGGAGCTGGTGGTGAATGTCCTCTGTGCCGCTACTTGTCTGCCGGTAGCAAAGGTAGCAGCTGATCGGAGAAGCATTCGGGAAGCCATTGTGTGTCTGTGCGGAGGTATTGATCTATTTGATGAGGATGGTATGATATCTCTCTCTGGAAGAAGTCGTAACTAATCGTAGTTGTAGTCGTAGTTGTACAGAGTATAAGTGAATAGGAAAGTTGTAAGTCGGAGGACCAAGGAAATCTACATCATATTATTTGTGACGTCACCAGCTTGTAAGACAGTACGGATTAGGTACCTCATGTGAGTTATGAGAATCTGATGCGATGTGATTGGCTGGTAAGAGCTTATGCACGGGCCATCTCCTCGACTCAATCCGTTTTTCTTTCGGCTCATTGGGAAATAACATCACATACGACATCACTTCTCCACTCCAACGTAGTACCTTATTATTATTAACTTCAATCTTCGATGCTTTTCAGCACCGGCATATATGTTCAGTTTCATTAACCGCAGTGTAGATACACCATGCCCAGATATTAGATATAAGTAGAAAGAGCCTCGGAAAGCATCATGAATTGTTTACTACCAACTTTCTACAACTAGGTATTCTCTGCTTTGACGGGCACCTCTATTAGAATAAAGGATGTAGACGTCAGAGTTACTAAGCCAAACCCGAAATAGTTAAATACTTCGCATTCACATGTGTATTACCTAGGTAGTTTATTAGGTGAAGCACGTGGGAGCTCTGATCTTCCGTCAATCAAGTGTCTTTGTTATGGGTTGATAACTACTACCTCTTGGAAGAAACTCTGATATTGCGTAAGCAAGTGGTCCTCGTTTAACAACTTCAAGTTGGTGAAATATATCTCTATTTCATATTAATGATAACTACCTGGTGATATTACATTATTTATAAGAATATATATACCTACTATCAGAGCAGAGGCCCGCGCCTTAGATCTATCATCTAATAGCAACCCTCCACTTAAGGTTATATAGATCTCCATTACAAGTTGGTTCTAGTCCATGGTTAATATAGGATCTATTCCTATGTTGAATTTAGCGAAGCAATGGTGTCGACACATACGTATACAAAGAAATAGCTTGTCACCTCAAGTCGTAGCCGTAGCAGTGTCATATAATACTCGAGTGTCTAACTGCTCAATTAGGTGTCAGGTAGAAAGATTGTCTACTTTAGAGTCTCATCTCGTTTAAGCTTTCCATTAGAAAAGATATCTCATCCAGTGTGGTATCATAAAGCAACATGTAACAAGTATTCAACCAATTAGTAAACTTATTATAATAGCCTCGTCGGAGAAGATCTCGCAGTGTATCATTTTTGACCTTTGACGCATATAATATTCGTATCCTGCTATTAACTTTGAAAATGTCATAAGCACCTGGTAGTTGCGCTGGTGAAGCTGAGCAGCCAAGTTCGACGTGTAAGTCTTACCTATGCCTGAAGACTCACCAACTCTTGTGTAATGATTAACAAAATCACCTAGTCTCGGCCTCGTCCTTGATTTTATATATATAAAAGAACAATATGGTATGAAGTTGATAATCTCAACCCCAACATAAGAAAACCACATACAGGGCCTGATATTGTTGGGAACAGAAACTATTTAAACTCGACAATATCAGGTACCTTAGGTAGTTCCTCTCGTCCGTCCGTCCGTATTACATACGCGCCGCTCAATTGATAACCTAAGCCAACATCGACTACAATCTGATAACTAACGCATTTACCCGCATAAAAAAAGTGACAGTCTCGAGTAACACGAGTATTACTTGCATTAGAAGTCTTACATACCTAGCACCTACCCCACCCACCCTTCTCGTCCGCGGAGTTTTCTGATAGGTCACCTCAGTGCCTAGAGGTAGGTAGTATAAAACTCCGTTATCAAAACGACTCCGAGAAATCTCGTGTAACTCGTGTCTGATTCGCCAATGGCATGAAGCAGAAGGGATGCAAGGGCAGAAGGGGTAGGTAAGCAAGGAAAAAAAAAAAAAAAAAAGAAAGAAAAAAAGTCCTAGAATCAACATGGTAAATCTAATTCGTCTTAACTCAACTCACCACAACACGACACGACACAGCGCAACACAACTGGGTAACCGTATTCTTATACAACCTCTAAACTATAAGTAGAAAATTTATCTCTCCTTGCATAGAAATAGGAAGTACTTAACTACCTAACCTATGTAGGTAGTCTTAACCAAAAAAAGTTGTATCTTACCTTCATTAGCCTCTTTCTCGCTTTCTCACTGCCTGCGCAAGACAACGCCGCATCTCCTCCTCATCACCTGACCGGAACCAGGGGCCCACAGACGTTGCCTGTAGCTCCGAGTCGGAATACTGCATTGCATACCTGGGTAGGTAGGTACCTAGCCCAATACCCAATACCCAATACCCAGACCTGACCTGACCTGACCTGACCTGACCTACCTACCTACCCCCTTCTCCCGGCACGCACCTCCTCTCCTCTCCTCTCCCCTTCCTTTCCACAGTATATATCAACAAAGCCAGAACCCAGCCCGGCGTTGCAGGAGAAGGGGAAGGGCGGCGGCGGCGTCCGCATAGGTACCTATGCAGCCCGACCGCCCGACGGGGGCAACCACCAACCAATCTTACCAAGAGATGATAGATAGCCAGCCACACAAGTCTGCCCCCGACGGGGAAAAAATGGGAAAGGGAGGCGGCCGCGCGCGTGCGTGCGCCTTGGCCCTTACATGGAACAACTCCATTACGGTACCTTAGGTACCTAGTTATATCACATACATACATACTCATACGATATACACACGTATAGGTAGGCACAACGCTTCCATGTGGCATGATGCGTACCTAGGTAAGGTAGGTAGGTAGACATATATCATTATATACCTGCATTCGGTTGTGTATAGATACGTAAATACTTAAGCTATACAAGGGGAGAATTTAGGTACCAGAACCTACCTAGGTATCTACATCATCCATCGGGTAAAGAAGCCCGTCCCGTCCATCCATCCATCCGTCCGCCCGCCGTCGTCGTCTTTGGAACGCCACGCCCGTTGCCGAATCGACGACACCTTTGAACTTATCATCTCGTTTTATACCTAATCCAAGGCCGAAACAAGCAAGTTGAGGAAATACATACCTACCTAGATAATTATCACAAATTCCCATATGTTGGGTTAACTAGTAGACATGCATACCAAACCAGTAATTACACACACACATACACATCATAATCACAAATCGTGGAAGACGCACGAATACAGCAATAGCCAGTTTGGTAGAAGTGAGAGGCACTTTTCGCCCATTTCAATTGAACACATCGAATATACGGCAGAAGACACTAAAAAAAAGAAGGCGTGTTCTTTTTTCTTTCATCTTCACACACAAACACCAAAAACAGGTAAAACGCCACACAGCCGTTTGGGGGAACCAGTTGGCGTGTATACCCATTTCTGCGCCGCCTGCGTTTCGTCCGCCCGAATATGATTTCCTTATACACACACACGCGCGCGCGCGCATACACGTGACGTAAATTCCATCCTCCCCTTAAGATCGCCCCGAGAGAAAGAGAAACCCCCAGTGAATGATGCACTTGACCCCAAATTGGTAGAAACCTTTGCCCCGGGGGAATAATACGAAAGAAATGGACTGGTATCCTCTCATCCCTCGACCGTAGTACAATGACAATAAAAAATGGTAATAAGAGAAAGAAAAATAAAATGACATAAATATGAGCCCTGTATTTGCAGCCCCAAAGCACCGCGCGACCAACTCCCATCTCGTGCCATGAGCTCGGAAAATAAAATCAAGACACCCCGAGTGCCTACCCAGTCCCGTTTGCTTTGTGTTGAGATTCTCTTTGACCCGGATATTTCCCATGAAAAAAAGACCTTGCCAAGAAGCACAACTCCGCCCCGATGGAAGAACCACCTGCCTGCTTAAACAAAATAGAAACCGACCCCATCGTCGCCAAACACTTGTTCTATATGTGTAGTGGTATTCTTTTTTTTGCTCGAATGTCATAACCCGTGATGACGCTTTATCGTACCGCTCCCAGATTGAACCCGATGACTCCGTTGTGTCGTGAACACCGATGCAATTACGAAATGCAAAACCGCCGTGACTTAAAACGCCCATTCGCAAACCCAAACAGCCCCCATCTTTCGAAGTCGGAACACCGGGATTAGTAGGATTTCTCCTTATCTTTTTTTTTCTCAAACCGAACAGAAATCAGGTGGTATCTTCAATGCCAATTGGCGCCCATCGTGAAGATCCATGAAGAAGTTTTACGATGAACACTAGTTATATGTCGAATAAAGATGTTTTTATACAGGGAGAAAGTGGAGTAAAGGTGGAGTCCGCAGTCGAGCCCTAAAATTGACCTGAAGATTTGTTTTGTCAATGCCTGATGTCCGTACCGGTGTCCGCTAAGATGAACAGCTGCTATAGGCAGCAAATGACTTCTAAACGGAAAGTAGAAGATGTTCAGAAACAACCGCAAACGAGTGTAGACGATGAGTCATCTCAATATCCAAAAAGGAAGCGAAACGACAAACCGTCTACCATCGTCTGCCGATGTGTTGCATTCGGGCGGGCGAAACGGATGGAGGCGGGCTAGACATGGTAAGGCCATTGGCGGGGTTAATGATAGGGATGGCGTTGCGTGCCCGTGTGGCAGCGGGTGCGTGCAACTTTAAGGTCGACTGCTGAGGTTGAAAGGTAGGAGGAATGAAAGCCGGAGAGGTAGAGTTAAGAGAGAAGCTGGAAGCAACTTGCTGCGGGTGCTGAGTTGGGGATGCATTAGGCGAGTTGCTGGATAGTGAGGATCGGTCGGAAGATGCGCTGCTTATTGACACCAACTGCAGACAGATCGTTTAGTATCGTGTTGGTACACGGAAGGATGTTTATCAATACGACGCTGTAGAATACGCGGCGTATTACACAACAAGACAGTGCTAGCCTAACTTACATCAGTCTCCGTCAACAGCTTGGGGCAGAACTCCATGTCATCCTCGAGATCGAAAGAGCGGCTGGCTTCGAATTGTGAACGGAAGGCATTTACGGAGACGGATTCGCTCAGCTCCTTCATGCTCCTTACGCCGCGAAATTGCTTTTGGGAGTTTTGAGAGACGGATAGCCTCGGTGCTCTCCGGTTTCGACCGCCATGGTGATTGTGGGAAACCGAAGGAGCAGGTGCTGTTGGTTGATGGTGGTTATAGCTGTAATAAGACATTATGATTGTTCTTTTCCCTTAAGGGATGTGTAGAGCTATGTGTTTTCTTTTCTTCAAAGTAGCCGTCGTGGATTACAGAGAAAGTTGGTTGGACAGAAGAGGAGACGTTGGGTGGCGGTGTGTGAAGGTAGGTAAGGAGGTAGGTAGATAGGTTTGTTGTTAAATTGGGTTGGGTGTGTACTTTAAAGTTGCCGACCGTTGCGCTATTAAAATTTTGGCTAGGAAGGGCAACAATGAGATCTTATCTGGGTAATTCGCACAAGTGTAGGAGAAAATAAGCTTTCTTAAAAGTCTGGTTATGAAAGTATATGTGTTAAAGATGTTAGATAGAATTGGTTGTATTATTTTCGTTATGTTGTTTCTGGGGTAAGGCTTGGGAGAGTTTAAGAAACGGGTTTGAGTGTGGTAGGATCGGGTAAGAGTAAGAGAAAAGAAGGCGGGAGAGGAGAAGGGTAAAAGCTGTAATTCGGAGAAGGCGAAGGATTTTGTTGGATGGACAAGAAGCAGCAGAAGCAGCAGAACACCCAGAAGGCGGCAAAGGAGTGTGGGCCAAGGCCCCCCGGGGGTAACTTCTTAGAACGCTTGGGTCGCTTGCTGGTTCAAGACCTGCGACTAATCCAAACAAGGCTTAGGGGGAGGACAACATTGAATAGCGGAAGCTACGAAAGACATCCATGAATGTAAGATCTGCAAGAACCTCTGGGCTCTGTGCAACGCACTGTCCTCATGGACCCACAAGCCTCAAGGGTTTCCTTCATAAAATGGTTGATGGGCGGGTGGGGAACAATTGAGCTGGCGAATGAGACTGGAGTCGCCACCTGAGATCATTTTGTATAGTTTGTGGCGACGCTAACACAATGGAGGACTAGCTAAGAAATCTCGGGTCGATGGGCGCTGTTTTAGGTACTTATGTACTTGTTGTTCAATGCCCTTCGCAGGCTTCGCAGGCTTCGGTTCTTACCTAAATGTCGTTGTTCCTATGTACCTAACCTTGTAGTTGTGTTTCTTCCCATTGCTTGCAGGAATGTCACAGTGTCAGTGCCAGTCGGCTTGTTCTGCAGAACCTCTCTTCTGCTGCTTGGCTTATTAGTGGCCGCTTGTTCTCCAAAACAAAAAACCCAAAAATACAGTGCGATGCGTGCAATGCGTGCAATGCTTGTAATGCTGGCCGTCCCTTGACCAGTCAACCGTCACCAGATGTCCGCTGCAATGCGATCGCCAGCAGGTTTAGCTTGGCGAATTAATTTACCGTTAGCGAGTCCGCGTGCTGTGTGTGTGGTCTAGGTGGTCTAGGTGGTCCGGGTGCTTTGGGACAAAGGAATAATACCTAGCCTGCAAGCTGCGCCATCTGTTTACTGGACGAGGCTGGTCAAGAGCACCCAGTCGGCACCAGTCGGGAGGGGGGAAAAGCCAATTTGGGTTTCGGTTTCCCCCTTCGAAGACCAAAAAAAACAAAAAAAAAGCCCTACCCTATCCAATCGAAGGGCTATTCGTTCAGTTACAAAGTACAATACATGCCGTAGAACGTTTAAGGAAGCGCTACCTACTACTTAAGGTACCAACTATGCTAGTCAACACAACATCAGGAGACTTCGAACGCAGGCGTTGTTGACCAAGGTGGGTCGATCGAGGGAGGATTGAACATGGCTTCAATCTACCCAAATAGGTTCATCATTCGATACCGACTTAATGCGAATAGCTTCATCTCGATGCTCGGACCCTGCTATTCCTACTTTCTGTCGTCATTGCTACCGTACCTGTAGACATTGGTGAACCCACCGTCGTGAGATTAATATACGTACCTCTTAATAACCCTCGAAGAAGATGACGGGGAAATCTTTGAGGCTCGCGGGGGATGATTGTTTCCCCATCCTATACCACACCCGTACGTATGTACATGGGTAGTGTGGTGTAGTATAATGTAATGGGATATTTCTTTAACTTCCATTTGATGGCCTAGCCTTATTACTTACGTAGTTAACGTAACCTGGATAAATTGATGTCCTGAATAGCTTCCCCTTCTTGCCCTCTGTTTTCAGGGGGAGCCTCCTGCATAGAGGGGGTTTTAATCCTAATGGGGAACTCGCTAGAGTTTAAACGGCTTGATCGGTAATTGTCTAATACAATTCTAAATTCGTTCTCATTTATGGCGTAATGAACACATTTACTACCCAAAAAGCTTGAACGGATAGCGATATGTATGTAATTGGTCTCATCGTTTGTATCTCAACTCTTATCGAAACTGTCGAATGGCCTTGACCGTGGTGTTTAGTCCTGAAGGGAATGTTCAGTATCTCCTTTTGACGACGACGTGGTAAATACTACATATAGCGACACCTGCCTTGCAGCGGCGGCTTCGCCTATGTAGGTGATTTTTTGCGTCGGTACCAATTAGGCCAGCTGGCCAGTCAGAGGCAAGTTCGGCCCTTTGGTCTGCGTGGGATTGCAGCCTTGCTAGGGACCGTCGCTACTCATACTGTGATATGGTGTACCAGTCCGGGCGTTAGAAACCCTTGTCGCGAGGTGGAGCAGATGATGGATGTTTAACTACAACCATACCCAAAACGTATGGTCGCTAGAATTGCACATACCAGTCCTGCAAGCCACCGTACCGGTGCAAGTGGATACGGACCTGGTCTCGTGCAGCCGTGAGACTGCTTAGGGTTTGGGACAACGGGGGTAATGCTGGCCCGTTTCCTTTTATTAGGCAGCTTAGCAGACGAGTTGTAAGTTGTACCGTACGGAGGGCGGCAAGAGAGAGAGTTCTGACCGCTCACAGCCGCCTCGACAAGAAGATACTGTGGTACTGTGCTGTGGTAACTTGTAAGAAGGAGGTAAGGGACTGAGGGAAACGCTTGAATTTCCCGCGCTCCTAAAAGCTGACGGCATTTCTGGTCTTCGTCCTGCAGTTGCGGTTGCAGTTTCATTTCTCGAACTTGACCACTCGATACGTTTGATAGGTAGACCGATGGGATGGATATGCGTGTGAGAAAATGATGATTTAGGCGCTTGCTCACCTGAAGCTAAACGTAATGTACGCCGTCGGTCTAGTTATACTCAATCCCAAATCTGTACCGTTGTGAGACCAAAATATGAATTAGTTAACCAATCATAGCTTACGGTAGCTTGGGTTACCTGTTTCTCGTCTGCACATGCGTACACTGAGATAAGAGGATGGATCGTCGGGGGGCAAAATTCGCGATTGAGTGGCTAGTGACTCCCCAACAGTATACGCAAGTTACCGCCATGTGTGTAGTGAATTTTGCCTCTGGTCCCTGGAAATCTGGAGCCTAGAACATGTCGTAGACCTTGAAAAGGTGTAGACCTACATACCTAGGTAGTGTTGAAGAGTTGAATTGCACCGACTGGGAACATCGACGGCGTTGACGATTGTGGTTCCTGCTACCCGCTTTGTTCGACTGCAACAGTCTTACTTAGAGCTGCTCGTGACGAAAGCGGCAAATCTGATCCCCATAGGTACTACCTACGCAGCGGCGTACGCTATATGTGTTATTATTATACCTAGATACGAACTGGTAATTAGCGAATATGCCATCTCTTATCTTTTAGTTGCATCTGCCCCGTCGGTTTTTATGACCATTTAACACTATCGTCGATTTTACCTGCTCGCTACGGCCAAATTTAGTGTAGGCCGTAGCAAATTATGTATATTTCTCTCTAGTCACTGGTGTGGCACCCTTCTATTCCCAGAAATAAGAAAAAACTACACGTACTATGTAGTGTACCAGACTGGCAGACCCAGCAAAGTTGCTACTATTTTAGTGTCCTGACGTTTCGGAGAACAATCAAGAAATATGAACTTTTAGGCGACGGATTCCGAATGTAGCAGATCTACCGACGTAGGAGAATAGAATCCTGGTCCCAGTCTCCCCTCGAGTTTGTGGCTTGTTGTGTCAGATGCTCATTAGCCTGTTATTGTTACTACTGTTACCTCCCTTTTCGAGGGGGTTGAGAAAAAGAGGCTTTTAACTAGGTCCTTTCAGTACCTAAAGTTAGTTAGTATTTCTATACATAGTAGTTATCTCATGAGGAGCAGTAGGATGTGATTTTAAGTGGTTGTATATATTCTCAATCCACAAAACTATTTCATGTCGGAACGTATGTACTCTGACGATATGTGGATGTTGAATGTTGTTTCTGTTGTTGTGGCAGTTGTGGTTGTAGGGAACGAGTCTCACTAAGGGCTAGGCAAGTCTTCCCACGCCCGCGTTACCTCCAATGTTACCCAATTCCGCTCTCATAAGGTCGGCGGGTTGGGTACCTACGAAACCTGGCAGCCCTCCACGAATTCGTGCATAGGTGCGTGCATAGGTACATGCACACACTTGGGTGGGAAAGTACCGAGCTCGGACCAGATACGACTGGGACATCTGGACTTGCAAGGTTTGGCGCAGAGGCTGAGTGGCGCAGCCGTTTCTGTTACTGTCCGTTTTTAAACGAAATCACTACGTTCCTGTCATTACGCAGTACTATGGTATTCGTCCGTTTTGCACTTATTAGTCTCATTTCCTCATTTACTATGTATGCTCATAATTATATTAGGTAAATTAGACTCAGAATGCTAGGTATAAGGTAATCTTAGAGGTTAGATAGTTTACTAATAACTCACTTATATTATTTCAAATCTTCATATACACTACTTATATAATAAGACATATGTAATTTTTCCCAGGGTCTTAACAATGAGATGAACTATTATCTTACATCAAAAATCTGACATTTCATGAACCTTGGCGGTGGTTTGAAATTTCTTCGCTTACGGCGGCACCGGCCGACGGTTCGATCTAACTACCATTTGACGTTATTATCTCGGGTTCGATTCCGACCCGTGGGGGAAGCTTTACATAGTCCATCTTCTGATCCATCTGATCGTATCTCCTTATCAACAGCGTAATCCTTTCCCACTCTTTTCATTCACCCTTACCTCCCATCCCTCTTCCTACACTGCTGGGGGGGGGGGGGGGGGGGGGGGGGGGGGGGGGGGGGGGGGGGGGGGGGGGGGGGGGGGGGGGGGGGGGGGGGGGGCGGGGGGGCCGGGCCCGATCCCCCCCCCCCCCCCCCCCCCCCCCCCCCCCCCCCCCCCCCCCCCCCACCCCCCCACCCCCCCCCCCCCCCCCCCCCCCCCTTCTCTGCATGTCAGGGCTTGCGGGTCTTGCACAACGCTTTAAGGTGGATGAGACACATAGCAAGCGTACCAGTATTGCAGGTGTACGATTTCATATTAAGCATTCTTCGATCCGGTGCAAGAGAGACACAACCTGATCACCATGGGAATTTGTAAAACACCCTCCCAGCCCCTGAAGAGTTACTACTAGGTATTGTACACATGTAAGAACCACAGTCCACGTGCAATGAAAATGAGGTCCCGAAACAGCAGAAATGTTCCAATGATAATTACTACCTGCCTTGACTGGGAAACACGACATCTCCGTAATTGGCATGCTCATTCTAATAGGGTATCATTGTCTTACACAAGCTCCAACTTCTCGGTCCCCCACATGTTGATATCGTCGCATAGTGTATTTGCCATATACATACGGGGGAATCGGTATTTATCCCCGTAGCAACTCGTCGATGCCTTCGTTTAGATACAAGGTCACTCGCTGAAATGGAGAGGTTACGATTTGAAGATTGGATATACAAATTCCAAATCAACTTCACATACCTCTACCGCTTAAGACATAGCAATATCCCATCGCTGTTAACGTGTCGTCATTTTGATACATAGCACTTGTGCCCCGCTTACCGAATGGTCAAGCGGACTGTTGCAGGAAGGATAATCTCCATCTCGTCCTCACCATCGCACTCAACGCTAATTTTTTTGATCATGTTGCCACACCTAGTGCTTGTCTAACCCTCTCGCCTTGACAAATCTGTTGATTTGCTCACGCATAATTTTGTCATTGTATTGTTCGTGGCATTCGTAGAATGAAATGAGCTCCTGTGTGCAGTCTATCATGCCCTCGATATCAACGGTGCTCTCAGCGAGAAAGGCGGCGAAGCGCTGTATCTTGCTCATTCGCATATCCTGTTGCTTCTCTTTCTCGGAAGCACCAGGGGTATTCTGGCTCGTGCTGGTGGTAGATCTATTTTGTTGGGCCTGTGTTAATGCGGCCGTTACCGCCGCCATATTAGCATTATTGTTCGGGCGGGGAATCAGGGAAAGGAGAATGGCCGTGAGCGCAATGATATGTGGCGGGTATAAAAGTGGTAAATCTGTCATGTAGTGGTCGTTAATTACGGATAACGCCAAATTTATTTCGTCCTGAGTAAGGAAGAAATCGGATTGAAGGGTCGTCAATGTCCGGTAAGGTTGGTGGACTATTAGTTGGGAGTTCATTTCGGATATGAGGAAAAACTCGCATTCGCCGACCCGCGAAACATCGGCGTGAAGTAAATCTAGGCGAATACTCTAGTTAGCCAAAAGGCCTTAACTCAACGTAAGAGTTACGGGCCTGGACCTACCCGGCCATAAAGAGCGCGCCTCCGTAACGAACATTCTGATATGCTGCGGACATTCTTCCATCTTGCAAGCCAGATATAGCGCAGTTGTAAGGACGAGATAGGGGTTCGTGCGACGAATTTCAACTTTGCAATAGAATCGCTTGATGTATAGCTGGGCCGTAGCAATAGCCTGTTGTTTAATGTTGAGTCTCTTTCCTAAACGACCGATTTCTAGCCAACAACTAGCATTAGCAGGTGGACGTATATTATGCGACTGGATTATCAATAAATGCCAGCATCGGTGTAAAGCCTACGTTGGTTAAAATATATATTCAGGTGCGTCCTCCGTGGCAAAGGGAACATTTGTACCAGGGCCTGGGCCTGGTCGCTTTTCTCCAGCTCGTCACGCATCTGAGCAAGTTCATCTTTCGAGAACTGCCAGAAGCGCCTCTGGGTTGACTCCCAGTAGTTGGCGGCCATCACGTCTCTTACGTCTCTTACGTCTATGAGAAGACGCTACGTGTGGTCGGAGGTAAAGGAGAGATAAGTAAGCTTATATAAACCTGGTATTGAGGGACATGATGGGGGTTTGTTGAACCCCAGCCCTGTGAGGCTGAAAGGGGATGGCTTACATGTACACAAGCCAAGGCTGAAGAAAGATGAAGATTCAATGGATTGGGGAACAAAAGATCTAAGTACTATGTAAGCTGGAGATATCGGACAAAGTGGGGTTACATTGAGTACTATGTACCTAGGTAGGTACTTAGACAGTAAGTAGGTACCTCTTACGTAATCCGTATTATACCTCCCTTATGTTCCTGTTAGGTCTGACATAACGTGCACTGTGATTACCCTCTTTATTTAAGTGCCGATACACAGTCCCGTTCGTTTTAATCCGCACGTGAATATCGTCATCCTACCTAAATCGTACCTAGGAGGTATCCAGTAGGTAGGGGTTATTCCTTATCGGCTTATCGGGCTTGTCAAATTGATTTTTTGACATGGATTCCTTGTTCCCCGAGGTTTCCTTTTTGCCCTTTTTGCGGGATGGCCATTTTCGCGCGCCCCAGTTCAAAGCCCTTTTCGAGTTTTGGAGATTCTAAGTACTCCCAAGTTGTAAAAAAAAACATCCGCTTGTCTGAGGGAATGATCTCAGACAAAGCGCGACGACGGCCTTCGACACAGCATCTAATGATGCCCTACCCGTAGCATTCAATGATTTGCTTAGCCTTGCGATAGCCTCTTCCTCATTGTAATTCGCCGCGCCGGTCATGATCTCTGAATATGGATATTCCCAAGGTGATCACCAAATTAGAGATGGAGATGGAGGAGTCGCAGAATCAGCGCGACGCACGCGTTGAGCAGCTTTGGAGAAAGCTGGACTACCAAGGCACTGGCGAATTGGACTGGAAGGGGTTACAGAAAGGCCTCAAGAGGATCGATCATCGTCAGCAATTTTACCCCTTTAACCTTGGTCGTCTCAGACCTTGCACGTTTTGTCGCTGACTAGATACGACAGCAATGAAAAATGCCGACGGCCTGTTGAAGACTATTATAAAAGTTGTGGATTCGAACGGCGACGGCAAGATGCAGTACGAGGGTCCGTAGAGCTTTATAACCACACTTCCACCATTTTACCATCTCTCCAAACTAACCATTATTCGGCCGGCGTAGAATTCCGAGTCTTTGTCGAAGCTGCTGAGCGCCAGCTTTATGTACTTTTCAAATCGATCGACCGGGATCAGAATGGGAAGATCGATAAGGAGGAGCTTCATCATGCCGTACAGCGTGCTGGTCTCGCGGTGCCATTGCGCCGGTTGGATGATTTTTTTGAGAATATTGATCATAATCGTGATGGGTTCATCACTTATGAAGAATGGCGGTTAGTTTACCTCCCATTTCGTATCTCCTGTTTCTTCGTAACCCTAAGGGATTAATTAAATCTTGGCGGGGAAACATTGGGTTTGTTATGTCGTAGAATTGGCACAGGTCTAATGCTCGTACATTTTATGTGTGAATGAGGTTTGGCTGGAGAGGTTTTAAGCTTGTTGAGCGGAGCGGCGTGTTTTTACAAGCGTCACGACAGTAAAATTCACATGTGTAAAAATCGGTACTAACGTTCTTCCAACTTTTAGAAATTTTCTCCTTTTCATGCCCAACACTGATCCCACCACCACATTGCGCGCAGTCTTCACCTTCTATACGGAGATTCTCACTCTAAATGCTGAAGGTGACTCGGTAGTCAGCGAGGAAACTCTTCAAGGCTTAGGTACGAATCTTCTTTACACCCTTTTTGGTTCAATCTTCAGAATCGCCTGCCCACCGGATGATGGATATATCTTTCCATCTTTGAATTCGAACGAGGAAAAGGACGAGCATAAAACAACAGTGACACACATTTCTCCGACAGCCAGCGAAGCGGCCAGTAGTATAACTATGGCTACAGCACAGCCATACGTTAACGACACCTCCGAAGACATTATATCTACCGATGACCACTTCGACCCTAAGCACGAGGAGCTTCCCGCAGCAGAGGGCACTGAGATTGAACCGGGATTGAGTGAAACAAGCAAAAGATCCGTGCTGATTAGATACCTCCCCGATCCAGGCTATTTCATTGCTGGTGCTGTGGCGGGGGGCATTTCTCGTACTGCTACTGCTCCGCTCGATCGGCTGAAGGTCTACCTTCTTGTGAATACAACGTCGAGCACTAACGCCGCTATCGACGCCGCCAAGAAAGGTCAAGCCTTTCGCGCATTGAAACATGCTGGTGGGCCCTTGATCACGGCCGTCACCGACATATACAAGGCTGGAGGTGTTCGTGGATTTTTTGCTGGTAATTATCTCCCTTCCTACATGGTTACCATGTCTCTATCGTCTCGAAGCTTACCCCTTTCCTTGAACAGGCAATGGACTCAATGTGGTCAAGATCATGCCAGAGACGGCAATCAGGGTACATCTCTCAAGGTGTTTTGTCTGATTAAAATCTCGCTGACCCGCATACCAGTTTGGAGCATACGAGGCTGCTAAGAGAACCCTTGCAAGCCTCGAAGGGCATAACGATATGCACCAGATCAATCCGTATTCTAAGTTCGTAGCAGGCGGTGTAGCTGGAATGACTGCGCAGTATGTCTACCTGCTCGATTTCTCATACGACGATGGTTAATGATTATGCAGGTTTTGTGTTTATCCCCTAGATACCCTCAAGTTCCGGTAAGCCTCGTACAAGACAGACATTTTTGACTTTGACTTATGCAATGATCAGCCTACAATCGGAATACGTTTCCGGCGGACCGCGTGGTAATGCCCTTCTCTTGCAAACCGCCCAGAAGATGTGGGCAGAAGGTGGCGTCCGAGCCACCTACAGGGGCGTGACTATGGGCCTTATCGGCATGTTTCCTTATTCGGCAATTGATATGGGCACATTCGAGTTCCTCAAGACGACATACGTTACATACAGAGCAAAAGCCAGCGGTCTTCACGAAGAGGACGCTCAACCGAGCACGTTCGTGACGGGAATCATGGGGGCTACATCAGGCGCCTTCGGTGCCACGGTGGTTTACCCTCTAAACGTTCTCCGCACGAGACTGCAGACTCAGGGCACCAGCATGCATCCGGCTCACTATACGGGCATATGGGATGTAGCGCAGAAGACGATCCAGAACGAAGGAGTCAGGGGCTTGTATAAGGGCCTGATGCCGAACCTCCTCAAGGTCGCCCCCGCGCTCAGCATCACGTGGATGGTTTACGAAAACACGAAGAAGCTCCTCCATTTGAACTAAATAATTCGAACGCGACGGACAAGCTTGACCGCAGCTAGGCTAGAACAGGAGGTCCCGGTTTGATAGGGGCAACGATATATCCACATACACCTCGTAATAGGGGCTCGACAGCAGAGAAGAAGTTAAATAAAGCCATATGGCCCCCATATTCCAACGTCTAGAAGACGTTTTATTTTGAAGTTTTAAGTCCAGGAAGATATCAAGGTGGCAGGCCAAAAAAGAAAGAAAAAAAAGAAAAGAACAGGAAAAGAACAGGAGAGTTTTTAGATAGATGGATGGATACCTAAGATCTTGAGGAAGGCGGAAGGGGGTAGGAGACAGGAGATAGGAGATAGGAATGCGATATATCCAACTTGCATTAGCAGGCGTTCAATAAAGATGGATGGGTTTTACTTGAAACCTAAAGGTAAGGCAGGGTAGGGTAAGGTAGGGCAGGGTAAAGTAGGGTTGTTTCGAAGGGCGTAGGACGTCGTATGTACCTAACCTATGCCTACCTAGGATGTATGCGTTGGAGAACAGATTCGATTCGATTCGATCGATTAAGCAAAGCAAAGCAAAGCAGTTTCGGGAAGTCTTGTTGTTCCTTCCTCTATTTGTGTATATCTGAGTACCTAGATAGATAGATAGCGAACAAGCGAGCGAGCGAGCCAGCAAATAAGCTTCGTCTTTCTGAGTACAGGACAAGACAGGTTATGTGCGTGCCTTAGTAAGTAGCTTGTTAATCTTCCATAATTATCTAGGTAGGTACATAATATAGTTCTCCTGTAACATAAAACCTAAACCTCGAGAGAACACCATGCCTACCCTCGGAACATCGTTTAAGTACCATATTCGTAGAATAGTCAAGATACATTTAGGAGTCGTGGTTCAATTCAAGACTAGACTGATTCAATATTATGCAAGAGGGATTAACTCTTAATCAGGCGGTTCTACTGGGACACATGTTATAAGTTGTAAGGCCATTTTTGATGGATGGCCTCTTCGATTCTCGTCGTCGATTTCTATCGACACTCTGCTTCTAAATGCCTATGGCATGTCTTACATCACAAGTCTGGCAACCACTATCCAGAACAAAAGTACAGCGTCTTTTCAATATTGCTTGTTGTCCAAGCGTTCCAGAAAAAATAGAATAAAATAAATAAAAACGAAACGCCTGAACTCCCCGCTCCACTCAGCGACCTCCTTGCTTGTCGGAGCCGGCGGTACTGTGCTTTTGTGTCTTTCAATAGACTTCCCTCAACTCCGTTCCCTCCATGCTCCAAGGATATCTTCAAAATGTTGACCAGTCATACCCAACAAACACCGGCTCAATGCAATTCCAGTCCATACAGGACATTATATAGTGGTGGGTGGGTTTTTATGTGTTTCGGTATGGTGAGTAGGTAGCAAGGGGGTCGTATATAAAGGTATAGGAGCTATCGTGTCGTATTTAGAGGTGATTATAGGTAATAAAGGTATTTCGTAAATAGAGGAGAGGTGTTTAGGTGATTAGGGGGGTCGGCGGATTTATAGGTGGTGGATTAGGTGGTCGGATTTATAGGTGTGATAGGTTGAACGGGCCGGTAAACCCCCCGTTCAGGAGCATCGCGGCGATCCTCCTTCTCTGGAGCGGCATTTCGCTCTGAGAATAGCCGCTGGGATCTATGCCCAGCGACAGGTAAATGCAGTTCGTAATTACGAACATGCCGCAGTCAAATCCATTTGTCTGCGTGGGAACACTGTATTGTTCAGTGTTCCACTCATCGGCAACATATTTGTCGCCTAGGAAGTACTGCATCCACATGTGAGCCTCCCTAATGTGACCCGTTCCTGTTGAATGGAACGAGTCGACATAGGCTACCGTTCGACGCGATGGTCGAATGACCAGGACAGTCCAGTGGTTGTGCTCGTTAACTGGGATGAGTACTGTATCGATATCGAGGAAATTCGCGGGCTTCATACCCCAGGTCCGATCCAACCCCCGGGCGTAAACGCTATTTTTAGGATCATTTCGGAAGCCGGACCAGTACTGGGAGGAAAGTGCAACGCATTTTGGCGCTGCCTGTTTAGGAATGACACCAGCTGCATCATTAACATAGGTTGCGAGGTGAACTAGAGTTGATTGGATGGCGTTATCGTTTAGCCATGATCCCGTAGGTACCAGTCTCTGGAAATCTCGCTCCGTAAGTTCTACGCCGTCTCGATGGCGTGCTCCCCTCCATTTATTCGGCTCTGTCCTGCCGTTACTCGGTGCATCTCTAGCTCTCTGATCCCATTCATCGCTAAGCGGAGTAATAAGTAGTGCCTTCGGTCTTCGTAAACCGAGCGGGCGTAATGCCTCATTCAAACGTTCCTCTTCTATACGAAGTTGTTCTAGACGTTCTTTCTCGGCTTTCTCCCTCTCAAGGCGTTCGCGCTCTTCGCGTTGGGAATCTAATTCGTATATCTTGGTATCATTGGGTGTCAACTGCAAGCGTTCTAAGCCAGGTAGGCATATCTCATCATCATGCGCGAAGAACTCTTGGATGCTCGAATATTTCGGAGCAGGTAAAGGTCCCCAGGTCTTCTCAGGTACTTGTTCCTCCTGTTTTTGTATGACTGGTTTCTTCTCTCGGCGCGAGGGAGGTGGTGTTACCACGTTAAGATTAGGATCATCGAGATTGATGTGTCGATTTGGTAAAGCACTGAGGAAGTCGCTCGGTAAGGCGCTCGGTGAAGTGGTCGAGGAGACAAGTTTCTTTTTGTTAGGAAATTTGTTAGGAAATAGTCGCGTAGCTCTTCTAGCGGAAGCTCTAGCAGCTGCAGAATTCGGTGAAACTACAGGGGATATGGACGGTGATGTTTCTAATTCGCTCGTAGAGCCGGTAGGTAGGGTTGTGACAGGATCATCGATGTCCATGGCGTCATCAGCAAGCTCGGTTGGGGTAAGTAGCCCATTCTCTCCCTGATCAAGTCGACGGCGCTTCGGAGTTTGTCTACCATCTTCAGAAGGAGTTTCAGAAGGAGCTGGTGTCGGGATCGTAGGTGTCTGGGTTGTAGGACTTTGACGCGCACGGAAGATCTTGCTGCTTAAGGTTGTGCAGAGATTACGGGATGAGTCCCGCAGATAATTAAAGGCATTGCGAATATTGGTCGCAAGTGGGGCGGGAGTAGGTAAGGTCATGTTATAATACGCAGACACTTCCGCACTGTCTGTCTCGACCAGTTCGGATGGCCAAGCTCCAGGCATTGGAGCGTACGCACGCGTAGTGGCGGCGGATCTCACGCGTCCATTCACAGTGGGGCTTGCTCGTTGCAAGTATCGTCGAGTCTCGGGACTCAGCGGTATAATATATGCGGGAGTATGGAAGGGGAGATTCTGGTTCCGGATTGAACGTTGCTCGGAAGCGGGGCCGTCACGACGATATCGGGCAGGTACCTAACGAGGCCTCGATGTTGGTGACTTGACAAAATGTTAGTACCAACCTGGAAGTCATGGGGAAAAGGCCTCTTCATATGAACTTACTAGTTGTGACGCGATTGGATTAGGCACTGACCAAGAAGGACGGGCTCGCTTTCTCAATCTGATAGGGCCCAAATTCTCGTCAGGTGCGACAGGGCGTGGTAGATTCAGAAGTTGGATGGTTACGGATTGCTTCGTTCGTGGGATTCTAATAACTCGAGATCGGTGTAGAGGTGCGGGATGTGGCGAGTTACCAACTGCCTTGGCCTGGATTTGAGCTTCCTGATGCGCCAGGGCGTGGACTTCTCGGTTGATGTCTACGCGAACGTTTCTGCAGGTAGAGCAGAAAATACAATGAGTAGGGTTACGCCAATCGTGCTGTGTGGAAGCCATTGTCAATAACGAGCGCAACCGCGAAGGTTGTACTTGGAAATGTAGAAACGAAAATGAGGAATGAAAATGAAGAATGAGGAAGTTAAGACTGCGGAGGTATATCCCTGCTGCAGGTGCGATTGGTAAAAAAGTTCAAGTGAATTAAGGTTGGATAGTGAGAATGAGAATGAGAATGAGAGTAAGAGTGAGAGTGTCTGAATGTTGGAAAGGAGTATGTGACTTGTAACAAAACAATGTGTGCAAGAACTGTCAGACTGCTGTAATGTGATTGTTTTTGTTGTTGCTGTTGTTGCGAAATGATTTGTGAGTTGGGAAGAATGGAAGTTGGAAGTTGGGATGAAGTAGGAAATTTAAATGCAGGCAGGTAGAATTGTTGATTGGGAAATCAGACTTTAGGCATCGAAAAAAAAAAAAAATCAGGTTTCAAGTTTTTATGCTATCTGCTAATACGTACATGCGCATCAGTTTGGCAACTGCTTTGGGAAGTGACGTTTTTGCGATCAGGACTGATAAAAGGAAGGAAGGTGCATCCAGATAGAAAAGTTGAAGTTGCGCAGTTCCATAAGGAAAGAACCAAGGCGCGTTAGTCATGCACGGGCCACATATTTTTACTGCTATCCTCGCCGCATCCAGCCTTGCAGATCACCTATATCCCTGTACCTTAACCACAAGCCCACTAACCTAACCTAAATTCTTTTTTGTCTTGGGTACCTACGTACAATTGTAAATCAGATATACCTGAGGTACTTGCAATAGGTAGGTACCTAAATACATGCCGCTTTGAGAATATAAATCGAGTTCTTAGGTACATCTACATTTTACATCTTCCTTGACGGATGCTGATTTAAACGTATGCAGCATCCAATTGAATTTTTCAAGTTGATCTGGAGTGATCCGGATTCAAGCTACGCACCTGGTAGAATAATCCTTGGATCAGGCCTTGCTTCAGCCTCACCTGCAAGATCCCGATATGTTGCCATGTCTAACCTCAATTATAGCGTAGATACCTATTATTTACCAATCAGCGGTTGCGATTTAGCTACCGAACTATTTCCTGCAATATGATCGCCGATTTTTCGTGTAACAGGTTAGATACTTTATTTCTCCTTTCGTTTATTTCCCGCGACGTACAAATTCTCTTTTTTTTTATAGAAAAAAAAAAGAATCCAAGAGAATTTCTGTCCAACCACAAAACTTCAAGTGGCTTAACTTAGCGTCCTAGATCTCAAGATTTCTTAACCCTCAACCCGTAAGGACCCTAGCTTTTACTTTAGTTTATACGCAAGGGATAAAATACATCTGGGCACATGGACGAATTCGTTGGTATCGTGTAAATTAGGTACGATGAAATTCACATATCTCACATACGTAGGTATGTAATTGATGAAGTACTAAATACTAAATGTACCTACTAGATGGTCTCGTGATGGGCAACAGAAAGCCTCATCCCAATATCAGATTCTGTATCAAAGAAAAACATGAAAGAAAAGTTCACCACCTTATTAGCTTAGGTAGGTAGGTACCTAGGTACCTACTCAATACACACGAAATCCATCACAAGTAAACGTGTGGGGCCGTACCTAACATCTACTAAACATTTCCGAAAGCTTAATAGACAGCTAACTACCTAGGTACCTTAGGTAGTTAAACGCCGACGGAACCTTAGTTAGGAAGTTAAAAGAAGCTGAGACTTACCTGCAGCTATTACGTATCTTAGGTACAATCATCTCCCCTAATTCCCGTCCAATAGGGGAACCTCGGTAGCTTCGGTGGTATCATTTTCATTCCCGTCCTTTTCAGCCGCGAATAAAACCCCCCCACTACGGCCCCACTATTCATTGCCGTGTTGACATCCCGGGCTACTTGTATGATAACAAGGGAAATCAGCAACCATATTTTGTTGATCATGGCCGACGGGAGCGGACCCGAGGGGGCCTCTCCCCATCGTATTGATGAGACCAAGGAACCAAAGGTTGGGTTACCAGGTAGAATAAACCCACCCTACATCGTACTCATGCAATTCTAATCCCTCAGTTCCTTTTTCTATTAGCGACATTGGCGTACACCGATTTTCCGAAACCAATGACAAGCCCAAGAGGTTGGCTACTCCCTGTCATTTACGTTTTTTTAAAGGGGGGGGGGGGGGCGTCAATGATAGCAGCTTCCATAAAGTTACACTTCCCGATGTTCCTGCCGTTGAATACTACTAGCGCGGTTCCGGTGTCTTACTACCTAATTGTAGCTACCTACCTACCTAAACCTATACCTTTCTCTCGGGATTAACACATTAGGTTATGTAAGGTACATATAATCCTAAGAATACCTATTAAATACCTACCTAAGGTAATACCTACTACCTACTAGGTATCAGTTGGCATACATATTTAATACCCAATTCCATCCATATCATACCTAAGTGTACCCATACGTGTAAGTAACGACAACTCGCCCTAGTTCGTTAAACTATACACAAGCTTTCTCTTATCTTTTTCCTACGTGTAGCCTTAGTTAGGTACGATTAAGGAAGTCTGCCAATTGATATATACGCAAACGTCTCGGCCATAACCCTATTTTATAGTTCGACTCCTTTTAAATACAACGTTGGTTGTTTTCGATACATCACCAGTCCCTTTCCTCCTCCTATCTAAGCCTGCGGTGCGTTAATAGAAGTAATGGACAACAAATCTCCGAAGAAATCTACTTCGCCGCACTATGATATCGGTAAGCTCACTGTTATCGGTTATTATATAATACTGACGCATATTCAGTAATTGTCGGGGCTGGCCCTGTAGGGCTCATGCTTTCAACGTGCCTTGCAAGATGGGGCTATAAAATCAAGCACATTGACAATCGAGCTGAACCTACACCAACGGGTCGCGCAGATGGTGTTCAGCCGCGATCCCTAGACCTACTTCGAAATATGGGCCTAAAGCCTGCCATCATGGCTCATAAACCCGCCCGCGTTTATGAAGTAGCCTTTTGGGACCCACCCAAAAATGGCAAAGGCATCGTCAGAACCGGTACCTGGGCTAGCTGTCCTTCTTTCATTGACGCAAGATATCCTTTCACCACACTATTGCATCAGGGTCGAATAGAACGCGTGTTCATCTCAGATCTAAAAAAGAATGGTGTCGAGATTCAACGGCCGTGGACTATCAAGGGATTCACCTCGGATAATAAAGTAGATCCGGAGTACCCCGTGGAGGTACACCTAGAGCATGTTGATGGGCATCATCGGGAATCAGTCCGGGCTAAATATTTATTCGGCGGCGAGGGCGCTAGATCATTTATCAGAGATCAACTAGGAATCACAATTACGCATAAAGATCCTATTACACATGTTTGGGGCGTTATAGACGGCGTCGTTAAAACCGACTTCCCAGATATCAAGGCAAGTCTCGTTATGGTTAGTTCTGCAGGCTTTATGCTAACAAGTCTTAGATGAAATGTACCATACACTCTAGACATGGCTCGATAATGGTTATTCCTCGAGAAGATAATATGGTTCGACTATACATACAGATCGCATCGTCTACGGATCCAGACTGGAATCCGAGGAGAACAGCTACTGCGGAACAAGTTCAAGACTCCGCAAAGAAGATCCTCCACCCATACCTTATAGAATGGGAACGCGTGGAATGGTACTCAGTATACCCTATCGGACAAGGCATTTCAGATAAATACACAATCGACCATCGTGTGTTCCTGGGCGGCGATGCTTGTCATACTCATAGTGTAAGTCGTAAGTCCCCTGTATCAGCCATAGATAACGTCATTGACTCCCCAGCAGCCGAAAGCCGGCCAAGGGATGAACACGGCCTTTCTCGATGCCCTGAATCTCGCCTGGAAAGTTCATGCTGTCGAAGCTGGATTCGCCGATAGGGCTATCTTGACAACCTACGAAGCTGAACGCAAGGATGTCGCAGAAACCCTTCTTTCATTTGATAACAAATATGCCAAACTATTTTCGCAGCGCCCGCCAGCTGCAGAGGAGGTACAAGCCGCCTCGGAGCAGACTAGCGCCCAAGCCGAGGATAACGAATTCGTCAAGACTTTCAAGGAGTCTTGCGAATTCACCAGCGGATACGGTGTAGCCTACAAACCCAACGCGCTTAATTGGTCTCCAGCACATACAGCCAAGTCTTCTTTAATCAATCCCCGAGGAAACAAATTGCGTACGGGTCGAATTATGATCAACGCTGACGTTACGAGGGTTGTGGACGCTAACGTTGTACATTTGGAACAAGAGGTTCCTCTCAACGGCTCATTTCGTATCTACGTCTTCGCCGGAGAACCTGCGGTGGCCTCGAAGGCGCTGAATGATTTTGCCCTTCGCCTCGGCAATAACAGATCATTTTATAGCTCTTATCTCCGGTCTGATATAGACTCCGTTTCCCACCACGAGATGAATAACCCTCATAGCCTCTTCTTTACTATATGTACCGTCTTTGCTGCTCAACGAAGTCAGATCGAGATAACACGGGATGTGCCGAGTCTTCTTGCTCGTTACCGCGACCACATATATGCTGATGACAGATGGGACCGCCGCGTACCTGATGCAAAAGCTTCAGCTCATGCTAAAATGGGGTTTGATCAAGAAAGGGGTGGTGTCGTTGTTGTTCGACCCGATGGCTATGTAGGCATTGTGACGAGCCTGGTTGAGGGATCTGGAACCGTGGATTCATTGAACGAATATTTCGGTGCTTTCTGCACAAATAGATTGGGCGAAAAGATGTCACAATTATAAGCAATGTATCTTAGACATACCCAAGCGTGAGCTATACCCCTTAAGCTAGAGTGGTGGTTTCCCAACCATACAACATATATTCGTCAAATATAAAAAGTGAGTTGACATATCCCTTACATAGCCATTTCTTATCGTGTAAACGCCTGGAAGAAATTCTATGCCTGTCCAGATTGCTGAAGAATATTGAATGGAATATAGAATGCAGCGTGATCTTAGTTTATTATAGGGGCATCCAATGTAGGTATGTACCTTATCTTAGGAGGTACCTTGGTTGCCTCTAATAGGTGTCTGAACTTAAAATATTCAAGAGAGTGACTAGATTTCTCAAGGCAAGTACGAGGTATGCCAGTTCCAATCAACATAATGGAACGGCGTTCCATTCGGATGGAAGGGGCGTATAAATACATATTTCTTTAGGCATCTATGGGATACACTATGTAGGTAGGTACCTAGGTAAATAGACTCTGATGTTAATTGGCGTCGATGCTGGCATCTTTACTTTAGAAGAGGGCAGGAACGAACATTGAAGCATTTCCAGGAGTACTTGGAAGAAGTAACCTTTTCACCATTGTGTCAGCAAATTTCATTCACTTACCCGTTATGTTCTTTTTCCCCTTTTCCAACGTGACCCGGTTAACTTCGGGGATCATCGACGAACTAATGGCCTAAATAATACATAAATAGTAACGGCAATCTTGTCGAAGTCCTTACTTAACCTAGGTGTATTCCGATCTAGTCTCTGATACAAACGCTCGTTTACTCTGCTATTCGTAATAATACGACTTTTATCACCACTTACACTATGACACCAAGAGAAATGCGCCGCTATGAACGACTTGAAATTTCCAATGGGGAGGGTAGTATGGTGGATAAAGACGCTATACAGATTATCAACGACGAGGATGGCGCTGACCTTCATATAAGTCATGCCTTCAAGCGATCCGGAATTCGTAGTCTGGACCGAATTGGCTATCACGAAGAGAGTGAGTACATATACCTACTTAAAATCACGCGTCACATTTTATCATCATATAACTTACAACTATCCAGAGTGTCGCAATGTGCTTGTGAGATACTGTGCGCACATCCCAAGAAACTATCAATACAAAGACGGAATTCCGCAGGTTAGTATGCCGTATCTTGAAAGGCTTATTCCTGTTCTAACTCTTTGGTCCTAGATCTTTCTAGTTCTACGAGAACATCTTGGTGACGAGAATATCGACTTGGCAGGTGGTGTACTCTACGAGCTCATTGAAGTTGACTGTGAGCATACAGATGATCCGGGAGCAGCATTTCAACGGTGGAAATATGATCACCTACGCAGATATGTTAGAATAACATGGCATGACATTCCGACCAGAGAGTCGAGAGCTGACAGAATCCATTAGGCCGACCTCGAACTTCCTCACGTCCCCCATATGACTACTATCACGTCTTCAATCATCCCAACGAAGAAGCTTACCCAGTGGCGTTCCGAACACCCAGACAAGTACCCATTCGTATTATCCGATTCGACTCCCTCAACAGAGAGGGCCTCCATTGATCCAAGCTGCATTCGCAACCGTAAGGCATGGCTAATTGATCACACACTCTACATCTCTTCACGAAACGACGGTACGCGACCCCTGAACAGCCCAAATCCAAAGAAATTCCACGAGATGCAATGGAGTCATGAGTGTGGCACTCAAGGAAAGCTTATCGAAGAGCGCGATGTACCCGTCACCTCCCCAGATCGTCCAAGCGAGGGGTCACTCCCAGGTACAGCAGATGCTCTGCTAGACAACCCCAAGCCTTGTAAAGGCCTCCGTGGTTATTCGTCAAAGTCCAGTCTCTTCAGCAAAATATCAGGGAAGATTAATATATATAAGCAAAATCCCGAATTAGACCAGAGGCGGTGTAGTTGGATGCCGGGTGCCCTCACATTTGAATCAACCTCGTCATTTCGAACCAAACGAAACTGCCCTGATGTAACTACTGTGCCTCTCCCTGGCGGCTGCGAAATACCAAATGCCATATTCGCTAGGAAGTATTTGCTTGTTGGGGCTAGCGAATCACTGCCTCCATGTCTGCCTTTGAGGCAGATGCCTACTGCCGAATCAAAGGCTACTGATACTATCGTGAGGGCTGCATCAAACGGATTACTGGAAAGGGCACGGGATTGGTCATTTCGGGGCCCCTTTACACCGCAACTCAACTTTGATGGGGGACTGGACTACCAATGGAATCATAATGAATCCACAATCACTTGCAACAGATTCGACTTGAATGATTCAGGTGACGGTGCCATCGCCGCCCGGATTAGTGATCGGGTCGAAGAAGGCGTATTCAAGCGAATAGAACAACGCGCAGATCACCGACGGACGTCGACGAAGCGACAGGGTATTGTGTTTGAGCCAGACGAAGTAATAGATGGCGAGAGGAACTCTATGCCATTTTTGGCAAACTACATTACTTCGAGCGTATCTATGCCCAATAGCCTAGGTGACACCACACCTCGAGGGCTTAATAGGGCTACATGTGGGAAATTACAGTCTGATGGACATTCGACACCAAATAACCGGGTTTTTTCGACACTCTCGGATATTAAGCATGTCCGGCTATCGTCGATTACAGAAAGGTGAGTCTCTCTCTCGTTGAAAGAGATTCGGATATTAACTGATAAATGGCTTAGAAATAGACATGGCTTACGCCGTCGTGATCCTCTGTTATTCAAAAACGTAGAATTTACAATGCCAGCAGAAGCCTCGGGTGTCAACACCTCGGCTTCAAATCGTAAGACTACCATAATCGAGTTATCGCCGAGTCTTGATCCCCCTAGAATTAATATGGAAGATAACCATGGGAATGCAATGACGGAAGAGGAGTGCCTTTAGAGGATAATCATGACAAAAGATGCTACACAGGTGCTTGACAGATCAACTGTGTGCAATGTACCTAGAATTTAGCAGCTCTGGTCTTTATGCTGTGTCTAAAGGGTGCTAAGAGGTGACGATTAAAGAGAATGTCATGTATTTAATAGTGTGAGAAAGGCATTAAAAAGAGGTAACAGCAAAATGGGCACATGGAGCCTGAGGATTCGGCAGCTAGTGAATGACGATTTTGCACGGCCTTGCACGTCTGTTGCTGCCTTGCTGGGTCATGAGGAAAATTCCTACTTAGCACTTAGCTGTACTTGGAATTTCTAACGCAACCGTACCGTCCCCTAACAACTTCCTCTTCAACTTCTTCTTCAACAACACGTAAACGGCTTGATTTCGATTTACCGTCGCCTTCGCACCAGAAATATGGCTGACGACAAAGCACTAGTTAAATACGCACCGGCGACTATGTTGAACGGAATTCGAGGTACATTATTCTGTTCATGCCTTAGTTTCTACATTACACGGCGATTAACGCTTTTTCATAGTTGGGATGCCGAGCCCTATGGCAATTGCAGCTGCCGAAAGAATTCGGACAGGCATACAAGTGTTCAACGACGGTGAAGGAATTTCTGATTGGGTATGGGCATTCAGCCCTGGTATGTTTTCTTCTTGACTGGTAACAGCTGATATGCATATGCATGGCTAAAAATGCTTGAGTGATGGAGTGCCTGAGTGCTTAAGTGGGAGCCTGGATTCTAACCTGTCACCTAGGCGACAGCAACGTACCCGAGAAAAACCAGAATTCTCTTAAGGTTGCTGCACCTTCGCATACATCTGCAACAACTTGCCCTAGCACAGTTTTTGACAAAGGTTGGTTTTATTTTTTATCTTTTTATTTTTTCATTTTCGTCGTTACAATTGTCTTCTTCCCAATCTTCTTCCCTACCCTTCCCCTTTTTGATCCTTATCTGCCCCATCGCGAGATTCCTTACTTGATGGCATGCTGAATTTACATTTGACCCAGAACAACGAGAAATAGTGCAATATCGGCCTCGCTTCGCACCTGGTAGCACGCGAGATCTACAACTGATCACTCCCATTACCCAGTTGACCTCGTCTCCGAATAGCTGTTCCCTCCAGAACGCTGCACTTCAACGCACAACAGACGCGTCGTTGCCTGTGCAAACCAACTTTTTCGGCTCAAGCCAATTTCTGGACAATCAAGCTATTCTGCAGAAAATATCCCGCCGTAGGCTTTCCTCTCCGCTACCTATTACTCAGGTTGAAGTTGAACGCGCCCTCCTTGACGACTCTATCAAGATGTAAGCATGATTGACTTGAAATATGTATAGTTGCTACTTGCTAATAATAATGATAATAGGTACCCAACTCCTATGAGAGGCAATAGCGCCGTAGACCTTGAGTTAGCCGCGGCTGGAGCCCGGGCGCCCAGTAGAGAACCCTATCATTCGCGATCGGGATCACGCACTTATCGAGACGAGGCGAGCGATGCTCGTTCGTACTACAGCCGCAGCAGAGGAAACAGTACCTCATCTGGAACATACCAGCAGCTCGGCAATATAGGCACGCCAGAACAAGGACGCCTACTTCAGAACAGATATGAGTTTCAGTCGAGTGATGCTGACGATCTCCTTTCACCTGTTCCTGAGATTGCTGGAGGCAAGTTCCCTAGTCATGTCACGACAATGTCGGATCTCATGAATATGCGCGACGAAGAGCTTCTTAGAGGATCCCGAGACATGTCTCGACACAAATTTCCTCCCAAGCCGGCTGAGCCTGCCCCTGCTACGAAGAAAGAGAAGCATCGTCCTCCGCCGCTTGATCTGACCAAGGCTCGTCAATATGCCGCGGTGAACGGGAGACACACGAATATCCAGATCATCCATAATCCCGTCCCTGCTTCAGACGTGAGTGCGACCTGTGAGGACGATAGCCCCTCGGTGTACGGAGATGAACCGTCATTTCATTTCTGTGAAGAGCCCTCGGGCGACCCCTACAAAACTGGATTGGGAAGAGCCAGCATTCTGAAGGGTTACTCCAATTGGATGGAGAAACAGCCTACCGAAAATCTAGCACAGGAGGACCAGCGAGCGACATCTCCTATTTCAGATATTCCAGCTGCTCAATCTACTCCTCAGAACCGCCCGCCGCAGAAAAATGGTCTTGGTTTATCCAAGTCTTTTACTACCAACGAGGTTACGGGAGACTTTGGTGCGCCGCCTTTTACACCTCTGACACCGTGGCTTGCCAATGGCAACCCCAAGAAGGCGAAGAAGAATCTGTTCGGAGACAAGGGATGGCTCGAAGATACAGCCGCACAAAAGAAGCCCGAGCGTCTAAAGAATACGAACTCGCGTTTCTTCGACGGCGTGAAGAAGACCGCTCGAAAGATTGTAAGTGTTCATCGACTCCCCCCTTTCCCCGAACTGATGAAACTAACATATTACAGGCTGGAATGGCAGACTTCAAAGTTGGCGCGTCCAGAGTGAGCACCGCTCGTGAACTCAACATCACGCTTGATCCTCGTGAGCAGAGCCTATTGTACTGCGAGCTGGAGTTTATCTTGAGCAACACCCTTAGCGGATATATCAACGGCCAACTACATCTTGGGCGCTTAAACCCGCATATTCATGCTAAGATTGCCGACTCTTGGGCTCAGATGGGTCGCCCGAAGGTGATTGGATTCCGCTATGATCTCGAGACTCAGATCGACATGATTTACGCACATATCGGCAATTTCCGATTCCACGGCCCGCACTACGCGGACTGCCACATCGTCAAGGGTCTTCTGTACGGCACGAAGATGAACGCGCGAACCATGCGTATCCGCACACTCTGTCAGCCAGACTCCGTTATCGCAAAGCACATCTTGGACTCCCAGGCCCTCATGCAGCTGCTCAACAGCCCGCCCGAGCTGCAGACAGCGCTGGCGGAAGTGTGCCAGTTCTTCCGCACCATCATCGAGGTCCGTCAGGAGAAGCAGGAGAAAGACGAGATCTCCAAGACGTTCACGGAGTACGCGCCTAACACCGGCTTCAAGTACCGAAGCCAGGAAGATCTGTCGCCGCCGAAGGGCAAGTTCCCCGGCGAATATCGCGTCAAGAATCAAATCGGCGTCCCTCCCGGCCAGCGCAACTTCAGCGGCCCGACCCTCGAGCCCAAGGTGTATAAGACCTCGGACCAGCCGCATGCTTTGACGAAGTAAGATGCCTAAGGGATGATATCTAGGTACCTAAGGCATGGGCCTCTCTATAGGTCGTTGGTTGGTCTCCTTTGATGATATCTCATAACTATGAGAAAAAAGAAACCTACCGTTACGTGATGATGATGACGTTTGGCGTTTTTCTTTGGACGCGTCTTTTTTGACGCGCATATTTCCTTCTTTTTTTTACGACGGGAATCAGGGATGAAGCTTTTACGATCTTCTTCGATGCTCTCATACCCGGTTTTTTCCCTTTTTTTGTCTGAGACGACATTCTGCGGCTCTTGATCAACTCCGAGAAAGAGAATTTTCAACAAATTTTCCTCGAGTTTCGACTTTCTCCTCCTAGCATTGCATCGACTGAGACTAAAAAAAAACACGCTGGAAAATGAATTCCGCACAGTTTTTATGACGCTACTGCAATCGTTTCCAAGTCCAGATGGATGCATGGATGCATGGATAACTGTTGGTTTTACCATCCATTTTTTGGGTTTTGTTTTGCAACGAACCTTTTTTCTTCTCTTCTTTTCAGGGGATTCAACTCTCATTCTTTGCACACGCCTCGACAGGCAACGATTTTTTTTTGTTCGCTTCACTACATCAAAATTGCACGGACAATGTCTTTTTTTTTCGACGAAACAGATGGCCTTCGACTTCGACTTCGACTTCGACTTCGACCATAATAACTTCGATCCAAGACTTTTTCAACTTCGACCTCGAGCCTCCGGGGCTACTAGTGGAGGAACGTCGTTGTGTATGACTTATTTCCTTCTGTTTTTGCGACACGCGCCCAGGGAGGAAAAAAAAAAGAACGGCTTCATCGTAATGGTCACATCTAATCTGGACAAACGAGACCTATTCGCGTACCTCTGAATACGTCTATGCGTTGGAGAAACCCTCTTTCGCATCACCGATAAATAACGAATCATGGGGAGGAAATGATTAATGGATGGATGATGATACTTTGACGATCAATTTTCTCTCTTTTTTGATCTTTCGTTTCGACTTGGTCTGGAAGCCTTGTGCCTTTTTTTTTTCGTTACCTGGTATATCTCGGTATGCTGAGAGAAGAGAAATGTACATTAGTAAGGTGGATAGCACCACTCACTACGTAATAATAACTCGTTCGTTTTTGCGGAAAAAAAATATCCAACTACATACCTAGGTAGTCGTCTCGTTGAGACTAAATGCCGCTTCGCCAGGATAACGCTTTACTATCGTGATACTCACCTAGGAGGTAGGTAGGAGGAGAGGCGAAGTGTAGTTCCAAGCCAGACTAACGAGACAGCTAATAAGATAGGTTTGGGTAGGTCTAGGTACATATCTTGAACACGATACTAATAAGGCTACACTGAAAACAATGCTGTGGTTATTAATACTAGAGGCTAAGGGACTTACACGATATCTGCATCTGCTGGTGTAGACATCGTCTTCTGCACTGAGAGACGTCCGCAGATGCTAACCCCTGGCCCTTCATCATGATTCAAGTAAGGCTAGGTACATAAAGGACATTGGCAAATTAGTTAGTCGATCGTAAGGAAAGGCTTGTCTCGTCGTTCGGGTTCCTTGCATAGTTCTTCACTTTGGGCGATATCTGTTAGCTCTAGGTTAGGTAGGTAGGTAGGTACCTAGCAATAGCGAAACTGAAATTGAGGTTAAAGTCCAAAGTGTAAACAACATAACAGGCGAATACAAAGTCCGTTTCTAAGTCGTCAACCAAAAAATATATAAAAATAAATGTTGACGTTTCTATTGCGAATCGCGAAGTTCCCAGTTGAGTTACCCCTATTTCCGAATGCAGTTCTTGGCACTTTACGGGGTAGGTATTTCGTACCGCAACTGTTCACTCACGGCCTTTACAGGTAGGTTAGGTAGGTATATGCACAAACATAGTTGCTTTTACTGTGCTGTCAGCTAGCCAAATATACGTGTAAAGATAATCAAATAAAAAAACCGACTGGAATATTTCTTTTCAAGTTTCTATTGTGTCCTCCATTTTTATGATTTTCTATTGATATAGTAAGTACACGGCTGCTCTGGGCAGCTGTTAGCAAGCTCGGCTAGTGCATATCTGCATACCGGGGGTTGACTCGGCCACATGCAGGCCGGGTAATCAAGTGCCCCCATCCATCCATCAGGCCGTGACATCATCTGCTTATGGCCCCACCTCAAAGGTCACCCGCCCTTCATCCCGCCGTTGTCCGCAGCGCGGGGAGACCAGAGAGAAGGGAGAGAGAGCTCTTCGGGCATGATCCAGCACAGCCTGCCCGAGAGAATATTCTTTCCCTTCATTCTCACTCAGGCACTCACTCATCCACTCTAAACTCGCTGTAACTCTCCTGGCGTATCACGTCTTGCATGAGATGATACACGACAGGACGGGCGCGGGATCAGAGAAGGAATGCATTGCCGAAGGAATAAGTTTTTGACTAATACTTAATAGTAATGATTTTGTACTTCTTATAACCGCCTATTTGCATGTTAGGTAGGTTAGGTGGTATCTAACCTGCTGTGTCTTTTCACAGCCTGGGACAGAATATATCCCGGTAAGATAACAATACGAAAATTTACCTAACCACCAACTGCTACACTGAATTAACTCAACTCTTACCTTTGATCCCGAATCTGTATTTGGCTTGAGGGACTTTTATATGACTCACTCACGTATCGTGCTGAATATAATCTTACCACATTTCCCCTCCCCCCTTGCGGATTTCTTTCTATTTCGCAATTTCAATTGTCGTCAATCAGCTAGTTAGCATACCATTGCGGTAATTATTACCTATACGCATTGAGGACACTTGTCTATATCAATCAAATCAGAGCGAAAAAAAATAAATGTCGCGTTACGAGGACAGCCGTTCTCGAGGGCGATCGAGCCACCACCGGGACCACTCTCCCGTCTACGCGTACTCGGGAGGCGACTACCCCATATCCTACGAGGAAGCGCGGCAGCTCGCCAAGACGACAAACTCCGCTGCCGCCGACGACGAGTCGCCGCTGCCGCCGAAGCAGCTGACGTACGAGCCGTACCCGCCTCGATCGTCGTCGAGCCTGCTAATACCTGAATCGCGCTCGCGACCCAGATCGATCCCCTCGGGCGATTACCGCAGATCGAGTCGCGGGAGGAAACACGAGAGAAGGGGTCGCGACAGCGATAGCGAATACTCTTACGATGACGAGGAGGAAGGGGAGGGCCGCACACGGACTCCGATCGATAAGGCGCGGAACTTCGTCGATAACAACTTCTCCAATTCGACCGCGGGCTTGGGAGTCGGCGTGCTGGGCGCGTTGGTCGGTGGTCTAGCGGCTAGGGAAGCGGTCGATGCTACGAGTAAGAGCAGCAACGGCCACGGCCATCACCATAGCCACGAGATGTCCCCCGACCAGAAGCGCAAGCAGCTCATCGGCACGGTGGTGGGCGCCGCGGTAGGCGCGCTCGGCGCGAACGCGGTCGAGAAGAGGCTGGAGATGCGGCGGGAAAGGGATAGGGTCGAGCAGGGGGATTGGGAGCGCAAGTACAGACCGGACCACCGCGACCGCGACTTCGACCTTGACGGCGGGGTCGAGAAGCGCGAGGTGATCGTCGCACGTCCGCGAGACCGAGACCGAGACCAGGACGGTAGCGGCGGTTCCCCCAGCTTGAGGAGAAGGGATTGGGAACGGGATGACCGCGACTACTACTACCGCCCCCGTTCCCGGAGCCGCGGCGTCGAGCGCGAGGTCGATCCTGAAGCGCGAAGCTGGCGAAACGTCGAGGATTGGCTGTATGATGAGCGGAATGAGAATGGTAGTGGGAGGAGTGGTAGTAGGAGTAGGCCGAGGTCGAGCGGACGGAGAAGTGCGGATGAAGAGTATCGATACTCATAAGATTGGGTTAGGTACCTAGTCGCGTCAAAGAGCTTCTACCACGCGCACGCGCACCCCCCCTTTTTTTCTCTTAATAGGTAACTTCGTACCTTAGGAGGTGAGGTACCTAAACTTTGTAGATTTTCCACTCTCCGGTTACGTAATGCGGAGTTACACAGTCTAAATGAGGTATCAAGGAGCGAAGCTGCTCAGCGCAAAATTGGTCTATGCATAAATAGATAATGAGGGTTGGGACGATAATAGAATTATTCATTATCATTCTTAGCCTTTTAATTGCCTGTATACAGGAGTTCCGGGGGAGAAAAGAAGCAACTTCCCTCAACGCATGCAAACAAAATATCTGCATCTTACGTTATGTGCTTGCCTAAAACTCTAAGTAAAGACTTTAAGCGAACGTTTGTTCGTACTTGCCAGTAATTACACTGCACCGGTAGCAAGTCAAAACCTAGAACGTGCTTTTCTGGTTGCTGTTACCCGGCTTCAATTATCTAATTGGCCAGTGCGTTTCTCAGCTGGATGCCCAAATCTTCTTACCCAGACACTTGGGAACGACGAACTTGATCAATTTTACAACTTACAACCTTAAAAAAAAATACTAACTACCAACATATGTTGGATCTCTCAATTCTCATGAGCACATAAGTGCATGAGCATAAGAGCATAAAGCATGTTTTGAAGTGTTCTTGCAAATCATTTCAAATGAAGGCAATTACCTGGATCAATTCATTGCAGCGACGTTCTTTAGTTGGAGAACGCTGTATGCATGCTTCTCTTTGAGTTCTCCATGTCCTAGTGGTCGTGATCACCCGATTCTCATCATCCTCTTTCAACTTCTTCAAGCCAGGCGCGTATTTCTGCCTGATTTTTGTTTGATTTCATGATGGCATCCCCTCCGAATCGTCCGCATTCCTCTACTGAGCGGAGTGATATAGATGATATGGATGATATCTCTGTGACTTCTACTGACTACGGAGTCAAGGACGACGACCAGGATAAAGAATGGACTGTCGAAGCCATTTACGCTGAACGGGACCATCCAGAAAGGCCAGGTGAAAAGCAATATATGATACGCTGGGAGGGTTTTCCCATGGGAGAATGCACGTGGGAACCTGTAGAAAACCTCGGTCCGGGCCTCCTCACTCAATGGGATGAAATCCAGCAGGAAATCGCAACTGGGAAGCGCGAACCTTTTGATGTAGAGATATACAACACCGCGTACAGAGAAAGGGAAGCAAAGCGTGCGAGACGCAATGCTAAGCGGAAGAGGCTAGGACTACTTGATAACATTCCTTTACCTCTTGAGTCTCCTTTGGAGTCTCCTATCGAACCCCCGACGCCAACTGCACAAGGGGACGAAATGGTCCTCGACGACATCTCCAAAGAGTCAAGTAAAGTTGATACGGGCCACCCAACACCTAAGACAAACTCTCAGAAAGTCATCAAGCAGAAAACATTTCATGGGATTCCGTCCAAGCCTGTCACACCAGAGGTGATTTTAGGCAAGAACCCGAATAAGATCAAACGGGCATCAACGCAACCAATACCGTCTACACCAGCTCAGAAGCCTCCGAAGCCAAAGCGAGCGGTTTCAGGCGACGGGAAGATGGGCACCACCATGACTGGCTACCAAGGCACTGCAAGAAAACCTAGCAAAGATGCGGGCAAAGCCTCAGGTCAAACAATATCACAATCGGTGTCGAAACCTCCGTCATCGTTCCCCCCTAAAATGACGTCTAGCTTGGCGAACAAGTTTTTAGGGAAACGACATACTGCGACTCGTACTAAACCTCAACCTCAAACAGCCGTCCAACCTATACGAAAGACTAACGTCTTCGTTGGAGGTAAGGAGCGGAAGAAGCGGGCCAATCTTGCCGATGTCATGGATGGCCCGTCAAAGGCTCCCAAGGTCTTCAATTCAATGCGTGCCGTGAACAACGCAAAGAAACGGGGCATCGAAAGAACGGATGTCGCGCACCCAGACATCTCGTCCATTCCGCCTAGTTTCTTCCTAACAAACGATCAGCGTAGTCGGCCAAATCCAAGTAAGGCAAAACCAACTTTAAACACCCCACCTACGCCAATCGCAAATGCACCCATCGTGCAAAGTCCCACGGCATCATCTCCCAAGGATGTGAGCACGGCTACACCCACACTCAAGCCGAAGAAATCTGTCCGCTTTACTGGAGCGCAGGATAACGCGTCAGAGGATACGCCCATGGGTGGGGTTGCGGACGAGGAAGCTGATCTTTTCGTTGAAAGCCCGATGGATATCGATCATCCTTTAGAAGTTCCAGAAACAGAAAAAGCTCGCCAATCAAGGAAACTATCCCTAGCCACATATCAGGAGCGAGAACAAACTCAGGTCGTTATGAGGACAGCCATTTTCGGAAAGGCTGGATCCGAGCCGATTCAAGTCCTATTCCGTCGTATGACACGCCAAAGTCAGCCCTGGCTACCGGCTTTTATGGCACAAGAAACATTACATTTCGATTCTGTCTGTACTTCGTACAATTTCGTTACTCAGTCGAAACACCTAAATGAAGAAATTCTCTCTGCTGGCACAATAGAAGCGAAATCGGACGAGATTTCATCACGTTTGGGAAACGTGGCAGAAGGACTTCAACGAGGTTCGTACGGTAGCCACTTAGTAACCAAAGAGTTTTCAATTCTTGTCTATCCTTCGAAATGCAGAGACTGGGATGGGCTCGGCGTCGATATAGGTAAACCTGAGCCAGAGGCTCATTTACGATTTATTATCTATAAATCGACTAGCGACCTGAAACTTTATCCGCCAGCGTCGGTGCCTCGCGCTCCAACTCGACTGACCGATATGGACCAAGCATCGCACTCTCGAGTACTAATTAAAGAATTGTCTAGATTGGATTTCTCTCTATTTCTGCCACAAAACCCGAAGGTGAAGGATAAGCAGGTGTTCATGCTACTTTTTCCTTCGAGAGAAGAGCAAATTTGCCATGTTATCAAGCTCTGGCTCCGTGAGTAATATCCAAAAAAAAATTTGCATTGCTGTTGTGATGAGGAACGCAACTACTGACTGAAATACTTGCAGGTTCGTGCCAACCTACCTGTCAAATATTTGTCCAGAATACCCACGAAAATACAGACAGTTGGGCGCGGTTTCATAAGGCTGTGCAAGCAGGCGCCGCAGGCACCATTATTTTACACGAAGATATCAGTACCGCCATCCGAAAACTGCCACGCGTCTTTCAACTGATCGACAATAAATGCTGCTACACATTCTGGGACCTCGCTACGGGACAATACAACCCACCGAGGTTCCCTTCAACGGTGTCCACCCCTATCGAACCCGGTACACTGCAGATGACGCGTTTGTTTCCGCAGGGTAGAGCATTTTTAATAACACCCAGTTTTGCTCTTTCGGACCCTCTCCGGCTTCTTAAATTTTTAGAATGGTTTAAAAACTTTTGCTGTAACCCTCACTATCTAATTATGGCCTGTGCCAACTTTCCCGACTACCTTGAGGCGGTTACGTTGGAGAAGGAAGCAGAACGAAGGGAAGAGTGCTCAAAGAAGGGCTCTCATCCCTATCTTGAGGAAATCCTGGCAAAAGATGGCTTAGGGAAGCATCAGCTCGAGGCAAGATTCCGGGCGTGGGAAGTCTTGAGGGAAATTATGAAAGAGTTTGGAGACGAAAAGACGAGCGCAGATATTCGCAAGGTTGAATGGATTACAGACTTCATTGACCCAAATGACGAGCAGAGCCTGGTAAATTATTTCTGCTGGTGGTCCGTCTTGAACTGTGACCGGTTTCGCAAGTTCACCGTACTCGGTTCGAGTGATAACAAAAACAAAGCTGCCTACAGGAATATCGAGGTCCCTGTGTATACAGAAGAAACAGTCAGCGATCCCGATGTAGCGTTGGCCCAAGAGGAAGCCTCTATGACCACTAGCCGCACGAACATCGCATCTACCCCACATATACCCACTCCTCGTCTGTCAGTCGGCAACGACAGGCCCGCCGAGCTTCATCGGTGGCTCGTGGACATGTTCAACCGTTCTTGTCTCGGTAGAGGAAACTGGGCCAGGCTGCACGCTAAGCCTGTTTCTTGGTTGAATGTGGCGATGGCTGACCACTTTGGAGATTCAAGATGTGAATACGATACCTTTAATAACTGGTTAGGCAGCATTGGGAGATTTTCAAGAGTTAACACCTGGTATGGCCTGTTCTATACTGTAGATCAGGAGTGGAATCCCCAGCTACCTGCCAGCTCATATAAACATCACCCCTGGGTGGGAGTGCTCAGACCGGTCAATCCCCACTTTCCGTCCTTTAAGTATGCCGGAGTGGAATTGTTCATCTGGGATATGTCCGCTCACGACCGAGAACGTAGTCATGGGAAAGATGCACTACTTCTCGATATGCAGCGGCGTCTGATAGACCTTGTGGAAAGGGATATCTCACAAAAGGATCCAAAATATTTCCTTGACCGAGTCTTTGTAAGCAGTGATACCCGCTTGGAATACAAGCTGGAGGACACACCACTGGCTTTTACGCAGAAAAGAATGGAGGAAATGATGGAAGATGGTAAGATCTGGTTGCCTCCTTACGTGGGTAATCTACCCAGTAGGGGCTGGGTACAGATCCCACAACAAGAGTGGCAAATAGCGGCGGTATCTTCCAAGGCACACAAGGCACAGGAACCAAAGCTATTCCCCAAGCATCATAGCGACGAGAATAAGCTTCAAAGATCTATCTGGCATGCACCGCGCCCCCTAGTCAAGCCAGAAAAGTCGGCCTGCGTCAACCATCTTTACGAGGCTGCTTACAGCGCGCGAGTGAAGGATCCATCGTGTCAAACGACGAAGTATCAATATCGGTCGACTTTGGACTGGTACCACGACATGAAGGTGGAAGGCCGCGATTCGAGCCACGTGCAGGTGGACAGCGCGGACAAAATATTGGAAAAGCTATCTCAGAAGTAGAATTCCCGTGGGATACTTGGTCCTCATTTAAGGTCCGCCAAAGCTGGACAAACCTCTGGTAGGGCGCATAAAGAACGACAAACGTATTAAGTTTTTGTAGGGAATTGGATTGGACCCGGGTAGGACGGATAACGTACTTGTATTAAGAAAACAAATATACCCCTGTGAGATACGTATATTGCGTTTTATACCTGATGTTTGATAGGTATCTACCTAGGTACTTACTCGCCTTTTCCGATCCTGATCTGTCTGTCTGCCTGTCTGTCTGGTATACTTTCTGCGCTGATAAATCGAATTTGCAATGCAAATTTCGAGCTAGGTGCTCCAGGAACTAACTCTTAGAAGTCGCGACTCAAGGCCTTGGGGCAAAGAAGGTACTGTAGGTAAAATCTTATGAAAAACTTTTTGTAAACGGCTCGAGAGCTATCGTCGATGATGGAGCTACCTGGTACCACGTTGGACGAAACGAAATGAGATGAGACGAGACGAAATATTAGGTACTAGGTAGGAGGTAAGTAATGTCTAATGTCTTGAGTGGGATCTCTCGGATAGGAGGTACCAGGCACTGTGTCAAAACATATATCAGGTCAGGTCCTAGCCTATCCAAAGTCTCAGCACGCGAAGTCAATCGAAAAAAAAAAGTATAAGTATCGTCAATGCATGAGCTTTATTCATAAGTCTATTCTGCGCTTGTCGTATCGTATCGTGTCGTGTCGTATAGGGCTAACTAACGAATGGCAAAGGATTCTAGTATGTACCTACCTCTAATGTATGTATATACAGTAGTCATTCCATACCCATGTTACCTCCGAAAGTAATCTTAGATCCTGTCCTCCATCTACGGCAGGAAAGGCATCAGGTAAGAAGCATCCGGCCTGAAATCCCAGACATGAGCCAGCATCTCCTCCTGCACCATATTCAAGTAGTTCTCGTCCGCGAACGACATGTCTTCGCCGAACCCGGGCATGATGTTATTATTACGGTTATTATTTGTATTGGTATTGGTGTTGTTGCTATTGTTGTTGTTGTCGTTGTTCTTGTTCAGACCGTCACTTGTGGCGATGTTATCCGCGGCGGGGAATCCGGGGCCGCGGCCGGGGTTTAGCTGCGGATTTGACTGCTGTTGCTGTTGCTGTTGCTGCTGCTGCTGCATCTCTGCTATGAATAGCACCTTCACGTCCCGGAGCAGTAGCGGTAATTTGAAGAAGAAGCCGCTCCGCGCGCCCTCGGCGTCCACCATGCCCAACGCGGGCGGGACGCGCTCGACCTCCAGGATGCAGCGGTCTATGACGGCGAAGACGTCGGCCCTCCGCCTCACGTCGTCCAGGTCCCAGCCGGGCTCGTCGAGGGTGGCGAGTCGGAAGAGCACGATCAGGTACTGCGTGCAGTGGGTGAAGAGGTCGGCGGTCAAGCCGTGCCAGTCGGCGGGAGGCAGGGTGGTTGTCATGGAAAACCACCGCTCCGCCATGGTTAAGACCGCGTCTAGATCTTGCAACCGCTGGAACTGTGCGGTGCCCGTCTGGTCTGTGGTTCTAGGCCTGTAGAGTACGGTTTCCCGGATTTTCATCTCCGCAAAACACAGGTAGAACTGTGCGGTTACTAGAGATACCGGTTAGATGAGAATTTAGATCATCAAAAAGCAAGGGAAGGATTGGGGGGTGGGCAAGTTCTCTTAACTCATTGCTTCAATATCTGCTGGTAATTTGCGTCGTATATTGTGAAGTTCTCTTACCAGGGCCGCAACTAGGGAAGGGGCCGTTATTTTAGGGGTTTCCACTCCCGGGGGTTGGTCTCCGGGGGGGCAGGTTAACTGATTTATAATGATCTGACATCTGACCTGCATAGCCAGAAGTATGTCCAAATACGTCTCCTTTCCTTCCTCGAGGATACGGAGGCAGTCATCCAAGTACGATGTCCAACGGAGAGGCTCGGTTAGCCTGTATCTTAACCAGGTGCTGGTGGAATTAGGTTAGTATGGTAACTAGAAAAGGTCTTATACTTTTTTAAGCATATCCGGGACGCCGACGCTTACGCAGATGTGAGGTGAAATAAGGCCAGCATAGTCCGCCGCTCTTCCATGGTCCGGGGACGCTGATCAGCCTGTCGCTGACTTGGAAATCGACTACGCCGCTGCGGACGTGTTGAGACATCGTGATGGATATTTAATTCGAGGGCTACCGTAACAGCTAACTGAGCAAGCATGCACATGTGTGGTTTATCCTCCTTGAGATGATAGGACCTTTTTTTTCGAGGCGGTTAGTTCGACTTATCAAATTCAGTCAATTTTAAAACGAGGTGGATGAGACACAGACCAAGTGCCGAAGCAGACGATGCCGAGGAGTACATCTAGATCAATAATATGTTGCAAAACTACCCTGTTTGATATGATGTGCCAGATCGCATCTGCTAATTCGGACTGCTGCGAGATGGACTTGCAGGCTAAGGACATGACGACGAGCCATAGAAAAGGCTTGTCACGGCGCAGCTCAGCGGCGCTCGTCGACAAGGGGATATGGACAACGGGGCACAAGGGGATAAAGGATCGGCGGAAGGTGTCTAATAGATCTTGTGCAGTGTGGTCTGGTATTCTATGACCAGACACATCAATGGCTATGGGGGATGGTGTTATAGGAGGAGCAGGGCGTAATAGGTGTACGATAGTAGCAGTTGAGTCTACGGCGATATCTGGGTGCTCACGCACGGGTAGGGTTATAGATATTGGAGACATGGAGTTAGTATAACCACCACCACCGCCACCATCACCACCACCAGTGAAGATGCCCTCCGGTAATGATGGTGGCGTATGCTGCTGCTGCTGCTGTTGTTGTTGTGTTTGTTGTTTCTCGGCGGCTTGAGAACGCAACAGGCTTACAAGCTCATCCAACTTCTCCTCGACTCGGGTGCTATTAGTTGAAAGCGGGGGTTGTTGCACGATAACAGTTGGCTGTAGAGGAGGAGCCGGAGGAGGTGGTGGTGATCTACGGGCTTTCCTTTTGCGAGCTGTGAAAGCCGGCTCACATGTTTTCCCAAGACGGTGGCACCGTTCACACGAAGACCCATCAGCCCGATAGAAGCATTTGCATTTGGCACGGGAGCAAGCGACACAGGCTTGGCCGTAGGGCGCCGGGCTGCATGAGGCCGTGGAAGGTCCTGCTATTGGACCGGGGGGCATCTGGCTCGGGTGTTTTTTTTTATGGTCCGTTTTCTTTCTTTTTTTTTTTTTTTTTTTTGTTTACCAACAGCCAACGAATGCCGGACGTTTTCGAGTAGTACCAGAGCGGTTGGGTGTAACACAAAAACGATGAGACGGTGGAAGTTGTGGAGAGCCGCGGGTTTGAACGCCAGGAACGGTACCACTTAGATAAGGCTCTAGCACAATCCCGCGGGTTTCGTGTATTCTACAATGCATACCATTAGGTAGTATTATGTTAGTTATGTTAGAGGTATGAGGTAGGTAGTGCAACAGTAGGGTAGCATAAGGTTAATACTACATAAATCTTGACATGCATAAACCATATAGGTACTTGTAATGCACGCACATACCAACCCACAATCGTGAATCCTCCTTTGGCATAAGGAAGTTAGTTGGGTGCGCTAATGCGAATAGAGAAGTAAGGGAATACTACATAGTCAGATAGTATAACTCTACCCCGCCATTATCAGGAATCCCTTACGTCGCAACCTTGGTCCTTTGGTGAATAGTCCATACGATAAGTCTACAAGTTGTAGTATACGATAGAATATCCTTACCTACCTAAGTACCTACCTATACAGTATCTCAATGTGCTTTTGGAGAGGGGAGTGGAAATATTCCCTTACCTAAAAACCAACACCGAAAACACCTTCTCTTCTTAACAAAACCTCGTAATTCTAAGTCATTAGAACTCTGCGGGATAGTCCTGATGTAAAGGGTTGGTAACACGACATCAAGGGCTTTATATATATAGAAATTAGCTTTATTTGACAGCTCCCTAGATAGGTACCTAACCTAAGCTAATACCTATACGACAGCCTTGCCCACATCCGACACCATATAGTTCCGTCTTTGTTGTGCTGGCTACCTCTTATCTCTCTGAATCTCACTAATATTCGTTTCGTCAACGAGACCAAATTCATCATCGAAAAGACGGAAGAAAAGGCGTAACCATAACCCACAATGGCTGACCCGTATTCCGTGGTAAAACAGGCTCTCTTCTCCGGGAAGCCCACATTCACAGAGAAGGACGTTCCAGACTTGACAGGCAAAGTCACCATCGTCACGGGGTCCAACACCGGCGTCGGAAAGGAGATCGCGCGGATCCTCTATTCCAAGAACGCTAGGGTCTACCTGCTCGCCAGGTCGGAAGAGAAGACGCAGGCCGCTATCGAAAGCATCCGGGCCGCCAACCCCGAGTCCAGAGGCGAATTGTCGTACATCCACCTCGACCTAGCCGACCTGCCGAGCGTCAGGACGACGGCCGAGGAGTTCCTCCGCAGGGAGACGAAGCTCGACATCCTGTTCAGCAACGCGGGCGTCGCGTACCCGGCGAAGGGCTCCAAGACGAAGCAAGGCTACGAGCTGCAGCTGGGCGTCAACGCGCTGGGCACCTTCGCGCTGACGCAGCTCCTCACGCCGACGCTGGTCTCGACGGCCAGGGCCGCGCCGCCGGGCAGCGTGCGCGCGATCTGGGTGTCGTCCTCGGCCGCGATGAACGTGGACCCGAAGACGCTGTTGGCGGGCGTGCGCGACATGGAGAGCCAGAGCGGGCTGAACAAGTACTTCCTCACCAAGCTCGGAAACTACCTGCACGCGGCCGAGTTCGCCAAGCGCCACGCCGCCGCCGACGGCGTCCTGTCCGCCTCCCTGAACCCCGGCAACCTCGACTCCGAGCTGTGGCGCACCCAGGGCCCCGTCGCCAGGTTCGTCCTCCGGAAGACCATACTCTACCCCGCCGTGTACGGCGCGTACACGGCGCTGTACGCCGGGCTCTCGCCGCACATTACCGCCGACAATTCCGGGGCTTTTGGTGAGTACCTGCCTGCTGGCCTAGCCCACTCCTGACTGGATTGGCCGAGCTCGTCCGCGTTATCGTTTTACTCTACATAGGTACAGATCCCCGAGCTGACTGCGAATTACTTACCTAGTTGTTCCGTGGGGCAAGATCCACACCGTCTCGAAAGCGATGGCCGATGCGTCGGCGAGGAAGTCCGAAGGCGGCAGCGGGATCGGAGAGGAGTTCTGGAAGTGGAGCGAAGAAGAGATCAAGAAGTATATTTGATCGATATGAAGTAGGTTAGGTTAGGTACCGACCTATTTAAGGGTTTGCGCTTGCGGTTAAGACCTTGTCGACCGGAGAGGAATGCGGTATGTTTTGGATGTGTCTTATTAATATTAATATGAATCCCTTTTGTGCCTGCTCGGCTGCTTGCAGTTTTGTCCATAATTTATGAGGGTTATATTCGGAGGCGGGGACGGGACAGGAGTAGCTTAGGGTATCTGCGTTAATTGGCGGAAGGAAATATTGGTAGTAATCAGCAGCCGGTCAAGCTTATGGGTGGTGGTACGAAGCGGATACCTATTCGTTCCGTCGGCTCCGAGCTCAGCACCGCCGTCTCGGAGGAGGAAAACTCCATATCTATATGGCTAGATATATAATGCTCATATCTTCCTAAACTAACTTACGGGAAGCTATCTAGGTAGCCAGGTAGTTATTCTTTTATCGAAATGTGTTATGCTATTGCCAGAAGACCGGTCTGACCTAGAGCATGGCAGGTCACTTTAGTCGTTAATACCACCATGCATACCTTAGGTAGGTACCTAGGTACGTATATAGTATAGGACAGTGATATAAGGCTTCGGGAAGTGTGAATATATCAAGTCCTAGTACTGGCTGAAGGACATAATCGCATCAAAAGAATTTATGTCCTGCAAAGGTGTAAAGCATGCCGAATTACTAATCTTGGTTAACTGGATGACTAGGGCTTACTTCTCTATCTTAGGTGTATAAGAGTGAAAGCAGTTTGGCCTATCGACGTATACTAACGGGTATATCAGGTCTCTCAGCTGGAGGCCGGGAAGATCCTATTGCAAGATTATACTATTGTTGGGAGGAAAGTATTGAAGGTAATTTAGTAGGACTTTTCTTGAACAGACAATGAGACTCCATGCTTCTGCCAACTAGTAGGTAGTTCGGTGCCGATGCAAGATGCGGGTAGTTATATAAAATAGTTACAATAAGTGCAGAAAAGGGCAGGCTTCGAATGATGCCCGGTTTATCATCGTCTTTGAAGAAGACTTAGGACCTTGTTGGCGTTTAAACTCTTAATTCCGCGCTAGAACTGGGGGTTATCATACTGCACTTCATCGTAAATAAACTACCTAAAACTGCCATACCAGTCTTAAAAGTCTCAAGTATAAATGCATGGGGAGAGCAAGGCTGATGATGAGGATGGGTGTAAATGATTTTGTCTCTCAATTTTGTGATATATACTTATACCTAGTGCAACCATGGCCTTGCTAATATAATATAAACAAGCCTATTTTAAGGCCTGAAGAGGACCACTGGTTCTTAAGGAGGTACCGTTACGACTACCTAGCGAGGATGAGCTACTCATCAATGTTGAAACACGCAGTGTCTATCAACAGACTCACATGCCTCAATACAACACCTTCGGCGACGAGTTTCCTATCGTGCCCGATTACGAGATCACAGGAACGATAGCTGCCGTCGGCGATGATGTGAAGGGAAAGGATGTTAGTGACTGCATTGTGGTTATCACGGCGGCTATGATGAGACATGTGATATGTGCTTACAGAACTGGCTTCAAGTGTGCGATGAACCTATCGCAAATTGCATAACCGAACTGAAGATATTAGTACCCCTATTTCCCAGTTCGACGTCAATGCCAGGATAATAGTTGGCGCCTTTTCTAGACGCAGAATACGCTCTCCTTTGAGCACAAGCTACTGCTCGCATTCCTGCAGGTGCTGATGCCGTACAAACCACCCCTTTCCTATGTGCTGGCTCAACTGTCGTTACGGCACTATGCCTGGCCGACATTAAATCCGGCAATACCGTCGCGATCTAGGGCTTTGGTGGTCGCGCCCATCTCGCTATCCAATGCAAAGGCCGACCGTATGGGTTACCGCGTCGCGCGGGGCACGAGGAAAGAGAAAACGGCGCTCACAAGTACGCCCATAAAATCGTTTGAGGGCAACGTCGGAGCGGCCCTTGAGGCTTTACCTAGGTGGCACCCAAGCAGCATTCATGACAGCGTTGACCGCCGAGTCTTTCACACCACTAATCTGCGGCCTCAACCTCATGGGTAAGCGGGTAGTCCTCGGTGTTCCCGAGAATATGACCCTCAATAATATTGACATGGTTTAGCGCGGGATCTCCGTACAGGCTCGGCCGGTGAGAAATAATTCGGACTCAGAACAGAAAAGACCATTCATTGAGTTTGCCCATCGTCATGGTATGAAGTGCGCTGATAAAGCGTTCTTGTTGGACCATATTCAGGAAGTTTATGTTATTTACTTCTCTCTTCCTAAATATAGGCATTCTTCATATGGTAATATTGCTGCATCATGGTAACTTATTTAGATGCTATGATGAGTGATGAGTGGCCGACTTCGGCTCCGAGCTGTTCTCAAGCTGGACTAGTTGTGAAGTTGCGGGTGTTGAAGTTAAGGGGTTAGGGGATCTAAGGCTGCGGTGTGGGTAAAAGGGAAGTTAAGATTACTAGCGAAATAGCATCAGCTCCAGAAGCTTTCTTAGACTGAGATGGTAAATTGCAGGGAGGGGCTTGAAAATGTTGAGTCTAAAGTTCGTAAATTCATGAAGGTATTGCCCTATTCTGTCTGCTGGTTTTTGATCAAGAAAGTAATTGTACCAAAGTCGCGAATGTCGTTCGTTAAAGGTATGTAACTCTTCCTTTTATCTCTCTCGCTGTGACTATAACATCGTGATATTTTAACAAAGGGACTAGGTTTGTTTTAGTCTTATTGTTAGGCTTTGCTTTATTCAGTAAGACTTATATATTCCTAGGTGAACGAATCGGGATTAGCAAATGGAAACTGGAGTAAACGCGTGAAATTCTACAAAATCCACATCGACGAGATATAAAGGTACTTGAGTGGAGCACATACAGTCACGTGCTAAACACCCATCTTCTTGCCTTTTTGCCTTTTTGCCTTCTTGCCTTCTTTGCACCGCCTCCTATTGTGATACAGCGCCCCCACCTTCCCAAGTCTAATCCGATTTGACTCCTGATACCGTGCAACGAGTCCCCGACTAAGGTGACCTTTCCAGTACCGACTGTAACGTTAGGCGTCAGGTAGCGCATTTCTTAGCGCACTTTCGAGCCCCGTTAACAGCTGGATAGCACCTGCCCTTACCTAACTTAAGTACCTAATTTAAGGTCCTAGGCAGTTTATCGTACAATAAACCGTACTTTAGCAGCAATCCGACCGCCTTACCCTCGCAATTGCCTTAACATTTGTACCTAATTCCCCCCCAATTCACAATTCACAACTCCACTCAGGTATATTCCGTTGCCTGCATCTACAAGACACTTCTAAAACCTTTCCCGACAACCAACCAAAACCGTGCCAACGGAGGACATTTGGGAAGTGTCCGCAGAGACGCAGAGAATCTCATAACGTTCAACTTCTCGACTCTCAAAACATAGCGCCGACCTCGACCTTTGTTATAGTTTCGTCACATATAGGCCCCACGGTCTAGGCTCCTTTTTATCTATCACCGCCGCTACAGTCTCCTGTTTCCTCGCGGACTCTTCGATAGTAGTTCATCTCAACCGGAACTTTATTGCCCAACATGGCCAACGACGAATATGATGTAAGTTTCTATCTCCTGTTCACTTCTATCTTTTGAAATGGAAATGTCAAATTATTTTCTTGAAGATCCAGTTAACTAATAGCTATTACAGTTTCTCTTCAAAGGTTCGACCCGCTACCGACCCTCCCCCCTAAGATGCCCGATATAAATGCTAGAAATGCGTAGCTGCTAACATGATGGAATTACAGTGGTGTTGATTGGAGACTCCGGCGTCGGAAAGTCCAACCTACTTAGTCGATTCACCCGTAACGAATTCAATCTAGACTCCAAGTCGACGATCGGTGTCGAATTTGCGACTCGATCCATCCAAGTCGATTCCAAGACCATCAAAGCGCAGATCTGGGATACTGCAGGCCAGGAACGATATCGCGCTATTACCTCGGCGTATTACCGTGGTGCAGTCGGTGCGCTTCTTGTCTACGACATCAGCAAGCACCAAACCTACGAGAACGTCACGAGATGGTTAAAGGAACTCCGGGACCATGCTGATGCCAACATTGTCATCATGCTGGTCGGAAACAAGAGCGATTTGCGGCACCTTCGAGCTGTACCCACGGAGGAAGCTAAGTCGTTCGCAAGTATGTCTACAACCCAATCTTTTAGAGATGCCCCAAGCTATTGACACAAACCCCTTTAGGTGAAAACCACCTCTCCTTCATAGAAACTTCTGCTCTCGACGCCAGCAACGTTGAGCTTGCCTTCCAGAACATTCTTACTGGTAAGTAACCCCTTTGTCATATTCAGCTTACGCAAGCAAGCGCTAGTTAAGAGTAATCACGTACTAATTATGTTTCTTTTTTTCCACTTTAGAAATCTACCGCATCGTTTCGAGCAAGGCGTTGGATAGCGGCGAGGGTGCCCAAGCCCCGATGGCAGGTACCAACATCTCGTTGAGCAAGTCTCCGGATGATGCTGCGAAGCAGGGCGGAAAGTGCTGTTAAATTTAATTCCCTACTCGAGACGAGATGATGCGACGGCTATACAGTTGATATGACGTTACGTATATGGCGTCACGTATTGCCCGGAACGAATACTCTTTTGATAGAGTGATACGTCATGGGGTTCGGGATATTGACCTTACACAGGACATGGCTCTCTTGATTTTGATTTCCTGCTTTTACTGATGTTCGTCGGCCCATAGTCTTAGATATGACAAGTAAGGGGTCACGGACAAATGTCTAATCTAGTACACCCGACGTAGTTACTAAATGCGATCTTTCTCTTGCCCCTACATTATTGTTATTTATTGCCTTCCTATTAATAGGACTGTCTAGTTGCTGTGCATGTGTTTACTAACTGATATCTGGTGGTAGTGCCTATTTGTCTACCATTAATCAACGTGGCTTTTTCATCTTATGTTACCGGCAGATTGGATGGAATGCCAGATGCCCGAAAGAAAGGATTGTAAGTTATACTATGTGCTTGCATTCCATGCCTAGCTGCTCACACCCAAATGAATTCGCTCTGTCTGAGATCAGACCTACTTATGATGATCATGGTTGGCAGCTTGGCGATCGCAAATGTATATCATGTACGATTATCAGCATAAATTTTGTACATGTTGGACAGTTGAAGATAACCCACTTGGTTCCGTACGCACATAGATAAGGTACATCATAATTCGTACTACTGTAGGACGCAAGTCGGGCAAGCCACGCGCATGCATTTGACGGATGGTTCAATGTTTGTTTTAGTTCCGGCCCCACTATCACTTTATCAATTTATCGATAAGCTTAACAGAAAAAAAGTTCCCGTTGCAGATCGCGAATTGAATTGAAGACATCCTCTAGTGGCCATTTTCACAAGCATCACATACTTCAACAAACAATGGCAGCTGTATATAAGTCGCTGTCCAAGGGGACCAACAGCCAGAAGGCTGAAGCCCCTGCTAATGGCATCCGAAAAAACAAGCAAAAAGTTTTAATACTCTCCTCCAGAGGTGTCACTTACAGGTATTTTCGCAAATTCATTGGCGCGTGACCACCTGCGCAAAAATGTCTAACAGTTTTATTCTTCTCACAGACATCGACATTTACTTAATGATCTCGCGGCTATGCTTCCCCATGGCCGAAAGGACGCAAAATTAGATACGAAGTCTAAGCTTTACCAGCTCAACGAGCTTGCGGAACTTTACAACTGCAATAATGTGCTGTTTTTCGAGGCGCGAAAAGGCAAGGATTTGTACGTGTGGTTGAGCAAGGTTCCTAATGGACCTACGGTGAAAATGCATCTTCAGAATTTACATACGATGGAAGGTTGGTAGACTCTATTCACACCCCATTTTGACCCTCTTGAGTGAGGAGAATCGCTCATTGCTAATTCTTTCTTCTACAGAGTTACACTTCACAGGCAACTGTTTGAAGGGTTCAAGACCAGTTCTCTCCTTTGATGCCGCTTTCGATAAGGAGCCTTACCTAAAAGTCATCAAGGAGCTTTTCCTTCACACATTCGGCGTGCCCCAAGGCGCGAGGAAATCCAAGCCTTTCATAGACCACGTTATGGGGTTCACATTTGCAGACGGAAAGATATGGGTGCGCAACTACGAAATCAAAGAGTCAGAAGCGCCAAAGGTGCAGGACGGAGAGATGGAGGTGGATTCTAAGCTTTCCAAGAGCCGAAACAAGGAACTCGACGTGAGCTTGGTAGAAATTGGCCCGCGATTCGTGCTCACCCCTATCGTCATCCAGGAGGGCTCCTTCGGCGGACCGATCATCTACGAGAACAAGGAGTTTGTCTCACCGAACCAGGTCCGAGCCGACTTACGAAGAAAACAGGCTTTGAAGTACCACGCCCGTGCAGAGCAGCAAGTGGAGAGACTGGCGAAGAAGGGAGATCTGGGACTGCGGACGAACGGTGGCAAGCCGGCTCCAGTGGACGCGTTGGACACGAAGGAGCTGTTCGCTTAACTAACTTAGATGTTGTAACTTACTATTGGCGTTCTGGCGTTCCCTATGACACCCAGGTATCTTCAGATAGGTATTCTCTAGCACATATGCTAGTTTTAAGCTGAACTAATACCCTGCAACAACTAACTAACTACCTCGTCTTCGTTATAGTCTTCGTTATGGAAAAAAAAGTACTTGTTTAACAGTTCATTGTATCTTGATCATCAGTTTCTATTTACCTCAGTTAACTAGTAGTAACCCAAAGGTAGCGTATGTTGAGCACCATGGCGTTTAATATTATTCTTTCTCTATGATTATTTAGTTTGTTTCTTGAATTGACAATCCAGTTTGCAAATGCTCCTGTAAGACTTTGAATTGTGAAATGAGTTAACGGTTGTGACGTTTGGCATTAGGTTAGGTATTAACTTGTATTCCCAGCTGGCTGCAGAAGAATCTTGCTGTAGTAATAAATGTTACCTACTTACACACAAGCAGGTTGAATTTATTAGGTACCTACATTAGGTACATGTATTATATGATAAGCCCATGTAGGACGGGAAAGTACGATATCCATTTACACCTACCTTGGCTTGGAAGGTGCACTATGTATTGCTCCTTCCGCGCCTCTCTTTGTCGTTAGGCGCTCGGGCCATTGGCAAATGCAGTTTACCACCTGGAGGATCAAATAGAGTTGGCGCTAAGCCAAAAGATTGGTCTTGAAATTGCCTAGCGTCCGTGCGTTCGTCAGTTACGGCAGGAAGCCACTGGTTGCCTGGGATGTACCAGGAAGGTACGCCCTACGGCAAAAAAAGTATATATGAAGTCGTGTTGGCCTCGCGTAAAGGTTTTGACTTCCGTTCTTCTTCTTTTTCTTCTTTCCAATCCAACCAACACGACCGTTATGGAACGTTGACACAATACCTGTTCCGCCTTAATGGCGCGGCGCTCCTATTACCCAGCGGCATGCAACATAGCTGCCAACTATTATTTTTATTATTCATTATTCAACTCGTCATCATTGTTATTATTCTATTTTATTATAGCCCCAAGGGAGGGGTTATTGTTGGGATTGAGTCTGAATAACAATAACTCTAACCGGCTCTCCCTTATTACCTAAACTTAGGGGAACCGGTGGGTGCCTCTTGGCCAGAATATGAAGACGTCATCCCCGTTATGGCGCCGGTTTGGTTAGGGGGCTAGCCGTGTAAGCCCAAGTGTGTAAATAAAGCCACAATCGACTCGGGCTTCTCACTTTGGGTGGTTATTTTCTCGTCAGCTCACTCAGCTCACATTCGGGCGGAGAGAATGTTAAGCACGCTAACCGGGCAGCTGCTCAAGTCGTCCAGCCTGCCGCGCTCCCGGTGCTGTTCCAGCTCCCGCAGACTGTCTCCGGTCGTTCCTGCGTACGAGACTGCCGGTTGAGCAGTCTGTTGTGCAGCCTGTAGCCCAGAGCAGCACCAGGCCGCACAGAAAGATAGGAGTTATTGCCGCCAATATTCTGAGGGCAGATATATCAAGTATAAACCTATTTGGAGTATTTGCATAGCAACTCTATTTTATTTCTCCGCTACTGCTTCTTCGAGTCTAGAGGCATTGTTTACCACAACATGTCTAATTTATTTCTCTAATTTTGCCAACCCACCTACTGATCATCTCAACCAACACCACTCAACCGAACACGATTCTGGCGAAAGTTGACAATACAACATGGACTCCGCTAATATCACCAATGATGACCTCCTTTACGGCATATCCAATGAATTATTTCTCGCCATTACGGAGCTCCTATGTCCTTCAGATGCCACCAACTTCGCCCTTTCCTGTCGAATTCTATTTCGTATTTCCCTTGAGAAGAATTTATTCTATTGAGCCTCTTCAAATATCAGCCCGAGATCAACATCCTTCTTTATCTGTACACCTCGTGCGAAGATGAGTCCCATACTACTCAGATCATGCTCTGTCCACGTATTGTCAATTACGCTTCGAGGTGGCCCCCGCAAGAAAAGAAGTTGCTCGCTGGTGGCTGTATGCGCACCATCACCACGGAAGCAAACCCCGTTTCAGTGCCATTCAGCCCTCTAAGTGGGCGATCGATACCCGACTCCACCATATCCGGCTCGTGCCAACAAACGAGATCAGTGAACTTTGGAATCTCTGCCGCTTGGTATGAGAGACGGCGAACAAGGATCTTTGTTCATCCCCAGAGGAAGTTTGTTGTTGTAAAGTAGGTCTTCTCCCTATGTTAAACCCTGTCACGATGTTCTTGCTAACTGGTTAATAGCAAGGATATAGCGTTGAGCTCGTTCCCTGGGGAGCTGGTGAAGGCCGCCGCCACGCAAAAATTGTTAAGACTTATACGAAGCTTCATCCTAAGCAGCTTCGTTACTACCTCAGCCATTTCGCGAACTGGAAGAAATCCGTTACCATCAATTCAATATCCAACGTACAGGATGATTTCGGCCTTGATTCCGAGTCTTTCTCTATTTCACTGAGCAAAGTTCTCGAGGAACGAAAGATTGCCAAGCATATGCAGTCATGGGAGGACATGCCGCAGTTTGGGATTGTGGATGAGGATTTACCGAGCGAGTTAGACACTGCTGAATGGTGTGAAGACGCCTGGCCGGATGGACTAGTACCGCTAAGTCTAGATCGCATCGCTACATTACCACGCGATTCGCTATCATGCGTTGCCCGAGAAGACGATGGCACGGAGGAGTTTAGTCCCTTTTAGGGCTACGGCAGACACCATCGGTGCCGCCGATGCAAGAAGACTATTGTCGAGTTGTAAATAGCACCTACCCCTTATTATCGTTTTACGCAGAACTCCCCATTTGCACCAGAGGAGTTCAGGATTAGGTAATTGCCGTTCAGCCAATCCAGAGGGTAGCTGGAAGACTAGGTAGTCATTATTAGGGTATTTTAAGTACACTATTCTTGAACTGCCACAAGGTTCTAATAATAGAGGTGATTGTTACCATACAGTAGCTGTGCATAGTGCGACACGTCTTCTCTTCTAGTCTACCTGGTATACCATAAAGGGTGTTATGTATTTTTTGACCTTTCCTTTTCTCATTGCGAAGACCTATGTACTGTCGCAAGGTCAGCATCCGAGGTTGTGAAGATTAGGCCTACGCGGATTATACGCGTGGTGTAATATTTTAGAGTAGCAATCGCATAATATGCCTTACATTCTTTTAATTTCAAGCCTTATTTTGTTTTTATCCTACCTACCTAACGTAAGGTACGCGAAATAGGTACCCACCTCAGCTACCTCCTGCGTACCTAGGTAGGTAATCCACCTCATGCATAGGAGGCAACTATATTAAATTGTCTGCCAGTCATACTTAATATATAATGTAATAGGTAGGTAGGTACATATCATTTGAAAGAGCGCGTGTAGGTAGGTACTTGAAGAAAGGTACCTCATGTCAAGGTACGCAATGCAATGTTAGGTAGGTAGGTAGGAGGTAGGTACCTAAAATTGAATGAATTCCTGATAGAGGCAAGTAGCAGCTAAGCAGGTACCTAAATACAGGTGTCTAGGTCCAAAACGGGGTTATCTGGACCCGATAGGCCGTGCCCCCAAATCCAAGAACTTTAGCAAAAAGATTACTGACCTAGGCATGGAAGTTTACATTTATTTTAGTTCCCATATAAATCAATAACACAATAACATCCTAATGGTACCACATCTTACCAGCCACACCGAGCATATCTCGACGACCACGTGAGATCCCTAAACTCGATCGGCGAGTTTTTATGAGACGGTTTATGAGATTTTCAAGTATCACGGGTGTCTCTTGTTCGTTGCAGAGACACGCCTTGGGGTGCATCGTCTCATACTCTTTTCTTTTCCCTGATTCTGAGTAGTGCGTGAGCTGTTCAAGCAAGCAACGTCCATCAAGTGTAAGTACCACATCACTCCACCCTATACCTACCTATTTTTCTATATTTCTTTTGTTTATTATTATTATTATTTTATTATTGCAATGCAGCTACTTCTTTTAAGGACAAGAATATTTAATCCCGATAGGAATATGGAGGTTTGAATTAAGAAGCTATTCCCTGGGTTCACCAAAGCTTCATTTCAAAATGTCGAGTAAAACTGTACTTAAACATTGTCGTGTATAAGTCCTCTGTCAAGGACATCTACTTTATTCTATCATTCTACCATATTTTCACTTGATATCGACTGTACTTTTTCTTGCTACTATTTCCATTACCAATAGAATCATCTTAGGCTAACAAATTAACAGATCATTATCAACATTATTTATCTTTTTTCTTTTCCTAATGACCTCATCGCTCACTGATGAGCGTCTGAATCACCCACTCCCTTGAAGAATCTAAGCCCTCCCGAGCTTGCCAGTTCTGAAAGAAATACTGTCATTTGTAACTAACTAGCGGGATACGATCCCGAGTTCTCAAGTACTGTCGGAAGAGCTCAACAGCCAATTGACCTGAGCTCACGACCGCGCTCATTTCCCCCGCCCGGCAAACACCGCCTAATACTTGCCGGGTGGAAGGCGCAGCGCAGCCTTCGACTCGGCCAGAATCTACCCCGACATGGAAGGTGAAGACCAGTCCATGACGGATGCACCTAATGGCTTTGACGAGTCTCATGTCGCTGCTACGGCGGGACAGGATGGCGGAGACACTACTGTCAAGAACGGTATGAATGTCGACGTCGACGTCGATGCCGATGAAAGCGATGCGTTCAGTGACACCGACGAAATAATAAAATCAATGCATCGGCGAGGTATGCTTCCCACGGGATGCTGCTACGATGACAGAATGAAACTGCATGCAAATGCCGATTTTGGGCCTTCACCGCACCATCCAGAAGACCCGAGGAGGATCGAGGAGATCATGAAGATGTTTAAGAAAGCCGGTCTGGTATTTACTGGGCCTGATTCTGACCTCCTTGACATCCTGAGAGAAAATCCAACCAAGTATATGTGGAGGATCCCAGCTCGCCCAGCCACGAAGTCGGAAGTATGCACAGTGCATACTCCAAGGCACTACGACTGGGTCGAAAACCTCTCCCAGATGTCGACGAGAGAGCTACGAACGCTGAGTCACAAGCTGGACCAAGGGAGGGCCTCCCTGTACGTAGGTGGCATGTCTTACGAAGCAGCACTGCTTGCGGCGGGAGGTTGCGTGGAAACGTGTAAGAATGTCGCTTCTGGACAAGTGAAGAACGCATTCGCCATCATCCGACCACCTGGACATCACGCCGAGTACGATGTGCCTATGGGCTTTTGCCTGTTCAATAACGTCCCTATCGGCGCTAGGGTCTGCCAAAATGAGTATCCAGACACGTGCCGCAAGATTCTCATCTTAGACTGGGATGTTCATCACGGAAACGGCGTTCAGAACATCTTCTACGAAGACCCGAATGTCCTCTACATATCACTTCACGTCTACGAGGATGGCAACTTTTACCCGGGAAAACCGGATAATGATATGATACCGGACGGAGATATAGACAAGGTTGGCGAAGGCCCTGGTAAAGGGAAGAACGTAAACATCGGTTGGCCATCTCAAGGTATGGGGGACGGCGAATACCTTGCTGCTTTCCAAAAGATTGTGATGCCGATTGCTCGGGAGTTTGATCCGGACATGGTAATCATATCTGCTGGGTTTGACGCGGCTGACGGTGATGAACTGGGCGGATGCTTCGTCACACCACCATGTTACGCGCACATGACGCACATGCTGATGTCCCTTGCCGGTGGAAAGGTAGCGGTATGTCTCGAAGGCGGTTATAACCTGAAGGCGATTTCTAATTCAGCCCTGGCCGTTGCCCGAACCCTCATGGGAGAACCACCACCAAAAATGGGCGTGCCACCCCTCAACAAGGACGCCGCCAGATTGTTAGCAAGGGTCCAGGCCGTCCAGGCGCCGTACTGGGAATGCATGAGGCCTGGTATAATCGAAGTCCGAGAACTGGGCGATAATATGTCCCGTCTTCACGATGTTATTCGGGGTTATCAGCGCCAGATACTGGCTGAGAAGTACGCCATGGTCCCCCTCTTCATCCAACGGGAGGTTCTCTACAAGTCATTCGAGAATCAGGTTCTTGTCACGCCAGGATTACAAGCCAGGAGAAAAATCCTATTCATTATTCACGACCCGTAAGTGGCATTCATTCACAAAGCTTGTGTTGTCTTGTCTTATTTTTATTAACAAATTATGTAGTCCTGAGTTGAAGGCTATGCCGGATATCATCGATAACACAGTCGATCCGCATAACGGATTCATCGTAAGTAGGCCTTAAAAATGTGGTGAGAGTTTTCTTTTCGCTAATATATGGAAGATGGATGGCGTCACGTCCTATATCGAGTGGGCTCACAAGAACGACTTCGGTATCATGGATGCTAACATCCCCCATTACATCACGCATCCAGAAGATATCGACGCGTTTACTCCACGTGCGGACGAGAAGACATTGCAACGGCAGATCCAGGAACTAGTATGCTACATATGGGACAACTATCTTCAGCTCTATGACGTGGAAGATTTGTTCATTGTGGGCGTCGGTAACGCATACCTGGGTGTCAAGGTGCTTTTAACGAATAGAGGTATATACATTTTGCTATTTGCTGGTGACTTTGTAAAAAGAAAGGTCTGATACTGACGAGACGGCAGATTGTAAAAATCGAATCTCAGGGGTGATTAATTTTGTGACGGGTAATTTACGACCGGTAAAATCGGAGACTGATACGGAACTTTCGAGTTGGTATAAGCAAAACTCGTTAGTCTACGTCACAAACGACCACGCTTGCTGGATGGACGACGACCTGGCGAAGAAGGTACTTAAAAGGCGGTTCGGGGGGGTACACAGGAGCCCGGAAGTCGGTCTCAACAGGATGATGGAAGTGCACGCGAAGGAGGTTTTTGAATTCATCACCGAGAGGTGTAGCGAAGACCGAAGCGGTAATACGACGGAGGACGAGAAGTAGGCAGGTTATTACCTTAGGTTAAGTCAGAGGTAGATTTCTTTTGAGAACGTTCAGATTCAGAAAAAGAGACCCTGTTAGGCCGTCTAGAAAAGCGGCCAGTTGTATATACCATACCGAAATGGTGGCGGAGACGAAGAAAGAGAAGAAGAAGAAGACGAAGGTATTGCTTATTCACTAGACGTGGTTACGGAGTAGGCACCGATTCTGTAGCCTTTTTTTCGTATTTTTTTTTCTAAGTTGTAGCTTGGGAGATTGGGAGATTGGGAGATTAGGAGAAACTTGGAGACTACGAATGTATTGGCTGTTCTTATCGGTACCTCTCGAGTTATCATGTTTGGCAGACAATTAAGGTTGTCTTCGTTACGTGATGACAAGTGAGGAGCTTTTGCAGGATAAGAAGTACCCATCTTGGAAAAGTAGAGGCAGGTACAGAGATATTTGTACGTAGCTGTTGCATACATGTATGTACGTTGTGAGCGTTACCTACCACAACGTACCTACCTATTTTCTACTTCCCGCCTTCTCCTCCTACCTTAGGCTATAGCTTAAAGTTGCAGCTGCCAAATCCTCAAAACTTCCCTTTCAAACAACTTCTCAACCCCTCAAATCCATAAAAAAAAAAACTTCTGGCTTTCTCATAGTCATTCCAAAAAGAAAAAAAAATCAGTCAGTTCCATCTATTTGCCAGTAGATTTGCATCTTCCTTACGTGCATCTCATCTACACAATCCTTCAACTTTACTGATAACGCCTTCATTAGGTACGTACCTTATTACTAAATTAACCCAGGGGTTAGCTTAGATTCTTTAAGGCTACCTACTAGGTACCCCTTACTTGCCTGGGGGCTGCCGGGGTGGTTCCATAGCGCCTTAGCACAGGTGCCTAGACCCAGCACTCAGTGGGTACAGGCGGGCGATAGGCGGATCAAACCTCCGATATCGACGCGCTCTCATTGGCTCGAGATGGATGAAAATCAGCATTTTCGTAAGGGTAAAGACGCCCCTGCTGCAGGGCCCAGACGACCTACAAGGCGCCGAAGAAATCCAGTACAGAACAATTGGCACCAGGCGCTACCCTCCCATTCTATCCAGAACCAGCACCAGCACCACCAGCATCACCAGCATCATCACCATCACCAGCAGAACCCACTGAGCAATAATTATAATCCTCAACGTCAAACCGCCCAGGTTTTCCAGCACGATCAAAACACAAACTTCGGAATTACGGATACTCTGCTGCAACATCCGCGTCGTATAGATAGTCCTTCGGAAGCACTTAGAACGTCGTTGTCTGCTCGGCTTTCTCGAGGAGATATCTTATTGGCACCGCGGTCTGATCCACGCGAGTACGGTTCGTTCGCTGATGGTGGGATGGATCGCGATTCGCGAAGTAGAAGGTATGAATCCCTTTTTTTTTTCGGAAGACTGTTGCTGCTATACCTTATTTATCATGAAATCTTCAAGCGTAATGGCTTGATCAGCCCAAATCAGGACAACTACTTCAGCTTACTGTAAACCTACCTAGTCAAGAGACAGCGACGCTAACTAGATCATCCTTATAGATACGATGATGGGGAAGTCACTAGATATGGCGCCGGCGAATCGTACCGCCCATTTAATTCCAACCGCTCTCCGCGCCGGGCTAGAAGCCCTCCCAGAGGTCGTAGTCCTCCCCTACTAGATAGCGACCGCTATGTACCCGGTCGATCCCCACGACGTCGCTCGCGAAGCGCTGATCGCTACCGACGAGACCCTTCCAGAGACCGACGAGATACTAGGGATATGGGCGACAGCTGGAGACGACGTGATAGAAGCCGTAGTCTTCGTCGAAGCCCACCTCGACGGTCTCCTCCCCGACGTAGTCCGCCTCGAAGAAGTCCGCCGCCCCGTAGATTTTCACCAAGGAGGGATGATAGAGATCGTTTACGATCTCCGCGAAGAGGCTATGAAACAAGGTTCCAACCACCGCCACCCCAGATTGACAATCCTAATCTCATACCCCTAACAAGTCTTCCATACAGACGAAGATCTAGATCTCCCCTCGATAGAGACCGCGTGCGAGATAGGTCGCCTCTTCGACGTTCGCCTCCGCCCATCCCTCGAGCTAGCACCTACCGAACTCGCACCCGTAGTCCGGATCGACGAGACGACCGTTACGGCCCTTTACACAACAGACGCCCTTCCCCGCCGCGCGATTCGGCCATCTCTTCAGCAATGCCGTCTCGAGATACATCCCGTCGATCTTCGCCCCATCCTCCTCCCCCTCGTCGAGATGATCGTTCACATCCACAATCTCCCATACCCTCTAGGCCTTTATCTAGATCTTCTCACGGCGTACCAGTTAGAGAACGAACTCCCCAAGGAACTCCAAAAGAATCGACTGCTCCGCCTAGATCTCCTCCGCGTGGCCCTGCCGCTCTCCGAGCACCTCCCACGGGTCCTAGAGATACTCGCGCTTACGTGAGCCAGTCTGCTACGGCAATAGGCCCGCCGTCGAGACCAGCCTCAACCGTTCCCGCAGTAGCAAGTCGACCCGATATTAGTCCCAGCGCCCCTCCGGCAGGTCCTAGGGGTTACGTGCCCTCGCGAGGAGGCAGTTATAGCCGAGGCGGTCGAGGAGGGTCTAGTGGGCCTACCTGGGGCAATACGATCCAAAGCCGTAATCTACCACCTGCTGCAGGTCCTATCTCTGCTTCAGCTGCAACAATCCCTAACCCCATCCCCACAGGCCCTCGCGCAGGATCCATCTCGCAATCCGTCCCCACGACCCCTGTTAACCAAGCCAAGCCTTTCAACCCGCCTAAGGGGCCAGCTGCCGAGAGCACTCGTCCTAGCCTGGCACAGCAACTTCTCGCGACTCTACCGCCTATCATCCCCGGCGGCAAGATGGACCCCCACTATCTCGCCATGACGACAGGCGTACTCCCTGAACTGCAGGCACACACGCAGCAGCTCAAGGAGGAGGAAGAGAGGCTCCGCGCGGAGAAGTACGTTAAAGAGGAGAAGCTGAGGAAGAGCCTGGCGCTGTGGGACAAATTCGAGAGGGAGGCCAAGGTCCTGGAGCTGAGGCTCGAGCTGAGCGAGAACAGCGTGAAGAAGTTCGCGGGCGATGGCGTTGGTGGTGCGGCGTTTTAGTAGAATGGCGGGACCGGAACCGGAGCCGGAGCCGGAGAGGGAGATGGAAAGGAGAAGGGGGAGTGGAAGGGGAAGGGAATGGTAGGGAATAGGTTAGGACTCTTAGAGTATTTTAGATTGCGATGTGTGTGTGTGTGTGTGTGTATAAGGCAAGAAAGAGGGATCCCAAGCAAGAAAGAGCAAAATAGTATGGAAGATATGGGGATTACAACTGCAGATGAGATGCAGAAACGAGACGAGACGAGATGAACCGAGACCTTTGGAACGTAATTCCACTTCTGAATTACGTATCTAAAGGTCGGTCTTATTTCACTTTACCTACTCGCGTACTCCTAGCCGCGATTGGTTACGGGAATTCCATTCATACGGACAGGCGTCTAGTTTCCAGGAAAGGGAAAAATCTCAGGGGAGTACTATTAGAGAGTTCGCCTTCATTTGTTTATTGTTATTGTCGTGTACCTACCTAGGTAACTATATGGTTGCAGAAGGGTTAATTACTTCAGGTAAAGAGGTACCTTTGCATTGGGGACATGTCTCACTTGTTCGGCGTGGAGGCTAGGTGGCTTAACAGGTAGCTTAGCCTAGCTGGCTACCTCTAGCTACCTGGTTAGAGGTTCATAGCAGGTAGTTTGCGTATTGCATGATACCAAATCGATTATTTTTTTAATGATATGACAAGACGACATGACATGGCATGACATGACTAACGTGCTGTTGCTGGCATTGCTAAGGAATTGTTAAGGGGCTGCTAAAGAAAGGAAGAGTTGTGAGAATGAGGTAAGGTACCTACGTATGTATGTCCTTGTAGATCGTAATTTAGTTGAATTCAAGTCTACCTATGGAAGCTGGGATTGGGTATTCGTTGATAAACAGACAAACAAACCCGGACGATGTACATACCTACATACCTACCTAGGTAGGTACCTAAGGTAGTTAGGTAGTAGCTTTAGGTCAATGAAGGAATTATATGCGTCAAGTACCTCCTAGTGATATATAGGTATATACACGCATAGTATATAATATATATATGCCTTATATACAGGTAAACTACCTCGTACAATACACACCCAAGGGATATATAAACCACCGACCGTTAACCGGCTTTACCTAACCTAACCTAACCCAACCCACCCTACCTTCCTCTCCCATTTTCTCTCTCCTATTTCCTATTTCCTATTTCCTATATCCTACCCCTCCGCCCCCTATCACCCCTTCCCCTTCCCCTTCCCCTTCCCCCTCATCAACCTCTCCCCACCAGCACCAACCCGCCGCACCCTACCAGTGATCCTCTCCCCGCCCTCGGGCATCGCAGCAAACGAGCCCCTATCAAACGTCCCCGCCGTCAACGTAGTGTTCCGATCGACCTTCCTATACCGCGTCTCGTACTCCATCCACTCGTCCAGGCCCGGGTGCTTGATGCCCAGGGTAGGCAGGGCGATGAGCTTGAGCATGGAGGTGTCCATGATGACGGGGTGGAGCGACGGCGGTTTCCACCCTTGCCCGGTTTTCTCCCTGTTATCTTTGCCGTTCTCGCCTTCGCCCTCGCCATCTCCAACCCCATCCTTACCGTTATGATTATTATCGGTGGTGGTGGTTTTATTACCATCGTCATAATCTCCCACATCCTCACCCAGCACATTCTTCCCCCACTCGACCATCGGGTACCTCGGCCTAGGCTCGCAATCCGGGTCGAGCAGGTCGAGCGGTTCCTCGAGGTAGAAAGCGGGCAACGTGAACCTGACCTTGCCGGGGGCGTACCTCTTGAGCAGAGCCGCGAGGCGCTTGCGGTCAGCCGGAGGGAGGTTCTCGCGGAAGTCCTTGGCGTGCTCGAGCAGGAAGGGCAGCACGAGCACGCGGTACGGGAACCGGTGCTGGATCCGGAACCAGTACCGCCCGTCCCAGAGCGACCACGGCATCCAGTCCGACATGATCCACTTCCCCTTCTTGTTGCGGCTGCTGGCCCAGTACGGGGTGCGGACGCGCGGTAGGGGCTTCGTGGACGGGTACGGCATGCGGGAGATGTACCAGTTCACCGGTTCCTGGTCTGCTGCCATCTCCGCGGTCGTCGGATCGTCGGAGGGTGTAGACTCGACCGGTACGAGATGAACGCCGGCGATGCTGAACGCTTTGGGAGGCGTGGCGACGGGCAACTCTTCGGGGAGCGCGAGAGATGGCAAGAGGGGCGTTATGTGGTTCTCGAGAGTCGAAAGGAGCGGTAACGGATCCGGACTAACCAGCAAGATAATCTTGCGTATGAGAATGGCGGCAATCTGTCTTTTCCTCAGTATGCGCGCTCGGCGGCGCAAGGGCGAGCGAATATCTCTCCTCGACCTAGGAAGCTTCACTTTCGGAAACTGCACCGTCGTGGTCCCGGAGAGTAGCTCGAGATCGTGGATGATGGTCCGGGTAAGTAGCCTGTTTGCCTCGGCCTCCTGGGCCTGAACCTTCCGCTCGCACCTCCTGGAGAGTTCGAGGATAGCTGGTTTTTGCAGAGCCTTGGGGAGGGTGTAGCCCTTATATAGATGTCTGATAGCATTCCTCGTGGTAAGCGTAGGATCCTTGTTAGTAGCGTCGTCCCACCACGGAATATTATTCTCCAGACAAGTTGCGATGAGGCGGTCCTTGCTGAATTCCAGCAGGGGCCGGAAAATGGTGATGCCACCGTCTTCGATGTCAAGTCCTTTGGGCTCGAATCGTAGGCTTTCCTTCGGCTTGTAGAATTCCTCGGCGTCGAGGTCGGCCGCGGCCCAGTCTTCCGGCTCCGACCCACCCACGAGCTTGCTGATCTCGTCGCCGAATTCCCGGCGCATGTACTTGCGCTCCCTCCTCGTCGGTCTAAAGTTGTAGAAAGGGAAATCCCGGGCTTGATCATCGACAAACCCGCTCTTGTCGGCACCGAACAGGCCTTCGCACTCAGGAATGTCCTGGGCGGCCCTCATGCCTCGCAGACCGCGGATGCCGTGCCCCTGCAACATGCGCATGAGAACAGTCTCGTACTGGTCGTCCTTGTGGTGCGCGAGGAGAAGACTAGCGATGTTGAAGATGACGCAGGCGGCGCCGAGCTTCCTGTACCGCAACGTGCGGGCCATGCTCTCGATGTTGGTCAGGTCTTTGGGAAGCTGGTTATCAGACAGGACCTTGGCCCAGTTGATGGTAGCTACCTCCTCGATCAAGCCCATGTCCCTGACGGCCCTGGAGACGGCGTGGGCCTCTTCGGTGGACCCCTTGCGCAGGCCGTGGTCGACGATGATGACGCGGAACCCGGACACGGGGTTGTCGGCGATCTTGAACTCGGGGTCGATCTTGCGAGTGCGGGAGCAGAGGAAGGCAAGGGCCATGGAGTCGACGCCTCCGCTCACGGCAATGGCTGCAGGTAGTTGTTAGACCGTCGTATCATGGTATATATATATAGAATAGAGTATCGGGTATGAGATGGCTCACCAGCTCGTCTGTGCATGAGCCCCCTGGCGCCGGGAAACCTCGGGGTACAAGTGGCGCGGACGGCGTCCATGAACTCGTGGACGGTAATCGCCTTCGCACCCGCGTGCACAACATGGTGGAGCGTTCCCATTCCATTCTACGTCTGTAATAAGATCGATCTTGTCTATTCTATTTTTCTAGCTTACGATGACGAAACTTGCTAGGAAAATAAGAACAACGACAATAATCACCAAAAGATACCTAACCACGAACAAAAAAAAAGAAGAAGAAGAAGAAGGTTATATAATTGGAACTTAATTGCACTTGAACTTTTTTTTTTTCTTTTTTCCTTTTTTTTTTAACATAACCCGAGAGCTAAAGCTAAACTGCATAGTTATTAATACAACTTAGCATAACTATTTATTTATCGATAAAGCTATCGATAATCCATCCCTCCAGACTCTATCTATCAGTCATATCGATAGCTATTTACATAGTACCAGGTAGCTTAGCTTAATATCCCACCTTCCCGACCTGACATCACACACCTAGTTAGTCCCTTGCCGGCTTCGGCCCTGACATTTATTTATTGATTTAGTTTTATACGTCCCTACCCACCCTTCCTACGTACCTACCTACCTAACCTAAGGTACATACAATTAGTCAAGGGGCCAAATATCTTCCACCTCTACCTCCACCTAGTTAACCCTCCCTTCCTTTACCTTCCTCCCCTCTCTTCTTTCCCTCCTCCTCCTCCTCCACATCCTCCCAATGTCCGCCCAACCCCCGCAGCAAACCCCCTTCGCCACGGCCCTCCTCGCCGGCGGCATAGCCGGCACCACCGTCGACCTGTCGCTGTTCCCGCTCGACACCCTCAAGACCCGCCTGCAGTCGCGCGAGGGCTTCTTCCCGTCCGGCGGCTTCCGCGGCATATACCGGGGCGTCGGGAGCGCGCTGGTCGGGAGCGCGCCCGGCGCCGCCTTCTTCTTCTGCACGTACGAGGGCGTCAAGGGCGCGCTGGAGAGGCGCCGGCGAGAGCGCGCTGAGATGCGGAGGAGCACCACTACGACGACGACAGGTGGCGGAAGTAATGACCCGATACATGGAAATCCCCCCGAGAACAACCCCTGGGAACCCCCCCTCGAACACATGCTCGCAGCGACCCTCGGCGAGGTCGCCGCGTGCGCGGTGCGCGTGCCCACCGAGGTCGTCAAGCAGCGCGCGCAGGCCGGGCTGCACGGGGGCTCGAGCGCGGCGGCGCTGGGCGCGATCCTATCGCGGCGGCGGGACGTCGGGCTGGCGGGGGTGTGGCGGGAGCTGTACCGCGGGTGGGGCATCACGGTCATGCGCGAGGTGCCCTTCACCGTCATCCAGTTCCCGCTGTGGGAGGCACTGAAAAGTTGGGGTCGCCGCCGCCATCATCATCAACGGAGAAGTGGTGGTGGTGGTCTGGACCGAAACGTGGAGGTGGGCGCCGGCGAGAGCGCGCTGTACGGCAGCGTGTCGGGCGCCGTGGCGGCGGGCGTCACGACGCCGCTGGACGTCATCAAGACGCGGGTCATGCTGTCCAAGGAGCGCGAGAGCGTCTTCGTCGTGCTGAAGGATCTGCTAGCGAACCACGGGATACGGCCTTTCTTCGCCGGCATAGGGCCTAGGGTCATGTGGATCAGCGCCGGCGGCGCGATATTCCTCGGGAGCTACCAGTGGGCTGTTAATGCCCTGCAAGGGAATGTTCTATGATACTCAGACAAATGATATGATACGATACCCCCACCGCCACCACCTAACAAAAAAAAAAAAAACGGACCGGACCTGGAACGAAAAAGAATTTTGCGGTAAATCGAGGTTGAACTACTAGGACAGTCCTCGCTGTATATAAAAACGCTTGGGGAGGGGGTATGTACTAAGTAGTAGCCGCCGTGTTTTAAGATCGCGGTTCGGGAGACAGACAGAGAGAGCGAGAGAGAGTATGTACAACAGACGATAGAGAATACCCCATCTTTTTAGATTTACCGGACGTAGACAATAATGGATGATACCCTCCCTCCTGTCAAACCTCAGGTCCGTCAACTGACGGTAGCTATCGGCGGTATTGTCTGCTGTCCTCCCGGGTCTGATACCGCAGGGTCATCAAGTGTTGGTTGCGGGAGCTCCTTTGGAATCTCCTTTCGACCATTCGCTTTATAATACAAGACTACGTCATTTCCTCCTTTCCAAATATGAGCGCGCAGTGTTGCAAGGCTCATAGTGTTTGGTAATAGCTAAATTCGTAAGTTAGCACTCGACTTTACCCTCATCATATATGTTGGTGGTACATACCTGATCGTTGCAATACAGTTCCAGGTACTCCTCGGGCTTGAGAGCGTCGGGATCAGGCTCTTCGGGCTGTGGATCGATTCTTTCCGCAACGTAAGCTAAGATTTTCTTTACCCTCAACATCCTGTTCGCATTGAGGCGGTTGTTTCCATCTGTGGTTGCAATGCTGGGCAACGAATCCTTCCAAGGGTGTAGTACGAACGAAATCTTGACCGGATCTTTTTGAGGAATCGTGTTCTATCTAGGTCAGTTGTAAATTCTACACTATTAAGGGAGTAGAACATACCGTAAGTAGAACTTCGCCTAGCCACATAGGGGCTTTTTCTTCGATGATATCTGCATCGACTCCGACGCTCATCACCGTACCCCTATACAAGTTGGCGCTACCACCGGATGTTTCTTCTTGGATGATGACTTTCGTACCAGGCGGTAGCTTCAGCACCGGCGCATCGATGGGTAGGGCGGGGGTTATTTTGGTTTCGATCAGGTCGTTCGGGGCCTCCAGCAGTTGCTTCTCGTAGTCGTTGCGAATCTTTTGGACGACGCCGCGAAAGTTGTCATCCACCTCCTTCTCGTGGTTCGAAGATGATTCCGACTTGTTTTCCTCTGTTTTGTCTTCCGTAACAACCGGCTTCTCAATAGCGGTAGATGAAGATCTTCCCAGCTTCTTACTCCCAAAAGACATGCCCATTCGGAATTTCTTACCAAAGGGCGTACTAGGGGATTTGACCTCCTTATCTTTAGTCTCTGCTGGAGTCTTCGGCGTCTCCTCTTTAACAGGTGCCTGTTCCGTTGCTACTGGGGTCGTCGCGGCTTTTACAGGAGCATCTGCTGAGCTGATGCCAGTAGAGAAGTAGTCCTCACCAGAAGATTGGTTTGTCGCTTGAGAGAGCTTTTCAAGAGGACTAGCAGGTGCAGCTGTATTATCAGGAGACCCTAACCCAAGATTAGGAGCGGGAGTAGCTACACCAATTGCCATGGTAGGGCTCAATGGGTAGTTAGTTCCGTTCGGCCTTGGTGTTGTCGCCGGAGAATCGCTAGATGGCCACGCTTGGGCATTCGACGTAGGTATAAATATTGATATTGGTGGATTTATTCGAGAGGCCGCCTTTCGTCTCTCCACGACTTCATTAAGTTTTAGTCTATGAATCTCGTCTCGCTTGATTTCCTCGTCAATTAACTTGGCAAATAAGTATCGAAGAATCCATCTTCCAAGGTTTACTTTAAAAACACGAGTTAGTCTTCGTCTTAAGATAAAGTTATCAAAAGTCATACTTCTCTGATCTTCACGAAATTCGATGGGCTCCGAAAGTACGAGCTCATCAGCATACATCTCAGCGTCAAAACAATTAAAAGGTTCCAATATCACAGTCAAATTGCCCGAACTCGTCTCGATAGAGCACCAAGGAGCAACAGCTTCCAAAGTATTGACTTCAGGTTCAACATCTTCAAGGTGTTTCTTTCCGAATCTCTGAATAACTTCACACTACTTCGGATTAGCCACGTTCCCAGTACTACGCACAAAGGGCTCACCTTAATAAGGTCCCATAGTAATACATCGCCCGCGGTGTCGAGAGTCAATACTCGTCGCCGGTCGTTAAGGAGTTTATGCTTCACTAATCCGTTTTGCCCTTCAATTGTTTCTTCTGGTAGGTGATGTATGGGCTCGACGACAGGCGCGATAGAGTCGCCGAGAATTTCCGAACCCTTCCTAGACGCGGCGCTTGTCAAATTAGACTCGAGGGGGTCATTGAGCTCCGGCGGGAAAGATGCGGTATTCGAAATCCGCAATATCGACTTTGCCGAGATTTCGGTTTTCGCCGATCCATCCGCCGACGCCATAGACGACGTGGATGACGTTCTTGGCATGGAGATTGTGTTAATAGCCCGCAAGTGTCTGAACGCGTCCGGAATAAGAGCATCCGGGCCAGTATCAACATTTGTCCACCTGTTAATAGAAGAGCTAGAGGTAGCCGACCATATGTAGTCTCCACAAGCTACCAGTTTGTTGACTCCGTCGTGTTCTTGAGCTACAGCCACGGATAGGCCTTCGTCCATCTCTACAGTCCCCCTAGTGTCTGTCTTGACGATGAGGCCAGACCTGTCGCTACTGTAAAAGACAGCCAGTTCCGGGTCTTCGGAAAATAGTGACCAAACGCTATCGTTGTGCATAGTGAGCGTATACATGCACCTACCAGCGGTGACGCTCCAGACTTTGATGGTTTGATCCGAGCTCGCGGTCATGACGGTGTCGCCAGCCTCGTTCATTAATATCGCACGGATATTGTCTGTATGACCGACCAATTTGGTGATCCTCTTCCCCGACTTGGGGTCCCATAACCGTACAACTGATTCCGGGCCTCCGCTGGCTAGAATATTCTGGTTGACGCACATGGCGTATACGGAAGCCTTCTCGCTAACATCTTCGCCCCTAACGTCGATTTCTAAGGACTTCCCCTTGCCATTGAGGTCCCAGAGATAGATCTTCCTATCCAGGCCACCGGAAGCCACCCAGTCCGCGGAACCCGGTGTCGCGACACACTTTACGTAGTCGGCATGCTGGCCGATGGTGTAGGGTTCGGTATCTCCAAATTCGGGTTGCCATACTTTCACAGTTAGGTCGGAGGACGCGGAGACGAGAGCGGAATTGTTGGAAGCGAGAACAATATCATTCACCCAGTGGGTATGAGCTTGGGTCGATGCGCGGAATTTGGTAGTCGGTTGGGGTTTTGCATTTTGGCTAGAGGCGCGGTTACAGTGAGAATAACGATTTAGATCAAGATTCAAGTCCCAGGCACAAATAACTCCGTCCCTACCTCCGGAATAGCTATGCGATAAAGCGTTAATAGACGGGACGAGGCGGGACGGGACGTGGTCGCATGAGGGTTGCAGGAAAGCTTACAGGATAGCGTTGTCTCGGTCTACTGCAAGTCCGTTTACACCGAGCCTATGGCCGCCGGATGAAGAATGATCAAGTTCAAGAACTGGAATTATACAAGAATTATTAGGTCAAAGTCAAAGTGAAAATCAAAAGTCAGAATCGAAGTCGAAGTCAAATAACAAGTGTTCTCCCCTTATTTTAGTCGGTTTTCACACTCAACCGTTATAACATATAACAAACAAAATCGTGAGGATATAGAATTGGAAGTGGGTAAATAATAAGCTTGTAATAATCCATTTTGAACTATGCGGGGGTGTGGGCAAAGATCAACGGATAGAAGAGGAGAGAGAGACTGACTAAAAGGTAGGGTCAACTTATTTGAGAGAAGATGGAAATTAAGAGAGAATGGAAAATGACGAACCGTAACTTATCCTCTGACGCGCCTTTTTGGCCATGGCAAGTGGGAAAGGGAAATGGAAGAGATGGACATGCGCCGAGGTAGGTAATAATGGTGGTCGATGGGATTTATTCGGCGGGATAATTCTATACGATACTACCTCGGGGTCAAACTTGGAAAGTCTGGAACTGGAACTGGAACTGGAAGTGAGTGAGCGAGTAGCATTGATTTGTATTGATATTAACAGAACCAAAATATATCATTCAAAGAGCTACTAAAAAAGGTTATGGGGGAAGCTGGGGAAAATAGCTTAGACATTACACATATTTTTACTAAGATATACCTTAGCTTAGGTACCCCCCTGCCTTAGGTTGGTTAGGTAGGTACCTAGAGGTGGTACATTAGCCATGTAGGTACTGGTGCATCCCCAAGATTCAGGCGCTACTGTGCTGTAACTTCAGCCATGGGACCCCAAATCCACGCGAGTACCACGCAGCAAGCGCGCTTCCAGTCCCACTCTTTTTTATATCAAATGGATTTTTAGATCTTGGTCCTCCCATCATCTCCTGCTTTACTGCATCATCACCCCCCCCCCTTTTTTTTTTCCCCCTGCTATGTCAGAACATTGATCCATTTGCCAAGAATGTGAATGGTACCTAAAAGAGTTGGTAATACGTACAGGTATCTCAACTGGATGACATTGGGTTGACCTGTAGACTCATCTCAACTTACGTACATTGTTATTAACAGACGAACACACTCTCAGCGTAAAACCGGCCTGTTAAAGCATCCGAGACATTTTCCTCAGAATATACCTGGTGGTTTCTGGGTATTAACAATGTATTCGCAGCCGTAGAACTCTTCGACGGCGTATGGTATGGTATGTACGGTTTATTGTACGAGAGAAGCCAAGGCCGGCCAAGAGAGCAGCAAACACACACACACATATATCTCTCTCTTAATCCGTACTCCTGGAACTCTTCCCCCGTGTATGTATGTATGTATCCATATCCTTCCTTATCCTCGACATAATCTTGCTTCCCCAGAATCCAATAGCCCGGAGTTCCTCTTCTTCCTCTTCTTCTTCTTCTCCTCCTTCTTGTTTCCTTTTTTCCTTTTCCTTTCAAAAAGGCTTCTTCCGAAACTGCTCCAGGAGCATCAGCGAGTGGCGCACCCGCTCGGCGGCTTTTCCGTCCGGCGGCGACGGGCTCGACTCGAGTCTTTGTTCGTCTAAAAGGTAATTCCCGAGTATGTAAGTAATAAGCCTTTGGTCTTCTTTTTTTTTTGGTGGTGGTGGTGGTGGTGGTTATAGGTATATATATAAATTATCCCGAACGCCTTTCCGCGCGCTCCACTATCGTCGAGAGGACCCGAGCGCTCTTACCTGATGACGAGGACGGAGTCCCTCCCGCACGAGTAGCGGTGGCGCCGTTGCCGTTGGCAGCAGCAGCAGCAGCGGTTCGGCGTTGCTCTCTCGCGCACTCGGGGCACGACGTGTCTTTGGGTCGCAAGGCAAGCCGGTGTTTACACTCCAGCATGCCGGGAGGCAGCTTAAACTGCTTGTCTGGGAGAAACTTGGTCTTGTCCAGGAGCATGTCGTCTTTGGGATCGCATCTCCGCGCGACGTGGCAGGGAGACGTGTTCTGGTATACGCGGTGGCTGCAACCCCGGAAGGTGTTCCAGATCTCGATACACATGGTGTGTGTGTCCTCTTCTTAGGCGGTGTGTGGCACTTGGACTGCAAAGGGAAATATGTATTGGGGTGTCGACGATGCAATAAATGATTGCGCACGGTCGGAAGTGAAAGGGGTGGTTTGGGTGCCTAGAGTGTTCGGATGGCATTTGCGAACCGAATTTCCTTAAAATTAAGAGCAATCAACGCCAATTTGTATCTATGGAAGAAATAAAATAAAAAAACTTGACTGTAAGCAAAAAAATGGCAAATGCAGCGACGTAAGTTAGATGCGATTGTGTGTGCACAGCTCACAAACAGCAGGTCTCTTGAGTTGGTGGTAGTCGTCCACCTCGTCATTGCTGTAACCAGCACAGCACCCATTGTGCGCAATGCGCAATCAATAGAGCGGGAAAAGTCACCCAAGTCGAGCACAAAGAGCTTCCATATTGTCTGGAAAGTGAATTGGGCACTCTTTTGTACTACGACAGGCTGTGGTGAAAGGGCAGAGCATGGTGTATAAAGACAGGTAAGATAGAAAGCTATTGATGATAACCTCACAAAGAGCCGATTCACTCCTTTGATGCTCGAGCACCACTAAGTTGTGGCTGCAATGCAAGGCTGTTTGCAAGTAGTTTGCTCCACTATGAAGCTGCCTGTGGCCGAGGCTGGTTACGCCTGTGCACCTGATATTGTGATGTAAGTGTCATATTCAATATAAAATGTCAGACCTCACAGTTTACCAAGTAGTCAATTGATGTAGGCGGTGTATGATCGATTCTTCGGGCCTATCCAGTAATTGTAACTTACACCTTCTCAGGAAACTCCTTGGCCCCTTTTCCCTCTCCCGTAGATATCCGAAATTTAATCATCCGAATCTCTTATGGCATCTCAAATTCAAATTGAAAAGTAACTGAATAGCTTCCAAGTCAAATCTATTGATGCCGTATAAAAGCGATAAACCGAACGCTATGAGAGTATGCAAATAGCTACAACGACCAGCCCATTTAACAGAACATACTTCAAGGCCGATATCCTGAATCGCTAGTGATTGTGGTAACTCCACGGCCGACCCGATTACCCTTGATGCCTTCCGAACCTCTCTACCTCCTATCAGTCCCTATTCTTCTCATGGCGTATGACCGTCAACTTCTATCACCACTGGAGATCAACGGGTCCTCTAAACCTCTGTATCGTCAAATAATCAAAGCAACGAAATTTTCGACATACTGCGACAGTCCGAGACATATCGAGAGAAGGGGACATTTCTCTGGGTCTCCCTCGTCGTCTTGACATATTGTTAGGTTCTCCAGATATCGATTGTTCTCTAGTTCTCCCGCACCGCTTTCACCGTCTGGAACGATCTCTGGCCGAAGTCTGGGAGAACCAGCTCCTTCAAGACCACAATCGCAACCACCGGTCCCTTTCTGCTTGAAGAGCATGACGTACAAATTCAAGTTCATGCATTAAGTTAAACGTATACGCTTCGGAAAGGACGAGGCCATCCGTTCGGTTTGCAACCTCTTGCAGGATGTCGTCCACAACATTCAGAGACCGGGAAGGGCCAGCACCTAAGCGACCCCGGAAGTGCTGCCACATAACTGTAAATATTTGGTTTAGCAATGTATCAAAGGTATATTGTACGTTTTCTCTGACGCGTGACACGTCCAGAGTGGCGAGTCGATCTCCCTCGAGAAGTCCGAGCTTATCGAGCACCTGTTCAAAGTGTGCGGCTTCTATTTCTATTTCGTCTTCCGATAACAAGTTTTGAACCCAGATCTGTAAAAAGTCCAATACAGCTACATTAGCGTCTTCCCTGAGGTCAAACGTTGTGGTTGCTCGCCGGCCCGTATCCAACCCTGTCGTGAGAATGTAGGTCCATCGACCAAAGTTGATTTCTTCCCTTGAGTCTTGGGGATAGTCGACGATTCCCCGTCGCAAGAATCGGGCTATTTCTTCGAAGTTGTCCTCTACGTCGCTCCACCGTAGAGGTTTTGCTCCTGTTAGGCAATGGTGGCATTGGTGCGATTCTGACGCGTCGAGAACGATAAAGTGCGGTCGGTAAGAAGCCGCACGGTAGTGTGGACAGTAGGATATGGAGTTTACTCCTTCGCAGAGCTCGCGAATGAGACAATGCTCTATTATGCCAATGCCCATCCTAGTGTTTCTGCATGTTGAGCAAATTGTCCAAGTCCTGTGTACCTAGCACATCTTGCCGTGTTCAAATTGAAACCGAGTGTTTGATAAGGTTGATAGAATTGATATGAATAAGTGCGCTGAATTAACTTGCTTGTTTCATAATAGCTTCATAATAAACGACCGACTTAGATGAGCTATTCTTGATGAAGTTCTCATAATCATCTATAAAAGAAAAAAAAAGAAGAAGAAGAAGAAGAGTAGGTTAGTCTGTAAAAGTGGTGATTGTTTGGGAGAATAGAGCTCCATTAGATTATCTACCTGGTAGGGAAACCATTATCAACAGATTAATAGCCAGCAGCTTGGTTTTATACTGTACGACTGCGCTTACGTCCTACTTACGTCCTTTAGCTGAGAAGTGGTATCATACAGGTATATAAGTAGGTGTTCTTTCCTTATTGTTGAGACTAAACCTTACATAGTAGGAGGTAACTATAAGGAATTATACGAAAGGCGAGGCACGACACACAGGTATTTACCTAAATCACGCGGCAACATCAATGGTACCTACATACCTCATAAGGTACGTAACCTAAGGTAGAGATTATGTATTTGTCTTCATTAGGTAGGTAGGTACCCATCCATCACCAACAGGCTTATCCTTAGGTTAGGTAGACACCAACCACATGTGAAAAAACCACAACGCCATGAATCCGACCTAACAGTTAACAGGTACCTATGCCATAACAAACGAATGCGAGACTATTCACACCTTTCCTCGTAATGCTAGGCAGAATATCCCAAGTCATCAATTCCAACTTCATAGGTATGTACTTAACACTATGGCTATATCCATACACTCCTTTCATTCTTTATTCTTCATTCTTCCCTCCCAATGGTAGCTTCCATATTGCCCATGAGCACGTGGACCTGGATGCTCGACCCAGGACCATTGGCACCTTTCTGAGCTTCTAATGTAGATCCCGGCCAACCCCCAACAGATTTGACGATCTTGACATCTCTCCCCTTGACCCTCAATCTACCGCTTGTCGTGTCGGCGCGTAAGTATCCCTCCCACGCCTGGGGATACCGTAGTCCCATGTCCCCGCTAGTGGACTTATGGAGAGATTGTAGGCAGTTAAGTGACCGGCTGCCACCCAGGCCCCTGTCTCCGTGCCAGACTGGCTCAAGTATGCGGATAGCTGTGGAACCGCTCGTCGTTACAGTCTCCAACCGAGCTGGTTGATTCGGCGAAACCCTCTCCTCATTCATGACGGGGAGTAGATCAAGAGCAATATCACTAGCAGTACTTTTCAGCTCGATCCCGGCACCGAATGCGAGTGCGCCATGTATTCCTCCGGAAGTTGATTTAACGTCGACGAGGTAATCACGAAGTGGGATCTGCTCTCTCAAATGCACTGGCTCGGTGGCGCTAACGGCACCAGATATCGAGCTCAAGGACAAGACAGCAGCTTTCGGGTCCGTTTTGAGCTCTTCCTTGGGAGTGATGGATACGGTAATGTGGCCAGAGGTCGTGTGTAACCCCAGCATATCGTAAAGGGGCCAGTTGCCCTCAATTTTACCCGACGTAGTTGAGACCTCAATGATACGAGAGTCAAGCACGTATGAATCCCTCGCAGGGATGAAAGTATAATCCGGGGCTGAGAGCATGAGGCCAGAGTTGTTGTACGATGTAGGGTGATCCGTACCGGATGTGATATCCCCTACGATGGAAGAGACCCTCGTGTAGCCCGCCACGTGGAGAGACAGATCATCCAAAAATAGCATGTCAAGATGGGCCGAGCCTAACGATAATACTCCAATCTCGGCGTCTTCAGGGACCCAGATAGTCGCGCGCATTTCGACGCAAGGCCAGATGTTTGGGTCCAGGGCATTGTACTTCTTGGGTACACTAATTTTCATGGCCTGAGCATCTTCGTCTGTGAAGGTGTCGAGTAAAATGCCCTTGTCGTTAGTGGCGATCTCCAACACCAAGCGCGGGCTTCCGCCGGCATCAAGCCTTCGTACATTAACTTGGCCGGCAACGCGCACCTGGGCGTTTCCGGAGTGCGCATGCTGGCTTTCCATGAAAGTAATATTGTGGTTCCTATCAAAGTTGAGGCCTAGGATCTGGTCCTCGAAGCGGTGCACAGCATTATCGCAGTAAGTTGGCTGGAAGGGACCGACAACCACAGGCACATCAGTCCCGGGTTCAGTCACAGGCTCCCTTATGGGCTCCGATGGTGGTGATCCTTCGACGGGTTGCGCCCCAATTATTTTTCTCTGAGTAACCATATTAACGACAGGTTCCAACTAGGACTGAGGGAAAAGGTGAAGAAATTAGAGATGGGCAAGGCTTACATGATCATCTCCGTTTATAGTTCGCAAATAATTGACGGCCACGAAGATCGAGATAGCCATTATAATCAGGCTAAGCACCGAACCACTCCAACCGAGCCACATAGGCAGCCGTCTCCTGACTCGTCGAGTCCAGTGCGGTGTGTCACCATGTTCTTCGTCAATTGGTTGGCCGATGCTCTCGGGATCTCTGGCTAACAGCCTCTCATTCTCGAAGATATCCTGCACACCCATGGTAGAATTGAATGTGCTGTAACTTATAGATTGGCGCTGTTGGTTGGCTGTGGACGAGGGGGGTGAGGCTGGCGGTGGTGAATACGCTGGTGGCGCGTCCGAATATACGGAAAGAGTCCGCCCTCGTGTTGGGTAGATTCCGAAAGAGGTATGTGATGATGACGAATGCAAGTACGTATGCGCAAGCGCGGGATTGGGTTGCTGTTGATGTGGTGCAGCCGAGCTGCTAGTCGCGTGCTGTTCGGAATGACTAACTTGTTCGGTGATGCCTGATGTTGCGGCAGTGTGGTCGTAGTTCTGAGAACTATCTCCTACTCTCCTATATCCTGACGAGGAGCTTTCCGCTTCTGCTTCCCGAGCTTTTGATTCAGCACCAGACTCTAATGTCTGCTGGAGCGTTGAGTCGGGGATTAAGATGTTTGGTACGTTTGGAATGGCATGGTGGGAGGATAGTAATGATGAGGAGAAGTAACCATCCGTAGGCGATAATTGATCAGCATAGTCATCGCCGCCATCTGATTCATCGGTCATGGAGTACAAGTTATCAGCGTAAGGCATAGCTGTTTCGGTTCGTTGAAACGGTCTTGGCAAGATTGAAACTATCGCCAAGCTGTCCTGTTACACTGGAGACGCTTCGCCTGTGTCTTACCGCAACCGGCAGAGGCAAGAAGACGTTGGAGATTGAAATAGCCAAGTTAACAGCCAATCGCACGAACAAATGATTGAACGACGATATAATTAGGATTATTTTCTCCAGAATAATGTATAAAATGATTGTTTCTTGAGTGGTGTGTCGTTGAAGAATCACACAGAACCTGGTAGTTTTGATGGCGACAGATAGTTGTTGAGAGGCTTAAGCACTACTACACTACGATGCTCGGAACCCCGATTGGTATACCTACCTGGATTAACTCCGATTGATACCTTAGCAGCGCCGCCCTAACCCTACCGAAGTCAAGAAGGCTGCGTAAGCCCTATCCTATCCCGCATACAAGTGTACGCACGTCAATCCGTATAAACGTTGGTTCTCTTTTACTTTCGCCGTAGGGCAGAAGCGGTGAAAGACTTGTTTCTATCCAGCCCAGTCCAGTCCAGTCTCTTGGGGGAACTTGCTGCGAAAAGGGAAGTTAGATAGGTACCTAACCTAGAGGGAGGATTTGTCGGTCTAGCTGAGATGAGTATATATCCAGGGTATAAATACTACCTAAGCTATAATGTTATACTACATGCGAATTCCCCCGCTCTGGTGATACGTCAGCTATTAGGCCGTTAGAGTTGGGATTGGAGTTATACGTCGTCTAATGGGGCGAATTGCGAATTCAATGCGTACCTAACCTAACTTGATTGGCTGGAGGGAACCCGGATAGCTACGACACTATACTATACGCTATACACATTATATACGCTTTAGTTATACATTATACTTTCAAGTTAGATAAAGTAAGTTAAGGTACCTCCTATATGATGACGACACACGGTACCTAGGTACCTATCCACGTCCGATTGACGGGTTGTACCTTTAGTAGGTATGAACGGTTACCCCTTCCGAGGGAGGTACCCCGGCCCCGCGATCGGACTTCCGGGTTTGCGGTGGAAAAAGCTCCGCTTTGCGTGGGTTATGTAATGGAACCGATCGGACGGGGGAATGATGGGATGCTACGGCACGGCACGGCACGGGAGAAGAGAAGATACCTAGTATATATACCTACCTACCTAATGTAGGTATGTATTGGCTGACGTAAAGGGGAGAGCTTCAGCTTAGGTTGGAAGCTTTATCTACGGCAATGACATGACTCGTATATTAGGGATACCATACGCCTTTCTATTCAAACTTTTATTAACGGCTCTCGAGTAGAGTTTAAACTTCGGTAGATTGGAAGATAGGTACCTAGGTACCTATCCAGAGAGAGCTCTAGCTGGATTATTAGGTTGGATGCAGGTACGAGCTTATGTATGTATTGAAGATAACCTACCGAACCTGGGTAACCTGCTAACATACCGAGGTACCCCAAGTCCCTCTTCATATAAAGTTGTCGCTAGAGGGTAGGCAGGTAGTTATTGTGTGTGTGTGTGTGTGTGTGGATGCGATAGTACCAAGCCTTAGCTGTCAGCTGTCAACTGTCACCGCGGAACCGGATGCTTATAAGGTTTATTCATACGTGGTTTCTAACCTTATACAATGGCTCTCCCTTGAATCATGCCAACTCCCGTCACCTCACTCGTCCCCGCTGTTTCGTGTCTTGTATAGGTAGGAGGTAGGTAGTTACATGTACTTGATGTAAGGTATGAGACACTGTGTAGGTAGGCGTCCTTGTTTTGAGTTTAGCCCAGCCTTTTTCTTCCCTCCTTCTTCCACCCTTCTAACGCCTAGGTGGTGATGGTTAGGTTAGGTAGGTAGGCTCAGGACAGGTAATGGATGTATAGTACATGAGATCTATATCCTGCTCGTATCTTGGTTGTATCTTTTTCGTTTCATTCAATCTAGTAGCCCGAGTCGAAGCCGAGCAAGGTTCAAGATGGAAGTAAGTGTTAGCAGTTGATGGCACGAAAAAAAAAAAAAAAAAAACCTATCTAAATAGGTACCTCATGTTAGGGGCAATGTAGGCTAGGTTAGGTTAGGTAGGTACGTGGTAGGGGATAATAGGGGCTTCGATGGAGGTTACGGTAATACCACCTGCGTTCCCTTCAAGTTTCTGGTTACCTACCTACCTTTAATTGGTAAGATGTATGTATATATGTATGCATATGTGCGTGTTACGGATATTTGGAATTCGAAATTGTCCTCGGAGATCAAAACATCGTCGTCGTTATCCAAAGTTACCTAACCGTAGAAGCAATATCAACACGAAAAAAAAGGGCGTAGGACTAGAAGCCGCGAGAATGGTTAAATGAAAAGGAAGAGAAGCATTACACGAACCAAGAGCAAGAGCAATGTTCACTTCGACGTAGCTATATCGTCTGCGCTTAGTGTGTACATACATTATCACATCACATCACATTACATATATATACATCGGACATACAAAGTAGGTATATATATATGCTGTGTATTGATCGTGTACCATAAGTAAGTAGGTAGGCAAGGGGCAGTAGGTACTCGTCGGCTCGAGGCCGTACGGGGACCGGCTGCTTAGCTGTCTCAGGGTCGTACCCAATCTGGAGCTTTGCAGCTAGCTCAACGGTCGTTTTCGAAAGGTATGGGTAGGTAGGGAGGTATATAGGAAGGTTTATTATGATATGGTGAATAGCTCCCGGCTGGGCACTTGAGAAAGGATGAATGAATGAAAAGAAAATCACACCTTCCGTCGGGAGTTAGCATCTCGAGGTTCGTCTTGGCTGCGTTACCCTCTCCGTGTCGGTGTTGTACGAGCAGGTTGGTAAAAGCTCAGCAAGCTACCTAGCTAGCCTGAATATTACTAGACTTTTGATTAAACTCAAGCAAGAATCGTTACTGGAGATGACACTGGTGATTTCTCTGGATAGATACCCCTAATAAAGGGGGGCCGTTGTACCTCAGTCTTGTGAAATCTCAAGTAGGTACTCTCTCTTCTCACGACGACTACCTATTCGCTGGTAACACATCCCGTTTCACAACGTGTGACTCGGGTTGGTCGAGAAGGTATTTAGGCACAACCAAGCGTGTCCGTGTCACGCCCAGAATCCGCGTTCTTCGTCGTGCTACTTTTCTAGAAAACAAGAAGAAAAGAAAAAGAAAAGGGGGTAGGGTATTAAGCCAACTTGTTCTAGCCCTTGAACCCTTGCTTCCTGATAAAACCAAGTACTGTGGAAACGAAACTCCTCAGAGTAGGTAACCGCGATTTGGGGCCTTCTTGTTTGGTACCTTGGGTAGGTAGGTAGGCTTTAAATTCCCCGACGTTTAATGAGGATTTACCATTAGATACCTACCTACCTAACCTAACCTAACCGCCCAGAGAATCCCGTTGTCGTGGGGTGTCATCGAGAAATCAATATAAGCCCCCGCCGGCAGATGGCATACTTACAGGTAGGTATCTTGCCATCCCCCCTAGGGCTCATTCGCAATTCCGGCCGCCCGCCTTTAGCGAGATTATCTGGTGTTTATCGTAGTAAAAAGTACATCACCTAATCATCACCATCATCATCATCATCATATCACGAAGAGTAATCCGTACTCTCCCCATCTCCATCTCTTCCCTCTCTTATAAGTAAATCCCGGGCTATCGTGAGAGGCTCGGCGCCGTCGGTATCTTGGTGTTACCGCACTTTTTGCCCAACGGCTAGACAGGTAGGTAGGGGGAGTAAATAAACACCTTGACCTTGGGAAGAGCGGGTCGGGATTCAGGCCTAAGGCCTAGGCCACGGTGGTCGCTATGTGTCTTGTTCTCGTAAGTAGTGCAGGCGGAGATTTCTTTTCTCTTTTTCCTTTTCTTTTCATATTAAGAGGCAACTTCCAATTGGAGCCAGAGCTTTTCGATCAGTAGTCTTTCTCTCGCAGCCTAGTGGCTTACTATTAGCATCGAGCAGGTTAAACTACCCTACCCTAAGCCAAGCGAGAGTTGAAGATCGGGTTCCGCCACTTTTTTGGAGGGGGAAGCTGAACCGAGCCGTCCTAGCTGGCTGGCTGTCTTGTTGATGAGCGGTCCCGTGGTACGCCTCGTCTAGCCTAGCCTCTGCCGTGTGTTCCGACATAGTGTATCTGTCGCCGCCAAGAAGATGGTTTTTCTTTTGGAAACACAATCGCTATCTGGCGAGCTAGTAGCATACCTACACTTATTGATGGACTGCTGCGAAACGACATGAACCCCCCTCTGAACTAGTTGGCTTAGGTCTAGGTAACCAGGTAACTACGGGACGAGTAACGAAACAACCCGCTAGTAGTAGTATTGTGGTTCAGCGAACCCTTTCTGTGGCGGTTATGTAGGTATGTATATACCTAGATTGGTATGAATGTATGTATATGTGTACGTGTATGTATGGCCCGACAAAACTTCCCGGAAAGGGGGGAAGGGGGAAGGGGGAGGGGGACAAGCATGCAAAGTCAGCTACGAGTAACACAGCAGAATCCCCATCATCATGTCACCGTTCGTTTCCAGAAAAGCCATCTTAGGTAAATTTCCTTTTTTTCCAGACGATCACCGAAACCGACAAACTAGGGCGAATTAGCATTTTCCGTTTCCCACGCCGTCTTCGTCCCGGTTCCCAGCTTGGCATTTTTTGGCCCGTAGTCCGTCCGCTGGGGATATGTTAGCCGCTAAGCTAACTAAGGTGGGCGGCGCGGCGCGTCCAGAAGGCTTGCGGCTACGTCAATGGGACGAAACGCATGACCATTGATAGTGTAATGATGACCCTGCAGCACGCCCTTCTAATGCGGTGATTGAATAGTAAGGAGAGTCGGTGAGTATGAGTATGAGTATGAGCGTCTGTATGTATCTGGATTTCAACAGTGAGATATTTTTGAGAGAGAGAGAGAGAGAGAGAGAGAGAGAGAAGCCGTCCAGTATCTCCTTCCGGAAGCTCGTACGGGGTTTGCAACAACCTGCGGTGTCGAACCCGTCGCCGAAAGCTGATCTTAGTACATACGAAAGAAGAAAAAAAAACGAATTGGGAGATTATTATTCTTAAACCCGTGCCCCGGCTTATTGTACACGGCCATTTCGGCCATTCTCATCTCATAATAATAGGTCCTGCGCCTCTCTCTACTGCTGGGGACTACCGGTAACACGACATTTCCTGGCAATCTGTCAGCGGTGATGTTCGGTAGCTACCTAGGTAGTAATAGGTGACGTGACCCAGGAGAATCCGAGCTTATCACATCCATACATTCCCCGTTCCCGTTCCCAGCTTCCAAGAACTTTCTTGCTCACTCAAGTATTACAAACCTTCCTGATATAAACGTGTAAATCATATTTGCCAAGGTTAGGTCAGGTAATCATCAGATAATGTATCGCGCGCAAAGATACTCCTCGGGGATTATAGTATCGCCTTATAGGAGGTTGGCAGGTAGGTTAGGTAGTCATTCCAAAAGGAATATGGTTACAACTTGTTTGTACCTACCTAACCTAACCTAACCTAACCTTAGGTAGGCTATACCGTGAGTCTATTTGCTATTATATGTACAACGCCAAGTCGAACAGTTGAGGTATTAGAGTAAATACTATTACTAACTTTGCTACCGTACGATTTCCTCAGACCTTGGCTGAGTTGGAGTACCGT